AACCTAACCTAACCTAACCAGTTATGCTACTTCCTCGGAGTTATACAGTGGTTTTTGAAAAAGTTTGCATGGTTTTTCCAGAGAGTATTCACCATTAGCGGTTGCGAAGCTATTAGTGTTACAGCTACACCATTTGTCGGACAGGCTGAGAGTGCATGCCTCATCAAACCATATGTTAAGGACATGACGAGTGCTGAATTACATGCACTGTTAACAGCAGGATTTAGTACAGTCAGTGGATCAACAATGTTGTCGTACATCAAGTTAGGTGTTGATAAGGTGCACATTGTCACATCGGCCATCATGTCGATACCATCAGCTATATCTATCTCTAATATGAGAATGCCAGAGGTGGAGACACCACTGTTTGCTAACACGGTGGTGGTGGATAGAGGAGATGCCGAGTATAAGGAGCAAGGTAATTGGATTCTTGCCTTTTCGAATGGAGCGAAACTTGGAATATATGTTGCAGGATTAATCCTGACGAATATTCTATGCGTTTTGGCGTTGTTATATGCGTTTGATGGCTTTTTGACGTGGATTGGACGGTCATTCTCGATTCATGATCCAACGCCGTTGACTTTAGAGTTGATATTGAAGTACGTCTTCTACCCGATTAGTTGGTTGATGGGTACACCTTCAGCGGATGTACTAAAGACAGCAAATCTGCTGGGAACCAAGGTGATATCGAATGAATTCGTTGCATATCAACAGTATAAGGATATGCAAGATCCATCATCACCCTCATATGACCCATTCACCAAACGTGGATCTACAATTACAGAGTTTGCGCTATGTTCATTTGGCAATGTAGCATCAGTTGGTATACAAATAGGTGTGATATCAGCACTAGCGCCATCAAAGAAGAAGGATGTTTCTAGGCTGGTAATATCAGCGCTGTTCTGCGGAATAATATCGACATGCCAAACAGCAGCGATTGCAGGGTTCCTTTCATAGGAGCTGATTTATGTATAAATGTTTTATTTCTTTAGGTCAAACGGATGATTAGAATATTTTCTTTGTCTTGATAATTTGATTTGTATTTTTTACAAGATTGTATTGTTCCTTCTGTGATGTCGATAAGTGATCAAGGTGGGTTGTTTGAATGTTTAATTAAAATAGAAATTAACTCAAAAAATACCCAAAATACAGATGATTATGTCAACGATGAGCGTGTTGATTTCTTAGGCGAAGAGTTGTTCACTGCGCTGCATAGCCCAAAGGATAGGCTTTATATACTCAAGCAGAATGAGTTGCTGACCAAATTTATGAAGTCTGAGTGGGTTTAGCTTGAATTCACAGCCATCATCCCACGTGCTAATCCCTCCACTCACAGCGACAGATCTATCGACTTATCTACTGGAAACTCCTACCAGAAATTGATTTTAATTAAACTTTCCATCTACTTTGGCTTGGTTTACTCCACTGAGCCTTCAAAGTTAGGCGTCTTTCTCGTTAAATCCACTGATTCTGCAATCCCGGACAAGTCTTTGACGGATTTAGTGCCTTCTCCGGATAATAATCAGCAAACAAAAGTTCAGATTATGACTAGGGCTACTCCAGGTGTCTCTACTGGTGGTAGTACCGGTCCTAGCAGCCGCAATAGCCCTAGCAATACCCCTACACACTCACTCAAACAAGACAAAGCAGACAAGTCTAATATGTCATTAGAGGAGCGTGAGCAAGCCTATCTGGAAGCTCGGAGTAGGATATTTATGGACAACACCCCTCCCTCAAATGACTCGCAATCTTTTACTCCTCAAATTGACTCAACTGACGCGGTCGAAGAGGAGCCTTTTGGTCCTGATGACATTCCAAGAGACTTATCCAGGCTTCCCGGCTACTCTAGCTACTCTGGATTATCTGGATATCACAATAAAGGGGGCAATAGCGACTACAACCAGTATCCCATCCCATACATGGCGCCCAATGTACAACCCAATCAAGCACAATTGCAAGCCCAAGCTCAGGCTCAGGCACATGCACATGCACAATTTCAAGCACAGGCTCAAATACAGGCTCAAGCACAGGCACAGGCCCAAGCTCAAGCACAAGCACAGGCTGCCATCGCCGCATCCACAGCCGCCCTCTCCGCTCAATCAGCAGCTACAGGCCAGTTCTGGAATCCTTGGATGACTCCAAACTCATTTATGCCCCCTAATGGTGCACTACCAAACACCAACAGCAACGACGCGCTATTAAATAGTAGTGGATTTGGCTTCCCAAGTGCTACATCTACCCCGCAGTACAGATCGAATCCACAGAGCTACGCTGGTAATTTCAGACCTGGCAATGTTGCCAGTGGCGGTACTGGTGGTCCTGGTATTGGTGTTCAACAAAGGCCACCGCGTATGGCTAGACCACCCGGTACGCGTCCACCATATTCGCAGCCTCGTCCTGGTCGACCTGCTATGCCTAATTTGACCAGCCTGCCTAACATAGATGGGTTGTCTATAGGAGGAGAAGGCGTACCAGCACCAGCAACAACATTTGCACAAGCTAATGCACCAGCTTCTGCACCAACTCCTCCGCAGAAAAATGTTGCCAGCAGCGGTATATTCAACCTTGATCCGCAACTCATACAGCCGAAACAGCGGAGGAGTGTGAGCGAGTCTGTCGACGATACGCCCAACAATTCGACCTCGCAGCAGAACAACACACAGAACACAAGCAGACGAGCAACCCGGCGTCGCAAAGGAACGGCGCAGAGTAACAACATATAATAAACGAACAGTGTACACAAATATATCTATTTATTACAAGCCTCTATTGAGTTATTCATACATTCCATCAAAGACTGCAGAGCTTCTCTGTCAGATTGTTGCAGGTTTGAGAGTTGTGCAGGTAGACCGTGTATAGATCTTCCTGAGAGCGTGTTGGCATCGTAGCCAAGAACACGCTGTAAGACTACCTCTCTGTTCCGGGAGCCGTCTATGTCTATGCTGTCGAGTTGAGCAAGGAGATTTTTGAGGTTGGGGTGTGTTTGGAAGAGCTGTCGTATTTCTGGGCTTGTAGCTATGCTGAGGACTTGGCTGCGTCTGAGCGGCTTAGGGTCGTTACGGGATAGTGCGTCAATGAATATTTTCTCATCTGGCTCTTCTGGCCACCTGAGAGAATGTAGAGGTCTGAGGGGAGCGTCGACTTGTTTTGATGTTTCTAATTGTTCTGGTGGTGGTGTCGTTGTTGTTGTTGCTGCTGCTGCTGCTGGCGTCGTTGTTGCTGCCACCGTCGCTGTCTGCTCGCTTTCGCTTTGCTTTCCATTATCTTTTACGTCGACGCTTCCACCCAATTCAGCTGTTGGCTGCGTTAGCATTGGGTGCTGGGTACTAGGTACTCTTCGCCCACCTTGAATCGCCTTGTAACATGGCAGCGAGCAGTAGTAAAGCCCAGTGGATGGATGTTGGTATTTGAACGGCTGAGCGTGGCAAACCTGGCAGCTCTTCTCCCTTTCCTTGTCCAGCTGCTGCTTCTTCTTCTTATAAGCGGGCATTAAAGTATTCTATCAAGTTAAAGTATGTAAATTACAATCCTCGTCCTCTCTAGTGCTTCTTGTCTTCCGAAATCCACCAAATTGGATATCTGCGTGTGCCAAGGTTCTGGTGGTAGTGGTGTGAGCAGTGAGCAGGAATCACGACGGAAAGCGCAACTCACATTCCAGAAAAGCGCCCATCCCAACATGAGCAGAGTACTGACGAGGAGATTGTACAAGAAGCGCCAGCTAGCAGACACAGCTGTTGGGTTAGTGATTGCGATCAGCGCCGTCGCGCCAGCGGGTGGGTGGATAGTGCCAGTGATCTGCATGACGACGACAGCAGTGCCAGTGGCAAGACTAGCAGCGAGCCACGTCAGCTGTCCTACCTCCATTGCATCTGGGAATACGGTTGTGCTCGGGGTATAGCCGTCGTTGAGAGCGAACAACCGCTGGAATATCACGCCTGTCAATCCACTAAGGAAATGACCGAAAACCAGATTACGCGGTTGTGCTAAAGGGCTCTCAAACGATCCAAAGAGAAGGACACAGGATGCACCCATCGATGGTACCACATAGGGATTCCACCCTACCAGGCTGTCGCTGTAGCTGAATACACCAACTAGCAGTGCTATACCGACAAAAGATCCAATCCATCCAAATACCAGCGTCTCCACTTCATTAGGTATCTTGCGGAAGGCGGGGAATAGCGGCGTTGGGATGTCAGTGTCCACGCTGCGATAGCCTAGGAAATGCGAAATTGGCGCAGGTAGACGCGCAAGCCACCGCTCTGACTGTGACGCGCGACAGAATTTCTTATCGAGTATTTTGAATGGGTTCAGTGTGCGCATTGATCGATCGTCGCGGATTGACTCAATCCAACACCGCGGTTCTAGACTTGCACTGTTGACAAACCAAAATGACAATACTAATTACATATATAAACATCAATCGCTAAACTAGTACAATTGCATACAATACGTCCTGTCTTTGAGTGCCTTCAATCCGAGCGCGTTAAAATCTTCAACACCTACCCATAGCTCATTCGCTACTTCAAGCTTGGAGAGCGTCGAGACTCCACACCACGCGAGGAATTGGCTATGTACATCTTTAGGAGGTGGAACGTGTTGGACACGATCGACGAAGCCATATTGAGGTGACAGCTGTAACGCATCCTTCAACTTAACCTCCAATGCTTGGTTTACTCCCTTCAAATGTCCTCCTCCTCCTGTTAGGACGAGCGAGGTGCAGAACTTCTTGATGCGCTCTTCCGTTGTCGTTGTGGAGATGGAATTGAGGATGGCTAGATGCAGAGGCAATTTCGACGACTCGATCAATACATCTTTATCCTTCTCACATTCCATACTGGTCTTCTCTGTGGTATATTTCTCTTTGCCTCTCGCACCCTTCTTATCTTTCTCAATACTGCCTACTCTGTTTATTGTCGAGATCTGCATCGCTTGACTAACACTCCCGCTACCAATGTCGAGAGTTTGAGGTGCATCTCCCCACAACTTGTGCGATGCGCGGTGTTTTTCCGAAAAGTTGACTAGCTGTGGATGGAACAGCAAATTAGGAGCCTTAATACCATCTTCGTAAACTCTGACGCTATACTTTTTGCTATTCTCGTTAGGTTTGCGCACGATAAAGTCGTGAGTCGTGATAGCGAGGTCGCTCTGCAGACGTGTAAGCTTAATCGAGCTGCACAAACGCTTCCCACCTCGTTCAACGTGCACGCCCTCTCCTTGAGATTCTCAAATATATTCCAATCACCCGCGTCAGCCATGTTGGTAGGCTGGTATGGGAAAGCGGCGTCAATGAGTAACTGGTGGAAGAAGAGGGTAATATCGTCACCACCATAAGCAAGTTCCATTCTAAATATGTTTAGCATTGGTTTTGTGCATCAGGCTTAACCTACCGACTCTCAGGTATGACGACACCTTCTTCTACACAAGCGATAGAGGTTTTCTGGGCACCTATGTCGACAACACAGGCGCTAGATAAACCGCAACCGAAAGCTGTACCATTTGCCTCCTGTATTAGAAGGATCTGCTTACACCCAACGAGATTGAGGATAACGTTGGTCATTTCAGTGACATAAGTGGCAGTGTAGCTGTTGGGAATGATGAGAGCAATGCTGAGCGATTTTATGTCGGAGAGAGTGAAACTGAAAATGTTGGTAAGAATGTTTGAGAGTAGAGTATCTATATCTGCGAGAAGGAGACTGAGTGAGGAGTAATCTTGTGTGTTAAAATCGCCGCCAAGGAAAGGTCGTTTTATATCGTAGAACTGTTTTGCACTATCAGTTAGTTTGAAGACATTCTCGCCAACTAAGACAGAAGGAAGAAAGGAGCTGTCGATGTTTGAGTCAATGTATTGATCGGACGAGTTAAGGTGGCTTGGGAGGACTTCAGGAACAACCTGCTGATTGAAGGAGATGGATTGCGACTGGCCCTGTGGATTTGAAACTAACTTGTTAGCTTTGAGAGCATTGTTGAGGTCATTAGATATGGCGGAGAGTGTGGTGGTGTATTGCGAGGTGTTGAGGGAGGTGTGGGGAGAGTGAGAGCTGCTGCTACCCCTACTATCACTCTCAACGCTCTTCTTACGGGCAATAATCGAAGGAATCAAAAGGGGTTTATCAGCGTCAGATTGAGCAATGCGAATGAAAGTGGAGCCAGGTTGAATGATCAAAGTACGTTGATACTTTGTGTACTCGTGAGAATCTTCACCTAATTTGCGTTTATGAGCCTCCATTCTATCGTTAATGGATAGTTGAATATACTTGTTTGAAGACCACGATTGATTATCAGATTTCAGGTAATTAGAGGAAACGTTCTTTGTATTTAGATAAGGGATAGGCGTGTAGTTTGTAAATTTAAGAGAAGATTCATCTAAGCGTGGTTCTGGGTAGGTAGTTGGGTTTAGATGTTGTTGAGAATGATTGTTAGCGTATACAACATCCTTATCAATCTAAATGTCGTAATTAGTTTAATCGTTCTTTAATTTATAAGACTCGCCTTCTTTCTCGGCATCTTGGTGGTTGACAATGAACAGTACGCTGATAAATCTCGCAATAAAAAGGAGCATAAGGAGGAAAATTAACGTTAGACTGTTAAACGATAATAGCATTTCAAATGTAAAGCCAGGATTTATGAGGAATACACTTTATCCAGCTGGGTTGGCTGAGTACTTGGATTTCAATCTGGCAGTGAGAGAGGGGATAGATGAAAATGTTGGTAAGAATGTTTGAGAGTAGAGTATCTATATCTGCGAGAAGGAGACTGAGTGAGGAGTAATCTTGTGTGTTAAAATCGCCGCCAAGGAAAGGTCGTTTTATATCGTAGAACTGTTTTGCACTATCAGTTAGTTTGAAGACATTCTCGCCAACTAAGACAGAAGGAAGAAAGGAGCTGTCGATGTTTGAGTCAATGTATTGATCGGACGAGTTAAGGTGGCTTGGGAGGACTTCAGGAACAACCTGCTGATTGAAGGAGATGGATTGCGACTGGCCCTGTGGATTTGAAACTAACTTGTTAGCTTTGAGAGCATTGTTGAGGTCATTAGATATGGCGGAGAGTGTGGTGGTGTATTGCGAGGTGTTGAGGGAGGTGTGGGGAGAGTGAGAGCTGCTGCTACCCCTACTATCACTCTCAACGCTCTTCTTACGGGCAATAATCGAAGGAATCAAAAGGGGTTTATCAGCGTCAGATTGAGCAATGCGAATGAAAGTGGAGCCAGGTTGAATGATCAAAGTACGTTGATACTTTGTGTACTCGTGAGAATCTTCACCTAATTTGCGTTTATGAGCCTCCATTCTATCGTTAATGGATAGTTGAATATACTTGTTTGAAGACCACGATTGATTATCAGATTTCAGGTAATTAGAGGAAACGTTCTTTGTATTTAGATAAGGGATAGGCGTGTAGTTTGTAAATTTAAGAGAAGATTCATCTAAGCGTGGTTCTGGGTAGGTAGTTGGGTTTAGATGTTGTTGAGAATGATTGTTAGCGTATACAACATCCTTATCAATCTAAATGTCGTAATTAGTTTAATCGTTCTTTAATTTATAAGACTCGCCTTCTTTCTCGGCATCTTGGTGGTTGACAATGAACAGTACGCTGATAAATCTCGCAATAAAAAGGAGCATAAGGAGGAAAATTAACGTTAGACTGTTAAACGATAATAGCATTTCAAATGTAAAGCCAGGATTTATGAGGAATACACTTTATCCAGCTGGGTTGGCTGAGTACTTGGATTTCAATCTGGCAGTGAGAGAGGGGATAGAGAGCAGTGGTGGTGTAGGATTGCAATCACCCACAGCCACCGCCAACACCTCCACAGATTCATTCGATTTAACCACCTTACAAGATCAAACGATTCAAATAAACAGATCAACAATCGATAAACATAGAATTCATGGTTCAATCAGTGTTAAGGATATTCAGCAAATTTTGCTCAACGACTACCAGTTAAACACGTACAATAACGATGTATCCGTGGATATCGTGGATGATGATAGGCTTGTGAATAGAAATCAAACAAAGTTAATCAAGTCAGTTGGTCATTATAAACTCATGTTGAATAACAAATTTACTTTAAATCTTGTAATCAACGACGTTTGAATGTCTTCTCTCTTCTTGCACCTAAACAACCACCAATGAAGCTAACAATCCTATCAACTACTTCAAAACCTTCTAATATCTTCCCTTTGAATGTTGACTTATCCGATGGCTCTACTTTGCTTTCCCTTAAACTGAAAATTCATAAGAGTGTACCCAACTTTTCACCTTCAAGACAAAGGCTTTCAAATGTAAATAAGGAACCTTTAAAGGATGATTCTGCTTCTCTTTCCCATCTTAACATCCACAACGGTGATATCCTCTATATCAAAGACTTGGGCCCACAAGTTAGCTGGACTACTGTCTTCTTGGTTGAATACGCTGGCCCTCTACTCATACACCCTTTCTTCTACCACCTTAGCACTCTCATCTACAGAAAACACTTTACTCATTCAAACATGCAAGCTCTAGCTTATACCCTCATCCTTATTCACTTCTTCAAAAGGGAATTTGAAACAATCTTCATACACAGATTCTCTAACTCCACTATGCCCTTCTTAAATATCTTCAGAAACTCTGCTCATTACCACTTACTCTCTGGTCTTCTCATTGCCATCGCTATTTATGGTCCTTGGTACTCTTTGGAAGCCCTAAAACACTCTCACAGATCAAATCCTTCTTATCTCGCTGCTTGGTCTGCTTTCTGGCTCGTATGTCCCATCTCTTTGTCTATGTTTCCTTCTCAATCTTTGCCCAGTTCTGTCAAATCTCTAACCTCATCACTCACCTTAAACTTCGCAATTTAAGACCACCAGGTACCAAAGAGCGCAACATTCCAACTGGCTATGGCTTTGATTTGGTTTCTTGTGCCAATTACTTTTTTGAAATTGGTTCTTGGGTCGCTATCTTAGGTATCACTGGTTCTTGGGCAGGTGTGTGTTGAATTATATCTAATTCACCCCTTTAACACCAAAATCAGTCGCTATCTTCTTACTTGTGAGCGCTTTCACTATGGCCAAATGGGCAAAGAAGAAAGATGCATTGTACAGAAAGCAATTCGGTGACAAGTACCCAAAGAATCGTCGTATCTTGATTCCTTACATTTGGTAATGTTGTTTATCATTTTGTATTTTTTCCATTTATATTTGAAAATAAAATCTGGAGAAGTGTACTCATGTGTCTTTTATTATCTTTCATTTCGGACAAATTAAAGGATTTGATGGCCAAAAAATTCTCCCTGTCTGGGAGTTGAACCCAGCTCTCCCGCGTGACAAGCGGGCGTACTAACCGATATACTAACAAGGATTGATAATTTCTCTTTTTCAAAATGAATAAAAATCTCAATTTAGTCTAACAACAAAATTCAATTTTATGCCTTTAAAAGCGTCTATTCGAACTTTACACACATATAGATACTTACCAACTACTAATCAAAGGAAAGGACCAAATTGAGCCCTCCATATTCACTCAAACGTTCTAAATATTTACTCATTTCCATCCTTATTGAGGTGAATAAGATAACAGACGTTATTAAATTCCCACAAAATGTGTGTTAGTAATAGTTTTATATGCAAATCACCTGGTTTCTGATGGTTTACGGGATTGACTTGATTACTGGAGGAGATTAACTGACTAAAGGTGAAAAATGTCGAGGAACAACGAGCAATTGGATTGATTATTTTTAAAATCTCCCTAGACAATTTTTGTTCATATTGAATGTCACATTGCCCATATCAACATAATGGCATCATAATTGGTCCGAAAACGGCTAAGATACTCCGAGTGATTTGAGGGAAAGAGCGTGTATTGCAATGAGGGGCATATCAAACAGATACCACGACCTATGCACCGAATTCCCCTATCCGATTGATGTGACTGTGGAGCTATACAAAACCAAGACCGGAAATTGAGACAGAAGTGTATCAACGCCAGAAAACGCCAATCAATGCCATTAAAATGTTAAATTCGAATAATTTTGGTAAATTGAATCGAAAAAGTGGTTAGTAGATTCTACTTGAACACCCACCTTACACCAGAACCATCATCATCACTATAACCATTGTGAAGATAACCGAGGATAGTTCATGTCAACTTATTCAAATAAATCTAAAACGCTTCCACCCGCGCTGAGTAACGCAGGTAGCGCTCGTGGATCTTATAAGCCACCGCCTCCACCGAAATCAGTGCGATCGAGTCATTCTAAGAAATCTCATAGCAATAAGCCAGCAACTCAAAGTCATCCACCAAGTAGAATGGATTTACTGAGAGAGAAGAGCAACGTACACTCAATTGATAATTCGATACCTTCACCGGTGGAGTGAGTTTTGATTTTCTAATTTGGGCGAAATTATTCACTTAAAATCCCAATAGTGAGGCTAGAATTAACGATATCACTAACTCCGGATATCACCGTCCTCAAGATGAACCTAGCCTCCGCTCTGAGCTGTTGACTGACGTTCCAGAGGAGTACGAGCATGGTAATGATACAAAGTTATCTGAATTACGCGCGAGATTGGAAGCCCTGGTTACTCAAGGCACTGGTCCAAACCTCGGTAGCTTTGGCATTGCTGCCGATCATGATGACATGGGTACCCTTAGAGCTCCATCAGTTGCCCCAAGTGCCGATGCAACTCCTAGAGATGTTCACGGTGGTCCGAAGAGTATCAAGAACTACGCTCCTTCACTACACCAATCTCATTATGCTGAAATTATGGAAGAACACTCTCCAGAACAGCCAGAGCATGTTGAGAGACATACTGAGCGTGTTGAACATTATCCGGAGCATTCAGAGAGGCATATCGAGCGCGTTGATGATCATCCACAGCATTTTGAGAGGCACGTTGAGCGTTCAGATCATCATCCCGAGTATCATGATCAGAATGAGCATTCAAATCACCCTGATCATGTCAGTATACATCATTATCACCATGTCCATGATTCTCCACACGCAGCCACCCATTTACCCTCTCACCCACCTTCTTTGATACCTTCAATTGCTCAGACTCGCGCTCCATCACGAATGGACTCGAGTAGGGGCTTTTCAGCAGTGCCTTCGCATCACCATTCACACGCTCCTTCACAGCACCACTCACACGCCCCCTCACACCACTCACGCGCACCATCACATTCCTATACACCCTCACACCACCACCACCACTCACACACACCCTCATCCCATCGTTCACCTTCAAAATCAGACTCACCTTCACATTCACATTCTCATGATCCACACGATCATATCATCCATCACGATCATATCGTCCATGACCACGACATACCGCCGCACATGGCACCATACGTGACGCAAGAAGCGGACAGACGCAGGGAGTCGTCGCAACTAGAGAGGGAGTTACTAGAGATCGTTGGTACAGCAGAAGAATCTGAAAATGAAATGCGCAAAGTAATTTCAAGACTGCAGCGTAAATTACAAGACACGGAGCAGACGAAAGAGACTGATGTGGCGACTGTGAAATCGTTGCAGGATGCGTTGCGAGATGCTGAATCCCGCGGTATCGCTCTAACGCAAGCCCGGAAAGACGCTGAAATAGCCGCCGCTAATGAAGCACGACGTATTGAAGGATATAGGTATAGAGATGGAGAGAGACATCGGGAGCTATCGCATGCGGGTGACATGATTCGGCAGTTGCAGGTAGATCTCGATGATGCGGAAGAGGAGGTATTGTTTCTGCGCCAGAAGGCACACAAGGCGGATATAGTAGTAAGTGAGCGACTTTTTTGGGCGATGTTGCTGACGAGCGATACTCAGGAGGCTGAGCGCCGAGGACGCAATCAGGAGCGGGAGAAGCGACGCAAGGAGAAAGACAAAGAGCGTGAGCGCAAGGCGTTAGCGGCGGCGAATGCGGCAGTGGTGACGAATCCAAATGGGGCAAGACACCACACTCACACGCCGCGCCATCATCGCACACCCAGCATAGCTACACCATCAACAGCTTCACCATCACCGCGCTTAGGCACAGACACACACAGCCGCTCGCGCACCAACTCGCTTTATGAGCCACGTCGCCGACCCAGCCAGCGTAATGCGTACCAGCAGGCGCAAGCGCACATGCGCCACCCTCACCACCCTCACCCTCACCCTCATCATCGTCATAGTCACAGCCAGCCATATAACCCACACCCAACACCGCCAATGACAGGCGCCGGACCGTATGGGCCTGCGGGAGGTATCTATGAGAGTCCACCAGGAGGTGAGCTAGCGGAGCAAGCGTCGATACGAGCGCCTTCGACAGTGGCAGATCCGCGATTGGGACCATACAGACCACCGCAGCCAGACCGAGTCGAGGACCTGTACAACTACTACGAACCCCCAGGATGGCCGCAAATGGGACGAGCGCCAACGATGACCGACCGAGCTAGCGTACAACCTAACGGGAGTCCCGTTGAACCCAACCATACACCACTCAGTGTAGTTAACCAGCCGTCGCACCTGGATGGAGAGGAACACCCTCTCGCGCCAGGACACAGCGACGGCAATCGTTATCGGCGTGCAAGCGGAGCATACACACAACCCACACATGCGGCCAGCGAGCAGATCAGACGCTCTGCTGAACCCTTACATACCCATGCAAATAGAGGAGGAGGAGCAGGACCCCCATATCATCCCGTTGTCGTCGAACCGGGACAAGGCGAAAGAGGAGAAACGGGGATTCAAGTACAAAATGAAATGGGTGCTGGATCAGCTCTAGGATTGGATATGGAAAGAGGGGGCATTCCTCATCATCATCATCATCACCAGCCTGTACCGGGCGGTTTGAGCAGAGGTCCTTCTCCTCTGCCGGAAATTAGTCTTGAGCCTCCATCTTTGAAAGGGACGCCTGTGCCGCACGCACCTCACGCCCATCACACCCATCACACCCATCACGCACCGACGATGGATCCTACCGGTGTACCTCTTCCTGAATCTGTGTTTGGGGGGTCGACTGGAACGCATCATACGCATGGGACACATGGGACGCATCACACTCAACCTGTTCACCACGCACACCATTCACACCACCCTGCTCACCCTCACCCTCACCATACTCACACTCAAATGCCCACACCCACTGGACACGCTCGCAATGTGCCACTGCCAGACTCGGTGATAGGGTCGCCTGTCATGTCGGGAGCGACGGCGTACCGAGGAATGGCACCGGTGGAACCGATGGCACCGATACACCAAGCTGAACCATCGCGACCACCTTCAATGAGTGGGATGAGTGGGATGCCATTTGGCGGCGGTGGTAGTGGGTTCAGCGGCTATCCGGGAGAAGTGCACCCACTCAGTCAGGCAGCAGCCGGGATGCACGTCGAGGGTGCACACCCGCCTCCGCTATGACTAGATCGGGGCAGAGGGCTGTGGAGGGGGATTGTAGAGCGGCTCAAGGAGTATTACTAGGGAGCGAATAGAAACTAATACATATAATTCAATTTCATTTTAACAAAGGCAAATCACTTTGGTGTGCGTGGACGACCTCCGCTGAGGGTGTTTCCAGACTGTTTCTCGTTCTTGTCGCCAAGCTTGGAAGCAACTGGACTTCCTTGTGGGTTGGCAGCCGTCGTGCCGCTTGCAAAAGGTTTGCCAGTCTTTGGGTGGGATAAGATGATGTCATACGCTATCCACCACTGCTCACCTCTTGTTCAATGCCCTGGGAAGAGGACACAGGATCAGGTCTAGAGCCGTCGTAGGCAGCGTCTGAGTGCGCAACTTCGTCTGGGTCGGGGCCACCAGGAGTAGTCTGCTCCTGCACACCGACGCCTTTATCTTGGGTTTTGGAGAGGGAGGATGGGGAGGTAGAGAGCGTTCTAATGTTTCTAGTGCTGGATGCTGTAATATTCCTAGTGCTGAGCCTTGTAAACATGATTGTCCAATGTAAGGAAGAAGGCTTGGATTTTGAAGGGTAAATTGTATTTCGAGGGGAGTCGAAATAAAGGATTTTCACTGCAAATTACTAGTCTCCTTGTGCACCTCTCTCCCGCACACTACCACCACCATGTCGTTATCAAATGCTAAGGCAGCCACCCAAGGAATCGCAAAGGTGGCCACAAGCAGTGCCACAGGATCTGCAGCCAGAATTCTCCGTGGGAATGTCACCAAAGTCGGTAAAATGGATAAAACTGCGACTGTGTGTGTCGATAGGCAGGTGGAGCACAATCTAACCAATAAGGTGGGAAATAGCTGTACATTCTGCTTCCTCTAACCCTCGCAGCTCCTCACTCGCACTACAAAACTTCTCGTTCACGATCCCACAAACGCAATGCAGCTAGGCAACTCCGTTATCGTAAAGGCTTGCAGACCACTGAGCAAACGCAAACACTACACTCTAGACTCCATTCTCGATCCATTCAAGCACCAGCAACTCCCTAAACCACACCAATTGCGTATTCCAATTCCCACCAAAAAGTGGTCTTAGATTTTTTTCCGTAATATTCTTATTATGCTTATATATGCTCATATTAGAAATATCAAATGTTTGTCTATATGCTCCTTTCTACAACCTCATACTAGCTTCTACATCCACTCGCTTCTTCTCATTTGCACTTTTACTCTGCTGACTCTTACGCTCACCCGCAAACGCTTCCTTGGTCTCCTTCTTCTCCACCCGCCTACTCTGTTTACCACTTTTTGCTGCTTGTTTCCGTGCTTTCTTCTCTTCTTTTGTCTCATTTCTATCGCGGGCAATTGTAGTCTTCTTTGGGGTAGCGAGGGTGTCGCTGTGATAACTCTCGCCTTCACTATCACTCTGGCCATGATCACCCTGCTCACCTTCAACAACCTCCATTGGGAACCCTGTCTGAGGATCAACCACTATCTGCACTTTTTTCACCGGCGCAACGTCTTCCTTCTCAGCGAATGCGACGTGTTTCTCAGGTGTCTTGTGCTCCACCTTCTTCTGCCTCCTCCTACCCAATAAATCCTGTGAGCGGATTTGCTTAGGGTGGTTTTCAGTGTTGGTGTATGTAGAGAGAATAGTCTCTGCATCCATCCTATCTTCTTTGGCATCGACGTCGAATGGCAGTGGGAGTGCGCTGTCATCTTCCTCCTCCTCCCCTTCTGCTATCCTGTGCGCCGATGTGACACGTTTCGAAGCTGCATCACTGTGCCTTTTCAATTGCTCTCCCCGAGGTGCCAAATCTGCCATGGCCAATCGCATAGTGTTGAGTTTTTCAAGTGGTGTCTCACCCTCCAACTTTTGCTTTACTTTTCCTCCAATTACCTCGTAATTATCGAGGAAATCGTCGAGGATGGTGTCGAAATCCTCACGAGATGTTACATTGAGTTCGCTGGTGGGGTCAAAGTCTTCATCATCATCATCATCATCGTCAGGATTGTCATCATCCTCACTATTATACTCCTCTTCTATCCTATCAAACTGCGCATCAAGTGACTGCAAGCCGTCATTGCGGAACATGGAGCTACTTGACATGGAGTATCCACTTGCGTCTGAACCAGCTTTACGTAACTTTCTCCTAGTCCTCGCTGCACCAATGCCACTTCTTAAACTACCTACTGTATCAGCACCTTCAGATCTATAGTCGCTCATGTCACTCATCTGTGACGGTTCATTGGTGTCCACTTCACTAGGTAATTCATCGTCATCCGAAGCAGCTCCGTCTTGAGGCTCCTGTTTGCTCGCTAATTTGAACTGTTTGAACCTCTCCATCCAGTCTGAGGTGTGGAATGGGGTGAGGTCTTCGCCAGCTGCTTTCGCGCGCTCGTACTCCGCTCTCTCGCGCTCTTTGCGCGCTGTAATAGCTGGGTCTTCCTCCTCATCAGGACCGAAGTCGACAATCTCGTCTGATCCTCTGACACCACCACTGACGAGGCCATCTAGCCATTGCGAGTTGATTGTGTCAGCATCTTGAGTATTCCTTGATTCTTGTGCAACATTCAAATCATCCAACTCATCCAACTCATCTGCCCCTGGATCATCTTCCAAGTAAGCATCATCTTCTAATGCTTCAAGGGTTTGTCTAAGAGCAGGATCCATATCAGGATTAAAACCTTGCAACTCGAGTGGAATAGCAGTCTGGCTTTCATATGCCTTAAGCATAGCCTGCTGATGTTCTTCTTCCTGCTGTTGTTTCAACATGAAGCCCTTCTTGGCACTCTTTGCATCTTTTGCAGGTGCAGCTATCAACACGCTATCCAACTCATCTCCGTAAGCATCCTGTCCGCCTATAGTACGCAGGTGTTGCGTGTAGTCGTACTGTGTATCGTCGTAGTAAATGCCGAAATTGGCTGCATCGCCTGCCTTTCCTTTGTTGTTCTTGTTGCCGTTATTGCTATTGCTCGCCTGCTCACTACCTTTCTCCACGCGCTTGAGCACACCCTCGTCTCTACTCGGATCTCGCCCTTCATCTCTCTGGGAACGGTGCACCAACTGGAATTTCTGTGCGCCTGGTTTTTTGAATATCGATACAGGTGCCATAGAGTGAGTGTGATTATCAGATGATGGACGTTCAGGACAACTAAATTTTTAAAGAAATCAAGTTAAGTGGAGATGATTGAGAGTGGGCGTGGGTGTGTTTGTGAAGTTCTTGTGTAGTTGGCAATCTCTTGATATCAGCTGTATTGAGTTGTGTGTGTCTGTGTCGATGGAGAAAAGGTGTTTGTGAATTTGAAAGAAATACTTGAGGATGGGGGAGTGTGTATATCAATAATACTATGCCCATCTCTATAAATAAAATAATAAAATATTTACTTTAAATTTATTATGATTTCATTCTCGTTATCAGGTTCGCGCTTCCACTCTCACTCTTAACCAACGACGCCGATGACAGCGAATCTGAAGCGAGGAGCGAGTACAGAGAATGATAAGAAGGTGGGTGTTTTGTGGATTTCAGGGCTATTCATTCATCTTCCACACAGCCAAAGAAAGCTAAACAGAATATTGGATCAGATTCTGAGTCTGAATTGAGTGACGTGCCTGATGAGCCACAACAACCACCACAAGTAGAACAAGTTACTCAAGTCAAACAAGAATCGCCTTCAAATCTCAAACACGCATCAGATGTCACTCCCAAAGTAGAAAATACAAATGGCTTGGAAAATTCAAGTGATTTGGTTAATCTGAAGGAAATAGAGAATAACAAGGTTAGCAATGATCAAGACTTGAATACTTCGACTGTCTCCCCTAAGAAATCATCCAAATCAAACAAACCATCAGAAGACAGCGACTTTGATGAAAAACCAAAGGCTAGAAGTTCACGCAGATCAGCCAGCGCCAAGAAGGAGAAGAAGGAAAATGTCACCGATGATGAGAAGAAAACACCCAAGAAAACACCAAAGAATTCTTCCCAACCACCCAATCAAACACCGAATGGTGACGTTAAAGACGAAGGCGATGACGAGGATGATTACAAGTGGTGGGCTGAACAAGGCGGTTTCGGTGATGGTACTGAGAGATGGTCTACTCTAGAACACAACGGCGTATTCTTCCCACCTGAATACATACCCCTGCCTAAACAAGTCAAAATGAAATATGATGGAAAATTAGTTGAACTGTCAAACGAGGCTGAAGAAGTTGCTGGTTTCTATGCTGCCGTCTTGGGGTCTGATCACGCTGCTGATGAGACATTCAACAAGAACTTTTTTCAAGACTTTCAGTCGGTTTTGAGGGATCATCCTCCACTCGACGGTACAAAGATTAAAGATTTCGAAAAATGTGACTTCTCCCCTATCAGAGAACATCTCGACATCGAGAAAGAAAAGAAGAAGGCAATGACTAAAGACGAAAAGAAGCACGCCAAAGAGCAGCGTGATGAGATTGAAAACCCTTTTACTCACTGTCTCCTCGACGGTCGTAAAGAGAAAGTCGGTAACTTTCGCATAGAACCTCCTTCTCTGTTTAGAGGTCGCGGTGCTCATCCTAAAAAAGGTAAACTCAAGCTACGTATAAGGCCAGAGCAAATCACTATCAATATCGGAAAAGACGCTAAGATACCAGATGCTCCACCAGGCACCAATTGGGGTAGTGTCCAGCACGATAACACAGTCACCTGGTTGGCTACCTGGAAGGAAAACATCAACGGTGCTTACAAGTATGTCTACCTCGCTCCAGGTAGTACTTTAAAAGGTCAGAGTGATATGAGTAAATTTGAAAAGTCTAGGGAGTTGAAGGTGTGTTTGCGCTGTTTCCATTATTTTGACTTTCTAACATGCACACTCAACAGCACTACATCGGCAACGTCCGTGAAAGCTATGAAGCTGATTTACAAAATAAAGTCATGTTTGATAGACAGAGAGCCACAGCGGCATACCTTGTCGACAGACTTGCTTTGCGTGCTGGTAATGAGAAGGGAGAAGATGAAGCTGATACAGTTGGATGTTGTTCGTTAAGATGCGAGCATGTCATGCTACGACCACCTAACCTAGTCACCTTTGATTTCCTGGGTAAAGATAGTGTGAGGTTTTACCAAGAGGACATTAAAGTCGACCCTCAAGTATTTAAGAATCTACGCATATTTAAAAAGGAGCCGAAAGGACCACAAGATCCAATTTTCGACAGAATTCATACTACAGTACTCAACAACTACTTCCGCGGGTTCATGAAGGGGTTGAGTGCCAAGGTGTTCCGTACATATAACGCGTCTATCACGTTCCAGGAGGAACTCAAACAGACTCCTAATGAGGGCACCGTGGCTGAGAAGCTGCTGTCATTCAACAGAGCTAATAGGAACGTGGCCATTCTGTGTAATCACCAGAAAAATGTGTCCAAGAGCCATGATGCAACGATGGATAAGATGGGCGATAGACTCAAGGCATTAAAATACCAACGCAGGAAGCTGCGTCAGATGCTTGCGCAGGTGGCGGACGATAAAAAGGTTTACAAGGACCACCCTAGTTTCAAAGACGAGGAATCAGATCTAGAGGATGAGTGGATGGATGCGCATGAGGAGAACGAGCGTGATAAGGAGGTGGAAAGGCAGAAGAAGAAGTTTGAGAGGGATAATGAGAAGTTGCGCAATGAAGATCAGAAGGAGATGAAGCCGGAGGATTTGGGGGAGAGGTTGCAGGAGGTGGAGGAAAAGTGGAAGACAGTCACCAAGGAACGCAGAGCTGGGAAACCAGATGTCGGGAAAAAGAATCAGACACAACTCACAACTGCAATGCAAAAGATGGAGGATCGTCTCGAGGCATTCAGAGTAAATGCATCGAACAAGGATGAAGTTAAGGATGTTTCGTTGGGAACGAGTAAGATTAACTACATAGATCCACGCATAACTGTGGCATGGTGTAAGGCATATGAGGTGCCTGTTGAGAAGGTATTTGCAAAGACACTGCTTACTAAGTTTACATGGGCCATGGAGACGAGTCCTGATTGGAAATTTTAAAAGCACATGCATGAATAACTCAATATTGATAAAATTTGTTTATAAAAGTAAATTAAATTTAAATTACGTCATCTTCTCTTTTCGGTCGTAACTACCACGGCCGATGTTTACAAGGAATAATTGGATTAGAGGGAGCAGGGCTGGAGTAACGGCTGCGAGGCTACCAGCGTATAGACCAGTGAATATTACCACCCGCCTCCAATCATCAACCAAAGCAAACGAGCAGCTGTTCCATCGATACTTTGTCAAACCAGCCAAATACGCGGCATACGGCTGTGGATCTATAGTATTCGGCATTTCGGCATTTGTTGCTGTGGGTTGCGCTACTCCTCCTCCACGCCATGTCTCATTAATCGCGTTAGATCATTTTCGCGCACGATGCCATGACCTGTGAGTGGCGTAGGGAGTGTTCAGGTGGCTAGAAACTCACGCAGCACACAGACGAAGGCTCGTACATCGACAGAGTAAACGCCAACCCAATCTCAATGGCCCCACAGACAGGTGGAAAGAAGAATCTGCCGATAACCCAAATTTTCATGGACGATGAGGAGGATCCAGAGGCTCAGGCTATCTCTGAGAAGCCCCACCTCGTTATCATCGGGAATGGATGGGGTGGTATTGGTGTTTTAAAGGAATTGGAGCACGGGGATTACAAAGTTACAGTGATTAGTCCCGCCAATCACACACTCTTCACTCCACTTCTCCCCTCTGCCGCTGTCGGTACCGTTGAGATCAGATCCCTGGTTGAATCTCTGCGTAAACTCGTGGCACGCGTCAGAGGCCATTACATTTCAGGCGCAGCTGCTGATATCGATTTGAGCAACCGTCTAATTGAAGTTCACTCTAAGCGTCCAGATGGCTCCGTCGACCAGTTCTACGTCCCTTACGATAAAGTCGTCATAGCTGTCGGTGCCAACACCGCAAGCCACGGCGTGCCTGGTCTCGAGCACTGCTTCCAACTCAAGACAGTTGGTGATGTTCTGCGAATTAGACGTTCCATCATGCAGAATCTCGAGGCTGCTGCTCTGCCTACCACTTCAGACCAGGAACGCAAACGTCTCCTCAGCTTCGTCATCTGCGGTGGTGGTCCGACGGGCATAGAAATGGCTGCGGAGATCTTTGATGTCCTTAATGAGGAAGTCGGTAAGTACTTCCCCAAGCTTTTGCGCAAGGAGATTAGCGTCCACGTTATCCAATCGCGCGACCACATTCTCAACACGTTCTCAGAGAAGATCTCTGAATATGCCGAGAAGAAATTTGCCAAGGATGAAATTAACGTCGTGCTCAATGCGCGCGTCAGTCGCGTCGAGAAGGACAAGATACTCTACACGCTCAAGACTGAGAAGGGCGACAAAACCGAGCACGTAATCCCAGCCGGGTTTATGTTGTGGTCAACGGGATTAGGTGGGTGAGAGTATTTCGGTGCGCACTCTCTGACTTTATTTGTTTCTCGTCGTTCGCAGGCATGAACCCATTCGCTAAGCGCGTCTGTGAGCAGCTCCCTAACCAGTTCCACAGCAAGGCTATCATCGTTGACTCGCACATGCGCGTTAAAGGCGCGCCTCAGGGCACTGTTTATGCTATAGGTGACAATGCAACCGTCGATAACAACCTCCTCGACGCTCTTCTCGACCTCGTCGACGACTGCGATAGAGACCAAGACGGCCGCATCGATTTCGAGGAGTTTGAGATAATGTCACAGAAACTCCGCCACAGGTTCCCGCTGGCCAAGTCGCACTTGCAGAAGATTAAAAACATATTCCAGCGCTACGACAAAGATAAGGACAACGTGCTCGATTTGAATGAATTAGCCAGTCTATTTTCGGAGATTTCATCCAAGATCGTTTCCTTGCCTGCCACCGCACAGGTAGCGTCGCAGGAGGGCAAGTATCTCGGCAAGAAGCTATCCAAGCTGGCGTCGGCGAGAGAGAGACTTTCTGGCACAGAGATTGTCAACCAGGCTGGAGATTTGGATGACGAGATCGTCTCGGTGCCTTTCAGCTACCGCCATCTTGGCAGCTTGGCCTATATCGGTAACTCGGCCGTCTTTGACTTTGGTTCACCAGAGCTGTCGTTCGCAGGCGGTCTAATTAGTCTCTATCTCTGGAGATCTATCTATTGGTCGGAGCAGGTGTCGAATCGTACTCGCGCTCTCGTCATGATCGACTGGATCAAGAGGGGTATATGGGGCAGAGACCTGTCTAAGGTGAGTGGAGTGTGAGGTGTGAGGTATCGAGCACATGCTAACTGGTGTTACAGTTTTAAAACAGGATCGTAAAAAGGTTCAATGATTTGAAAGATACATTTAATTAGAATTGATAGAAAATTTGCTGGAAAACTCGCTCTTTATTGCACAACTGCACTACACTAATCAATTAGTCTACTAACCACGCCTTGCTTATGTAGTTGCGGATAGAATCTGCAAATATGAGCACCACTGTCTTGGAAGGGTCTTGGGAGATGGCGCTGCCCTGTTCGGTACGAAAGAACTGTAGTGCACCCGCTAAGCAGCTCCCCGCAGACCCACCAACGAGCAGGCCTTCTTCGCGGATAAGCTGACGCGTGCAATCGAAAGACTCCTCGTCGCCCGTCTTGACCCAGACATCTACAACACTTCTATCGAGTGTGTCTGGGAGGAAGTCATAGCCGATGCCTTGTGATATATAGTGAGTAGATCAAGTACACCGAATCGCACATCACACACCTTCAACAGCATAAGCGTGTGTTTCTCCATTCAGCGACTCGGGCAAAGCAAGTGAACTACCGAGAGGATCAACGCCCACGACAAAGAGCCCATCTCTGAAACCGTTGGTTGGGGAGTGAGATGAGTTGTGAGTGCGCAATCCGCGCGCTACCCCAGTGATAGTCCCACCCGTACCCACGCCGCTGACGACAGCGTCTGCGATGGCATCGTGGCCCAATGAGAACTGAATATCGCGAGCTATTTCTACAGATGTGCCCAGTTCGTGAGCAAGTGCATTATGTCTGTTAGTGTACTGGTTAAGCATGACTCCGCCGTCTACTTGGCGTACCAGTCGCTTCGCCACGCCTATGTTACTATTGGGGGAGTCGCTCGGAGCATCATTGGGAGTACGTATAATGTGTGCGCCGAGTGCTCGCATCACTGTGACCTTCTCGCTGCTCATTTTATCCGGTATCGCTATCATTACCTTGTACCCGAGCCGTGCTGCCACTAGACACAACCCGATGCCCGTGTTGCCGGACGTTGGCTCTATTATGGTACTCTGCCCACGCACTAGCTCGCCCGCACGCTCCGCCTCGTCAATCATCCGCTCCGCTATCCGGTCTTTGAGACTGCCGCCAGGCGAGTACGCCTCGACTTTGCCCACTAGTAGGCTTTTAGTGTCGTGTGCGGCACTCACACTCCTGTCACCTACGCAAATTGCACCGTATCGAATGCCGCGCTGCCACCTTGTCGAGCCGGATCAGCGGCGTGTCGCCTATTACATCTAAACTCGAATCTAAAATGCCTTTCTTGCTCTTTGTCATTGTCGCTGTGTAAAATGGCGTGCGTGCGTTGTTTCAAGGTGTTGCCGCTATTGAGCACCTGATACGGTCACACTATCACACTCTCTAATGACGTCATTCATCTTCTACTGCAAGTTGCTCAAGTTTAGCTGTGGCTGTGTGGCTGTAGAAGATAGGAGCAGTAGCATTAGCCAATCAGTTCTTTCAAAAGCACATACAACACATCCTCAACAGCTTTCGTGCCAATCGAGCCGATAGAAGCCATCACACTGGCGTTGCAAATACCCTACCGACGTGTGGGATGTAAGGTAGAATTAGGATAAGAGTATCACCCGGATCCTGCTCTATGATGGCGTTAGACATTCACGATGCACACGCGAAATGCAAATAACGTGCAAGTAAGCACCGATGTACCGTCAAATACTTCTAACGCCAATATTTGCGACTATATCCGATCGGGCTATCTGATTATCTGATTTTCTGCTGGAGCCTGTTACAAGCAGGCACAATCGCTGTAATTAAAAATAGTGCTGTTCGCTCGCTTAGTCCGAAAGCTTAAGCTGCTAAAGAAGACATTGCCAACTTCTCCAAGTTGCTCTGTGCCACGGTATAAGCCATTTCTTTACTGTGAGAACAATCTTCATGCACTCAAATAGATCCGTTATCTGAAAAGTCCCGCGATCTTTATCTCGCTTGCGTTGAATGTCTTTCGGAGATTAACCGAAAGGGTATAAAGTGTGCACTTGCCAGCAGTATACTCCTCCGCCTCTCACAAAATTCTTCTGTCATGTTCAGCAAAATCTTCTCTGTCGCTGCCATCCTCGCTCTCATTGGTGTCGCTGCTGCTCAGCCAGGTAGGTGTGTACGAAAGCAATACACTTGAGCTCACGCTCTCGCAGTTGCAAATGTCCAAGCTAGAACGTGCATGTGTGTTCCTAACACCATGGGTACTGGTGAGTGAGCGCACTGCACAGACACTTGGTAACTGACTCAGATCTAAAAGGTTGTACAATGTCTCCAGAATGCTACTCTCAGAAGTGAGCCCTGAAACCTCAGACTTTCTTGTATACACACTACAACATTCTTTTCCCATTACTCCAAATTAAGACTACAGATTGTATCAAAATGACTATATTACAAAGAATTTGTGGTGTCAAGTCAGGGATAAAATGGTAATATGATTAGCTGGAGTGAACACTCTGACTGAGACTATGCCGAGAAAGCGTTGATTTGCGGTCAAGGAGAGCCTCAGTGCTTCTATGCATACGGAGATTATCACGAGAAGGTTGATATGGCGGATGGAGTTGTTGATATCTACCGAACTGCTGTTCTTCACTATTTTCCTCATTCTCGACCACATTTTTACGTTTGTCGAGTCTGAAATCGCCCATGAAGAGCAAAGCAACGACAATTGGGATGATGGAGATAACGACGGCTGGTATATTCTGCAGACGCATATTATTAGCGAAAGCGTGAACAAGTTTGTCTCTTTGGGGTGTTCCAATCGCCCCTAGCATCCTGCCCAACTCGTGAGGAGAATCGGCATATTGAGACGCAGTCTCAACGCTCCATTCCGGGAACTGTTCGCAAATATACGGCACCAAATAAGCTGTGTTGAGTGCAGAAGATACTGAGCTGCCGATAACACTGCCAATTTCAGCAAAGAGCAGAATAACAGAAACAGATAAGGAGAGATCCTGATGGGGGACGCTTCCCTGAGCGCCTACTTGTGTTGCTGCAGACGCTACACCCCCTCCGCCACCCTGAAGTACCTGAGTCATGAGCAGAGCGGCAGTCGTGGGATGCACGCGCGCATACAGCATCAGAGCGTGTCCGAGCATGCGCGCACATAGCGCTGCTACAACAAACCCCCGCCAGCGCAGCTGGTATATTGACACCAACAACCCGAAAGCTATCGCGAAAAATGAAAGACAGAGATTCTGGGTCGATGTGAAATACAGCGCATTTGCGTCGCTCCAGTCCGTCGCTACGTATACGTATTGGGTCAGCGTGTTGAATGATAAGCTGAACGAAATGAAATCGCAAAGATTGATCATGCACGTTGATATGATGGTCCTGTTGGCGAGGAATCGTAGTGGGAGTATCGGGTGCACCGCGCTAGTGGCCTCCCAGTAGATGAAGGCGGGGAGGATAATTGTGGCCCCGACAGTCATCATGAAGGGAAGCGCGGTGCCATTCCACTGCAGGGAACTCTGTCCAACGAGAACTATCGGGAGAAATATGTAAACGAGCCAGCCTAGCAAGAGGTAGAGACCGATAATGTCAACATCGCTGCAGATGTTGTAGATCTTGTGTGAGAGTGGCAGAGCTGCTTTGTGGATGTTAGGGTGGGCGTGTTGGCGGGCTTTAGATTGCGCGCGGAAGAGAATGAAGATTATTGGAAGGATCGCAGGAAGAAACAGACAAGCTTCAATGGCAAAAATACCCCTCCAACCTACACCACCCTCGCTCAGCGCGCTGTTCACGGCCTTTCCCGAAAAGTAAAAGAGGACGAATTGCCAACCGCAGCCAGCAATACCGGAGAACAAACTACGGTAGCGGAGATTTGTGACGTCGGCGATGACGACCTGCAGCGCGATCTGGAAACCACTGTTGCCGAGTTGCCAGAGACATCTGCCTACGCTCAAACCAGAAACTGTAGGCGAAGCTGCGCAGATGAGGTATCCAAGAGACATGGAAAACATTGTGATGGAGAGTGATTCAGGGCGACCGGCGACATTGAGCAGCTTTCCAAAGAAAGGCTTGGCTGTGCTGTTGACAATGGATGAAGCTGCTAAAACCGCAAGCTGAGCTCTTGAATGTCCGATTTCGTTGAAAGCAGCGTTTGTTATGTAGCTGTTAGTGCCCTGATCGAAGGAAAAGATGAAAGATGCAAAGAAAATGCCAATAGAGAGAAGAATTATTGTACTTTTTGACAGAGACTGCTGATCTTGAGACTCACGTCGTTATCTGATAATGATCTGACTCACAAATTGAGCGGCGATCACCTTCCGCACGCCATCTTGTGTATCGAAGGTATCTTCTGTGCCATTGTTGTCGACGTATCGCTCATCGTGTGCTTCTGTGCTGCTCATCGACGTACTGATGATCAAAGATAATCAATCAGCCGCACGAGCCAGGGAAATTCAAAATTAGATCGAAATTTGCACCGATTGGAGGTATGAAGTGCGGAGGTCTCAGATAAATTCAATTATCAACTGATTTTCACACTGGGCTGTCTGATTTTGAGATTTCCAGGTCGCTCTACGTATCACCATCAGCCGTGAAAAAGGATTTAAGGATTGGCAACTGTGGCGATTGTGTATCACACCTTGTAAAGTCAGCTCAGATAGTTAAAATCTTGAAATACTCGGAAGCACCCCTATTTACATCTACACGCTGTGATTCACTTTGAGTTCCACTTTTACAGCTCTGATATAGCTCTTGAAAATACGGCCAAGTACTGTTACCACCCAAAATGCACTCAGATTTTTGAGAATAGCTTTTTTTATTTTTCAATATTGCGCTCGAGTCGTAATGCACATGTCCGTCCGGCACACATTAAACACAAATCACAATGATCTCTTATTATTTGATTCCAGCAGCATCTGTAGCAAAGTGGAGCTTTCTACCCTGCGCTCTCCTGGGTATGTTCATACCCGATACCCACTATACTGCCTTTCAAGATGGGGCAATATACTCTATCATCGACATAATCACTGAGTCTAATAACAGAATTCAGACTTCAGCTTATGCATCCCGGATTCCAGATCATCTCAAAGTGAATTTGATATTTACATCTCTATTCTTATTTGGGATGATCATTTCGCGAACAAAACGTTGGAACAGTAATGAAAGATCATGTCTTAGGTCTTCAAGAATTTTCTTACTCGTCTACCAAATTCTATCCAATTTGAATTATTTTCCAAAGCATCTAAATACTGCCATCTTTATTTGCATAAGCATTTGGAAAATCATAAGTCAAAAAATTACGAGTGGAAGTGGCCACATATAAACATCAAAGAATGGCTTGCGGTATTTTATCATACGATGAATATTATGCTGATTCGAAATCACATCCTTCATTTGATATCATTTTTCACTAGCGCCTTTATTATGGATCGAGATACAGTCGATTTCATGGCTATCAAGATGGCAATTTTCTTGGCTTCGCATATTATTATGGAGTTTTTCAAAATGATGTTGGTAGAGTACAGCGGCGCGTCGGAAGAGGATAACGTGAAGACGCAAGATGTATCGAAGACAAAGGAGGGAGATGTTGACGGAGAAGTATCATATGCGAAGGATGTAAAAGCAGGTGAAGAATTTGCGACGGATAAGAGCGTGGAAGCAGATAGGGAAGGCGCTGTCAAAACATAGAAGAAGATATAGACGTATGATGATATTTTAATAAACTGCATGTACTGTATTCCTTAAAAGGTCTCAATAACCACATCAGCATTGGCCACACACAAACAACATTATAAAATATCAACAACCACAGAGAGAGAATTAATACATTAGCGTTTCAAAATGTGAAAGTAACAAAAATGATGTGAAAGTAACGAAACACGAAGGGAGACGTTTCAAGGATGTTTATTTAGCTTTATTTGTGATTGTAGGGAGAAGAGTGGATTGGAGTGTGGATTAGATTACTATAGTGTCATAGCCTAGGTAGTTCGGTTGGCAAGTGTTGATGTAGGTGTGTTGTGTTGATTAGTAAGGGGTATATACAATTCTTATGCTTGTATAATTGATAAAATCACTTTTTTGCTGCTTTTATTTGTCCTCCTTCTTCTCACTCTGATTTTCAGCGAGGTTCATCGACTTTATTGGATCATCTGAAGTATCAGTCAAACCACCCGAGGCGTCAATTTGACGTTCTTCTCCATCCTTTATTGGTACAATCTTCTGGGAATGCTGTTCGTTTGACTCATCGTCTGATTCACTATCATCGGACAAAGAAGCGTAAACTAATTGACCATCTTTGTTTGTGACTGATCCTGACGGTTGAAATACTATTCCACCACTTTCCAAAGCTTCTTGGAGGGATGAGCCAGATGCACCAGCCATATTTGAAAGTATAGATAATGGAGAGTTACCAAATCTATTAGCATCGAATCCACCACCACTTTGTTCACTTGATTCGACTGGGAGTTGAGTTTTTTCAAAGATATCAGCAACAGATTCAGGAGTTTTGTGACCAATGTTGTTTTCCACTCTATCCTTGACCCACTTCCTCCACTCCTCTTGAGAACGATCACCGAGGATTGCAACAATGGTGATCGTCATGTTGTCACAGCCAATACCACCTAATTCAGAGTCAGGAGCTAAGCATTTATCCATAATGTGTGCGCAGATATCCTTGAGTTCATCACCATTCGCGATGGCTCTTCTTGTAACGTCAATAACTTGTTGTGAGCTTAAACAATCCCAAATACCGTCACATGCGAGAATGAGGAATTCTTCTTCACCTGTGCATTCGTGTTCGATGATATCAGGTACAGCAGTGACGATTTGAGATTCAGGGCCCAAATCTGTGTTTTGTTTAAATTCGAAGTCACCAATGGCACGTGAGAGTGCAAGATTACCATTAACTCTACCGATTTCAACAAAACCGCCTGCTTTAACGATTCTATCGGACTCCAAATCGTTTTGAGGTTTGTGATCGAACGAGAGAGAGAAATGTTGACCAGCTAGGGAGAGGACGGCTCTAGAATCACCAGCATTTGCACAAATGATTCTTCTGGCGTTGACTTTTGAATTTATAGCTGAAGGCTCAGGTGGAGTGATGAGTACGCTGACGGCAGTACAACCAGAAGGATCAGATGAAAGTTCAGGGCTTGCTTTGATGGCTTCGTCAGTATTGAGATAGCTGTTAATAAGAGCAGCGTGCCAGTCACCAGACTTGAACTCGGCAGACCTGGCTAATCTAGCGTAGAGAGTGGCACCAGTGTATCTAGCAACGTTTGAGCCACCGTGACCATCATATACGGCGAAGAATGCAGGCTTCTTTGAAATTTCTTTGTTTGATTCTTTGGTTTCAAAAGATTTTGCGTTGGAAGGATCCTCAACTTCTGGGGCGTGGGAGTCATGCGCCCTGTTTAAATCGAGGACGGCGGTGTGGGCGTCTTCCATGCCTGAATAGAGATTAATAGGGGAAACTAGGAAATTACTAGATTAACCCACTTATCCGCCATCCTTGCATTTCAGAAACGGCGTAAACAAAGTCAGCGTCTTCACCAGTCGCATAAGATTTGTCGACGACCTTAGTAAATTAGATGAAGACTAGGAGATTACTAGTGAACCCACTGGAGCAGATAGAGTTGAGCCCATTTGAGATATTTAAGATGATTCTTGGTGGTACAAGTGCAAGAAGGTTAGTGGATTAAAATTTAATTACAATGATTGATAAATTGTCAGTTGATAGGTTGTTCAAGGCGTAGTCTAAGAGTAATTGAGAAGCTTCCTCACCCGATTTACAGCGTTTGATAAGCTCAACGACTTGATTATCCGTTACAACATCCCATAATCCATCACAGGCGATGATAAGCCATTCATCTTCATCTGTTAAGTCTATCTCGGTTGTGTAAGGCGATCCAACGACATACTGCTTCATTGGGCTATCACCTAATGCTCTTGTTACCGCTAAAACACCATTTACGCGTCCGTTTAGGATATATCCACCTGCATCCATTATCCTCTTTTGCTCATTCTCATCAGATCCTTTATGATCATAAGTTAATCTAATAGCTTGACCACTTCTGCTGTTGATTTTTTAGTTTTAAAGGGATATGACGTAGATACGTGGGGTACACACCACAACACAGCCCTTGCATCACCAACGTTAGCCGTGTAGAGAGTACGAGTACCTTGTGGATTTTGTTTGTCCTTATTCACCACATCATTCACTCCATTCCCATATAAAATCAAGCTAACAACTGCGGTACACCCAGAACTCAACGATTGCTCATTATCAACTGATAAGAAAGACTGATTAAGATTATCAGATACGCTCTTAAATTTTGTAAAGTTGTTCAGAATCGTTTGATGAAGATTATCACCGCAATAATCTGACAATGATTTACCTGCGTGGCCATCGAACAACCCAGCGTATAATTGATTTGAAACGTTATTGAAATCATTCAACACGGTAACCTTATCCTCCATCGTTCTTCTAAATTTCTGATTTTGATCCTCTGAAATACCGATCGACATTGTTGATGATGGTGGCGATGTGAGTTGTGAACAAACCGCGATTTATATTTTGCACGCAATGTTTCACTTTTTCAAATATATTTAGTGTTCACTCATCTCTACCTCGTACTTCCATGTCCACTTCCACTTCATTAGATCATTTATCTCAATGTGACAGCATCATTTCTTCCATTCTGATTGACTTGGTTTGGGGTTTTAACGTTGTAAAGCCTGCTCAGTGTAGGCTAGATCTTGGACACTCAAAGGACACTATCATCGACATGGTCAGTAGATTAAATTACAACACCGCAAGGCTCGATCAGGGTTTGCTAGAACTCACTAGCATAAAAGACTACCTCCGTAGAAAGAGGATCCTTTTCAAGAGCCTCTTTAAAGATCATTTACACGTTTATACCCTTCTATTCCACCCTTCCACTCCTTTTGAAGTTTGTTTCAATAGAAGACTCTCATCCTTAACTCACAAAGAAGAATACTCTTTGATTGCTACCAAAAACATCCCCTCAAACACTCCAGTCAAGAATTGCCTTGCTACCCTCACTAAAATCACGCCTAAACAAGACCAGTTCTTGACTGACTCTAATAATGACTGGAGTGTCCTCACTAGCCTTTCCTCAGGTACCCGCATCTTCCTTGGCCCTGCCAGATTCGCAAATCACGACTGCAATAACAACTGCCAACTCCAACGCACCAAAGACCACATCAACCTCGTCACGATAAGGTGTATCCGTAAAGGTGATGAAATCCTACTCAATTACGGCCCGCACTACTTCGGAGAGAATAACGAAAAGTGCTTCTGTCGTTCGTGCGAGGCTGGCTGTAAGGGTGCATTCCGACATGCCAATAGTGCCAATAGTGTTAATAGTCCAGTTGACAACCAACTCCGGACGAGATTCAATAGCTACATACGCTCAAGCACAAACAGCTCAACTAACCACTCGCGATCACGCTCCTTGTCCTCAGGGAGCTCCTCCCTCACTCCCCTCTCCTCAGCCCCTTCCTGTCTCGACGAGATGCTATGCCAGAACAATCACTGCACAAATGAAAAATTACCGGATAGTGCTGAGTGCTACACTTGCGACATTCATCGTAGGATTTACAAAAACTCCTGGCCCATGCGTAGTCGCCCGGTCGATACCATCCACACTCCCACCAACCAGAACCAAGACTCAGAAGACTCAGCAGTCTCGGAAGACTCCACAGACTCTGACTTTATGAGTGAATGAAACATAAGATCTAGTGTACAATTGAGACTTGTCATATCTAATCATTTTTGTAATGTATATTTCCTTAATCCGTTCCAACGCTTAACAGCTAAACTACTCCATCATTCCCTGGCTGTGAGCGAGTTTGTAGAATTCGCTCGATGTGTTAGACAGCAGCGAAGTGGGGCTATCCGACTCCACGACGCGACCCTCATCCATAACAATAACCTGATCATAAGCGCTAATAGTGGATATTCTATGAGCGACGCTAATAACCGTGACGCCCTTGAGTGCAGTTTTGAGTAACGCGAGCAGTCTCTCATCTGTCTTGGAGTCCATATTTGACGAGGCTTCATCAAGTAAGACGATTCTACGTTTCTGGAGGAGGATTCTAGCGATGCAGAGGAGCTGTCTTTCACCTGCACTAAACTCCATCCCATCCGTCGTCACCTGCGTATCGAGTTTGTGTTCTAAGTCATTGACCTGTTTCGCCATACCGACATGGTCCAGCGCCCGCCATATATCCTCTTGGCTAGCCCCCTCGCATCCCAAAATGAGGTTATCTTTCAGCGACGCATGCAGCAGGAAGGGGTCCTGGCTAATGGTGCTGATGCGCTTGCGCAGTGTGTGTAGTGGCACAGTCGCTAGATCTACCCCATCCACGATAATCCTGCCTGAGCGCAGCGGCTGACCACGGAGGAGAGCGTAGATAGTCGATGATTTCCCGCTTCCCGTGCGACCACATATTCCCAGCTTATGTCCCGCAGGCAGGGCTATGTTTAGGCCGTCAAGGGCGTTACGCGGTGACGATGTGGCGTACTTGAGCGAAACGTCGTCGTATGTTACTGCCCCGCTCTCTGGCCAGCTGGGGCTGGGTTCGGTTGTAGTTGCGGATGCTAGCATAGCGTCGTTGTTGTCGCTCTCGTTGCCGCTTTCGTCGCCCGCTATTTCACGTGCTTGTAAACTCTCTTCACTCTCGAGTTGTGTAATCTCGACTATGCGTTCGAGCGAAACGACACCATTCTCCACCCTTGTCCATGCCAGAAGAAGATTGGTAAGCGAGGTTGCCATGCTGACTAGCTGGGATAGCGCCACACCGAGGTAGCCGGCGCTGGTGGAGTTACGCAGTCCGACGGCTATCGCTGCTATCCCGATAGCTATGAATGCCGTTACGAGGTTGAGAAATGTGCGCAGGAATCTTATCCCAGAATCACGGTAGTACATCGGTGCCTGCGACCGGTTGAGATGCCATTCAGAGATATCCTTAAACATTGCCGTTGACTTGAACGCACGGATCGTTACTAGACCAGTGAGGAGGGTGCTGAAAGACGTGTAGAGCGGTGTCTTAGACGAAATAGTCAGTCGCTGCAGCTGTCTGCTCGTCGCGAGATATACTCTCTGCAGCGACCAGTATATCACAGCGAGGAAAGGAACTGCTATGGCGAGCCATGGGACTGCAATCAAAATCAGAATGGCAGCTCCGACCACATACACCGCCGTCAACGACACGTCCAGCATCGAAATAGGGAACGCGAAATCGGATATAAATATATCCGATCCCCACCGATTGATCAGCAGTGCTGAACTCGTTTTCTGGAAATACGTTACTGGCGCTTCGAGTACATGCCCTAGCATCTGCTCATGCATGCCTAAACTGGCGCGTGGGGCTGTGTACTGCGTGTACATCCACATCATGCAGAAAGAACTGATGAAAGCGGCAACAGTGAAGCCTGCATACCCACCAAGCCATGGTCGATGGTCGGTGGTGTTTGCGCTGGACCATTTTTCGAGGTATATCTGCGTACTGTTAGTTGCGGATAGAGCACAAACAGCTTTGCTCACCTGCAGACCAACTTCTACAGCATTGTAGAAAAAGAGAAATGCTACGCAAACTGTTAGACGTCCCCAGCCACAATGACGCATGTAGAATTTGTACGGCGTCCATCCAAGATTTGCACTGGCGTCTTCTTCGTCAGGATCCTCTTCCGTATCCACCGCCTCGTATTCTTTTCCGTCAATACTCTTGTGCTGGTGCGATGGTTTTTCAGCCAGTGCAGGATCACCCAACTCATTGAGTATCTCCTCCTCCTCTGTCTCACTTTTGACATGAGTGATCTCATTATCCTCTTCCAACTCCTTGGGTATTTCACCGATATAGCTCTTGATGTCGATTACATTCTTGTAGAGCTCGCGTAGCGATCCTTTGGCGAGGATAGATCCACTTTCCATAGCAACGACAAAATGTGCAGCTGTGAGGTGTTTGTGGGAGTGCGTTACCATAACCACCGTCCGTTTGCCAAGCATACCCCTCGCTCCGAACAGCGCATTAAAGACGTGCTTGGTGGTATGTGCGTCGAGTGCACTGAAACAGTCGTCCAGGACTACGAAAGAGGTGTGGCGACTTGCGTACAACGCTCTCGCTAATGAAATACGCTGCTTCTGTCCACCACTCACTCCGCCGCCCTTTTCGCTCAGCTGGGTCAGATCGCCTTTGGACATTCTTTCGAAATCATAAACCAAGGCACAGCTCTCAACTACCTTGTTGTACCATTCGTAATCGTATTCAGAATCCAGGATTATATTCTCGCGCACGCTCGTTGGCCAAATAAAGGCTTCTTGAGGGGCATAGCTGATTTTCGTGGTAGGTCCACCAGGCACCTTCCGCCTGCCTGTCTGCAAGTGCGTCTCGCCGAGCAGTGTTTTGGCAAGAATAGACTTACCACTACCAACTGGTCCGACGACAATTGATAGTTTGTCTAGTGGGAAGTTGATGTCGATGTCTTTGATAAGTGGCTTGGCGTCAGGCGCTGATGATGCACTCGCATTCACATTCCATAATGAAGGTGGCCCGTCGTAGTCTCTATCGGACTTCTCGTCTAGCGACGCCGATTTCTCGGTGCCCGTGTATTTCAGCGTCTCCGTTGAGCTTCGCTCTGAATTTGGCAGCTCGCCTCCCAAACTCACAGGCTTTTCTTCGAGCAGAAGGAACCCTGCAATGCGCTTCATGGAAGCCCAAGACGCGACGAGTAGTGGGAAGCAATGTCCGACTGTTGAAATGGGGAGCGTTACCAGATTGACAATGGTGTATATCGTGAACAGTGTTTGTGGACGGATATCTCCGCTGATTCCTGCAAAAGTTCCGAGTGCAGACAGACCAGCGCAGTTAATTGTAGCTGATGAGAGGACAACTACTATCACAAGACGACGGTAGAAGGCCTTCAAATTGTCCACTTCTTTCGCTCGGAGTGGGTTGATCCATTTCGGCATCACAGGCTCTAAACCGAGCAGCTTCGTGGGGATGATTTGTTGCATTACTGATCCTATCACTGCAAGTCGACCCTCTGTGCTTCCCATCCAGCGCTTTTGAGCACCAGATACCTTCTTGCCGACGATAGATGTTACGGCAAAGAAGGCAATCATGACGCAGAGTGGTGGAATCATCGCGTAAGTGGCCAGAGGAAGTGGTTAGTGAGTGTGCGTGATGTTATAGGCTGTACTCACTTTAAACCACAGGATAACGGCTGCGCAGGCAATCGAAACTAAAGCTGACCAGCATTCGTGGAAGAAAATGACACCTTCGACGACTCTCTCGACATCAACCGACATATACGTAACGGCACTCCCTCTACCTTGATTCTCTGCAACGGTTGATGCTAGTCTTACTGATTTGTCGAAAAGAACACTGACCAGTGCTGCTCTGTATCTTATAACCATTGCGTAAACTTTATCCCAGTAGAGCGCTGTAGTGGCTGCCAATGAGAGATACACGATTGCATAAGCTCCAACTAAGCCCCAACCGATATTTGGATCTTGAGGTGTCTCAGTCTCACTTGAGTAGCTGTCGATGAATGACAAGATTGTGGAAACGAGAAATGGTTGAGCGAATGTGACAGCAACGTAAAGCAGCTTTGGTATTACTGCAGCGAAGAAAAAGTCATAGAATGCTATTATGGAAGGCATCAAGATTGGCTGAGTCTCTTTGCCGGATTTTGAAACCTTTCTTGAAGAGTAGAGGAGCTTTGTGAAGCGCTTTGTGGCATCATTGCTGCTTAGCTCTTCAGGTAGACCGAATTCATTAACGTCATCCAAGTTGAGTGCCCTTTTGAATCCAGAGTATAAGACAGGGTAGAGGAAAGTAAATAGGATGCGCGAAGGGATTGAGGAGGTTGGCTCAGTTGCTTTAGGCTGGCGGGATTGTGAGTGATTGGTATAATTGGTGCGTACAACACACCAGAACTGATGACTTGATCAGCCACCTCTTCTCGATCAACTCGGCAAAGAAAAGACAGCAAGTTGAAGCGAAGAAGACGCAGTATCCGGCAAAAAAATCATCACCAATCAAGTTGGCGTTGACGAAAGATCTCAGCTGAGTTGCGCTAAACAAGGAAGCTGTTGCCAAGTGAGCACTGATCAATGTCGATGGAGCATATGCTCGTGTGTGCTGAGCGTAGGATAGAGGGAGAAGTATGACTGAAGAAACCAGTTGCATAGCGTATGCAGCAGTTGCAGTATTGGTGTTGAAGTGATCGTAATGAAGAACACTTGCAATTGATCCGATCTGAATAAGGATAAGGATCAGCTTCGTGACCGATAGAAGATCGAATCTGTGCTTTGTAATTCTGGTGCGTGTCTTTTCTATCGCCCCCATTAACACAAACTTGGCCAAAGCTGCGAATACGAATATTGCCAGTGGAAGACACCACATCAGTCTCCACTGGAAGCCTAGCGATATGTCCATATAACGACATTGGCTTTCTGCCACAAAGTTAAACTCTCCCGGACAAAGTTTGCTCATGTGTTGATGATTTGATCGATAGAGGATCTTAACTGATAATTTTTGATAACTGATCGTACCTGACTAGGGTTGTGTTCGCAGCAAACTCCGAAATTAATAAAATGGAAAACTAAAGCCGCTGATGGTATTCGATCCTTTATCATATGGCCGCAGGCTTTTTAGAAACCTTATTCGTGTTTTTCCCGATTTTATCAGATTATCTTCGGGGTTTCCAATTTGATCGCAAGCTTGATCAGCTTAGCCGAGGATGCTTGATAATTATACACACAACCCAATAAAGAGCCTTGGAACGCAGTCAAGAGTTCCAGAGCATGTCCCACGGCACTACTCACTCGATATCACCGGTCCAGCTGGTCAAATTTCGAGCGAAATTGAGAAACTCAGCAGAGTCGCATACACTGTGCTTCTGATGAAGTATCTTGACACGCAGGATATCCTATTGGGTGAGACTTCCGTGGATTACATCGGCGATCCTGAAGCCACGCTGATTCAGCCAATCCGCGTGCAGCTGGAAGGAGGGGAATTATTGAGCCAAATATCCCAGAATATCGATCAGCAGCTATCTGCAAACATTCCGCTATCAAACGACGACGCTAGACTTGAACTGGGTGTAAAGGACCACGAAACACCTCTACAGGCACTGTTTGTATGGGGAGTTGATTTAGTTACGTGCAGGCAGCATAACAGCCTGCTAATGGGTGGATACCTGTCTCACAATGGCTACACTTTGTCTGTCTATAGCGACGGCAGTCTGATATCATCCACCTCGCTCGGCGTTCTCCTCAATCAAGTCAAGGTGGTGCTGGAGAGGCTGCTGCAGCACCATGAGAACCTTTCAAATGTCCATATTGGGGAGGTGCTCAAGCCATTCCCTAAAAACCTCGCCTCACACGCTCAAAAGACACTGGACATGTCTCACCAACGCTTAGTAGTCGATTGGTTGTTCGATAACGCAGCAAGCAGGCCTGAAAAGATCGCCCATGAATGCTACACCGACCTGGACTCGCCACCTTCTCTACTCAGTTGGAATGACTTTAACAGGCGCTCAAACCAACTTGCTAGGTGGCTTGTAGAGCACAAACGGGTGCAGCTCGAGGACAGAGTGGGTCTGTCGCTCCCGCGCTGCCCCGAGTTCTATATAGCTATGGCTGCTATTCTCAAGGCAGGTGGCTGCTACACGAGTGTGAGTCTTAGTCTGAGCCTGGGTCGATGAGAGCACACACCACTCACACAACGCACAGATAGACCCAGAGCTACCCGAAGAGCGGAAGAAGTACATTGCAAAAGACAGCGCGTCCAAGGTGGTATTCACAACTAGCGAAAATCAGCACATATTCCCTCTTATAGCTGTAGACACGCACGACGCGTCGCTGTGGAGGCTAGTCCACACACTCAGCCCCTCCAATTTCAACTGCGCACAAGCTGACAGCCTGGCTTACCTTCTCTACACGAGCGGGACGACGGGGAATCCGAAAGGATGTCTCATCGAGCACAGAGCGCTGTATTGGGCGATGATAACTTTCGGTGACTACCCCATACCGATCAGCAACCCAGACAGCGATAAGCGGCTGGCAATGGCTTCCTTGGCGTTCGACGTGCATATTTCTGAAATCACCCAAAGCTGGCATGAAAAACTAGCATTGGTGACGGTCCCGCGGGCTCAGCTACTGGGCGATCTAAGGGAGTACATTGTGCGGATGCACATAACGCATCTGGGGATGGTGCCGTCGATGATCGAGGCGCTGCTCGAGACGCCCGATGGTCTCCCCCTCAAGTATCTCATTTCTGGTGGTGAGAAGATAACGCAAAATGTAAGATAATCCAATCACCTTTAACACACCACAAACCCCTGACACCTCACAGCTGCTCGAAAAGTGGGCTAACCAACCCAACCTCGTCCTCGCGAATTTCTACGGCCCGACTGAGCTGACTATTGGGATATCAGCGCGCAAGGTGATGGCGCACGATACAAAGGAGAATGTCGGCAAAGTGTTTCCCTCTTGTGACGCATTCGTGGTCGACAGGGATATGAACATTGTCCCATTAGGTACACCAGGCGAGCTTGTCGTGGAAGGCGTACTGGCAGCGCGCGGATATCTCAACCTGGACCACCTCACCGCCAAGTCCTTTGTCAGGTACCCCACGCCTCAGAGCTGGGCATACAGGACGGGCGACTTGGTGCGTATGACGCCCGATCACTCGATCGAGATCATGGGCAGGATCGACTCGCAAGTCAAGTACCGTGGTGTGCGCTTAGAGACAGAGGGCGTGTCGAACATACTCCGCTTGGCATCTTCATCCGTGGAGCTCCTGGCGACGACGCTCATCACACAGCACGCTTCTCTCAGTCAGCAAGTGCTCGTCAGTTTCGTCGCGCCGTCTCATTCTGGCGTCGGGGTGGTAGACAGGCGCACTACAGCGCCGACTATCAAATATGACAGCGGCGCACTAGTAAACACTCTCAAGATGGCTGTCGATCGAGAGCTGCCTGTTTATATGCGCCCTGCTTACATTATACCGACAAATTTCATCCCGCTCACCCTCAACGGGAAATCGGACAACAAAGTCCTAGCCCAGCTTTTCAAGACAACGCCAATGCAGTCCCTACTAAAGTCACAGAGGGCGTGATGCAGTGTGCAAACGCGGTAAAGTTTCTGACTCGATATAATGATGCATAATTTTGGTAATTACAAAGTTATATTGTATGGTATGGTATAGCGCGCGCCATCCGCTAGTCGTCCTCCTCATCCTCCTCGATGACGGCCGCGGTCGCGACTGAAGGTCTCCATTTCTGGTGGTTGGAGGTATTTGGAGGAGTAGGAGACGTCGAAGTGGCGTTGGAGTTGGAGTTGGAGTTAGTAGTATGGCTACTGCCAGTGCCGGTGCCATTACCATCACCACCACTCCTTGGGAATTTGAAGTCGCTCATCGTTTCCCTTGCGTCACCATTCTTCCTATTATTCGTCTTCTTGGACTTCTTGAGCTTTTTCACACCCTCGATCTCATCTTCGTCCGAGTGCTCCGTGACGCTGACGTGTTCTTCGGCAACACTCGACTCAAACTCTCCAATAACCGCACTGGCATCGCCCTGTCCGATTCCGCCAGCGAAGTCGTCCTCATCCACCCACTCCTCTTCCTTGTGGGAATGAGTGTGAGTGTGAGAATGGGTGTAGGTGTGAGTGTGCGGGTGAGTGCGTGACCGTGCATGCGCGAGTGCATTTGACTTTGACTTGCTTTGCGCATGCCCACCTGCCGCTGTATCGAAAGTCAAATTTTTTGTTGGGGAAGTCCTGCTGTAGTCGAATTTGCTAGCTTTGAGGAGCGCGAATGATTTCATTGGTGGTGAATGAACGCTGATTGGTGCAGGTGGGCGTTTTGATGCGAGGAATAGTGTTTTAGAGTGTTGTTGGTTAGTCGAGGAGTGGGGGAGGTGGTTTGTATGAGAAGAGCGGGTGTGCACCTTTGCATCGCCATCACCTTCACCATAGCCATCGACTTCACTATCGCGCAGCCCCAACCCGACCACCTTCTCGCCATTCTCCAACGAACTTGTCGACGTGCTCCGCGAATGTCTGCTGGTTGGCAGGGGAGACGAAGGAGCCCTCACATGGCGCACGCGCTGCAAGGAGCTCGACGACCCGCTTCTGTGTCTACCTGCGCGACCGAACGACGTATTCGAGCTGGGATTAATGCCCATACCCATACTCATCCGTCCACTCACACTACGCGCGCTGCTTACCGAAGACATGGAAGGCGACTTGGCGTGCTGTCCTCGCCCAACAACTCCCCCGCTGCTAACCCGCCGGTTCATCGCGGCCGATGGCGACCCGCTCTCGAAATGCACCGAGATACTCGAGCGGCGCGAATGGACGGAGGACGAGCGACGGGAGTGTGTCAAGGAATGAGATTGTGAGTGAGGCTGCGAGTGGGGCTGCGATTGCGTCTGCGGTACCGCCATAGCAACAGTTTGCGGTGATAGCATGCTTTGAGTGCTGCTACTTGACGCCCGTCGTCCATTACTCGACTTACGCCTGTTGCGGCGATTTCTTCTGGCCTTGGACTGCGTCTGACCGCGAGTAGGTCCCTGTTTCGTGCGTGCGTTGCGTCTGCGCGGTGTAAGGGTGTTGCTGTTGCTGTTATGCGAAGCAGACCGCCGCATTTGCACCGTCGATGGGACCCCTTCAGATTCAGCTGCAGTTTCAGCGCCTTTGAGCTGACCCTGCGTCTGCTTCTGCTTCTGCTTTTTGGGCGTGGTCTTACCTTTCTTGCGCTCGCGTTTATCGTCGGTGAACCCTGTGGTGGTTTTGTGAGAAGAATCGCGCGTTAAGAGCTCACTTACAACCACGGAAAGCGTCCAACAAGTTTTTCTTGTCCTTTTCCTTGGTTACGGGTGAGTTTTGAATGTTAGGAGTGTTGTGCAAGTCGTGTTCAGACGCCGCCCGAGGTGAGTCAGTTGGTAACTGATTGAGCGAAGCTGTGGAGTTGAACTGGGCAGCATGTGAGATAGGAGGCGTTGTACTAACACTCCCACTCCCACTCCCGCTCACACTCAAACTCACACTGACACTATCATCATTACTCCCACTCCTTTCGTCGCTTTTCTTTCGAGGTAGCATACTCCCGCTAAGAGCAGTAGTGGCGCGCTGTAGCATGCTGATAGAGCTGCTGCGGCTCTTAGTCTTGTTAGGCGAACTAGGGGCGGACGTCTGCGGCAAGTTGAGCTGTAGACTCGATGTTGACGCCTCGGTGGGTGGTGTTAGTGATAAACCCGATTCGTTGAGATCTGGCAAACTTCTTTTGGAGAAATCTGCGCGTTGGTCGCTCATTTTGAGTTTTTGTTTGTCTCTCTCAATGTCTCTATCTTTTTCTTTCTCTCTTCTATCCTTCTCCTCCCTCTCTTTTTCCGCTTTCTCCTTCTCTACTTTGTCGCGCTCCTTCTCTCTCCTCTTCTCCCTCTCCTCCTTCTGTTTACGCGTGTTGATCATGAGATACTCCTCTGAGTCGCGCCGCTCGCCACGCTCACCCCTTTCGCCAAGGCCGACGCCCTCCTCCTCGATACGAGTGAGATGTTCACGCGTATCGAGATTCTGCTTGCGGAGGAGCCACCACAGTCCACCAGACGCATCGCACGCGTGGTTGATAACTGAGTGCTTAATCTGCCCGATATCGAACCCCAGCTGACTAAGCGACTGAAGGAGAGCGCGTTCCCACTCTTCCTCAAACGGCTGTGCGTGTTGAGCGGTGCACATTTCGAGATAATTCGGTTCTTGCGGGTGGAAATGGTGAAGATCGTCTGCGTTGGACTGGCCGAGATTGAAATTGGGATTTGGATTGAAGTTGACACTTTCCATCGATCCCACCTTGTAGTGTTCACGGAGAGAGGTGGTAGACGGGATGCGCGACGCGACAGGTGTAAGCACGGGTAAGTCGGACATGGTCGAGCTGACGCTGCGCCGTTTGGTGCGCGATGGCGTCCGTTGGATCGGGGGTGTGGATGCACCTTCGCGCTCACTAGATAGCGTGCGCACCATGCCGCGCTTGAATGAACCACCTGAACGACGGGGGAGGGCTATCCCGGGTATACTCTCTACACTCAAGTTTCTAGTCATGCCGCTGCTTGTGGTCGCAGGGACTAGTCGTCGCGGTGGCTCGTCCAAGTGGTTCACATCGCTCACACCCTCGAATACCTCCGTCGCTTCACTCTCTCCTTCGCTTATCTCGCTCACGTGTTTCTCGTCGTACGCGTAGCTGGCGTGCTCGGCTGTGTGCTCGAGCTTGTCATGGAGAGTGTGCAACGGGGTTTGCTGTGATGGGAAGCGGGTGAAGAATGGATGGGCGAGGATTTGTTCGATACTCGGACGATTTTGTGGGAGTGGTTGAAGGATTGCGGAAATTAGGTCACAAGCATCTGAGACATGTGAGAAAAGAAAGACGAGAAAAGAAAAAACGCACCAGCTGAAAGGACATCAGTTGGATGATAGTATTCTCCTTTCAACACCAACTCTCTCATTTCATCCTCGTCATCATCGTCGAAAGGAAGACCACCAGTGAGAAGAGCGTAGAGGATAACGCCAGAACTCCAAATATCAGTTTCTGGGATGTCAAGTGTGAGTAAGGAATTGTCGAATGCAAATGAGAAACCCACGCTTTCCACCATATTTTTCACCGCGAAGCATTTCAGGAGAAGCGTACGCAGTTGTGCCGCACCAAGTACTCATAAGATTCCCAGGGCCATCATCAAACTCCCTTGCAAAGCCAAAGTCGCCTAATTTAACGTTTCCGTCTTTATCGAGGAGAATGTTCTCGAGCTTCAAGTCGCGGTGAACAACACCATTAGAATGAAGGTAGTGCAGCGCCAGCATAAGCTGACCGAAAACTCTCCTAACCTCCACGTCGGACAGTCTTCCTTTGTCGACGAGATAATCGAACAGCTCACCGCCATCACATAACTCGGTGACGAGGTGGATGTCGTTCTCGGTGGCGACTATCTCAAGGAGTTGAGCGATGTGGGGGTGCGATAGGCGCCGATAATGGTGCAGCTCTCTAACCAAAGCGCTGAGCTGAGTGTGGTTTTTTGATACGCTCTTCACAGCAACGCGTGCACCTTTGATGAGGCGATGAGTGGAGAGACGCACGATACCATAACTGCCACTGCCTAAAGTACGGCCGAGAGTATAATTGCCAATCGTACGCAAGGCAGGGGAAGTTAAATCTTGAGTTAGATTCTGATAAGCCTGAGCGAGCTGGGGGTTTTTAGATATAAACTGAAATAAATCAGAATTCCCACCTGTGCTTTTTTGTTCTTGTTGTTCCTTTCATTGCTCGTAATCACGGTCTTGCTCATCGCCCAACAAGAAGGTTGATGACGTAAATTTGTGAAAATAAAAATGAAAATTTATTCTTTTACTTTATATAGTTTGATAAACCTTTAATACGCTCACCAGCTTCATCGAGTATATCAGCCTCTTTACAGAATGCAAATCTGATGAATTGTTCACCTAGATGTTGGTTTGATAGACCATAGAACTGAATTTTGGTTAGAAAACATAGTAAACTCTCACTCCACTCACATCAGATGGTGGTATGGCAACAACTCCGAACTCATGTGCCATCCACCACGCAAATCTAAAGTCACGCGTACGTGTCTTGATATTCTCTGGGAATGGATAGTCCTCTGGGAAGTTTACTTTGCTTATATCTGCTAATATGAAGTATGATCCTGCTGGCTTGGTGTATGGTAATCCAATCTGGTCAAGATGCTTTGTGAGCACATCACGACGTTCTTGATATTCCTTCCTTTGAGTTTCAAAGAAGTTGTTCTGATCAGCCTCCTCGAAACCAACAGCGGTACCTTCTTGAGCTAAGCTATTAACACAGAAAACTATTCTCATTGTAGTTGCGAGTGTTGCCTTGACCAGATCTGGATGTCCAATAACCCAACCAACTCTCCATCCAGTAGCTGCGAATGTCTTACCTGCTGAACCAACAGTAAGAGTTCGTTCCCACATTCCGGGAACATCGGCGATTCTATCATGTGTAGCGTTGTCAAATGTCAATGACTCATAAACTTCATCCGAGATTACGAGAAGATTGTGTTCGATGGCGACATTAGCAATAGCTTGAAGTTCTTCACGAGTAAAAACCTTTCCAATTGGATTGTGTGGAGTGTTGAATATGATTGCTTTCGTCTTTGGAGTGATTGCACCAATCAGCTCATTGATATCAATCTTCCAATCATCGCCTGTAGAATTCCTTGTAGGATCACCGTGGAATCTGATAGGAACATAAACTTCTTTGCCACCATTATAACGAACGTTTGGCATGTACTGATCGAATGCAGGTTCAAACAAAATGACCTCATCGTCTTGTTCAAGGAATGCGCCCAAAATTGAGTAAATGGCTTCATTAGCGCCTGCTGTAACGATAATTTCAGATTCAACATCCAATTTACGCCCATTAAGGGATTTGAATTGCTTTGAAAAGTGATTTGAGAGTGCGTTACGAAGACGTGGTCTGCCCTTTGGATGTGAGTAATGATGTACAGATGTATCACTATCGATAGCCTTTGTAATAGCACTTCTAATATAAGTAGGTGGCTTCCAGCTCATAAATCCTTGCCCTAAACTGAGTGACGTCTTGGGCATAACGCTGCGGAAGTTTTAGAAGATTTTAAACATGACAAATAAAGAACCGACAGTGGACTGAACAAAGACCAAACATCCGCAGACTTGTTCAACTCAAATTTAATCCTTGAACTCGGTTTTATAGCCATGGCGTTGGAAGAAGGAGTACAAAATTAGTTGGATTCATCTGAACTGGATACAACGTCATCGACTTCTTTATTTGATGTGTCTGGTGGCGTTAGTCTTTGTAAGCGGATAATCCTCAACTCACTCCCCAAATAATCATTCAAGCTCATTGGCTGGGTATTTGAACTGGTATTTGCTGTAACAGGAATTGATGATTGAGGTGGATCATCATCTTCATCTGAAATATCCTGGAATCCATCCAATAGCTCCTTGTCCAAGAAATCATCCACGTTCTCCAGCTGTTGAAGCGTATACTCGTGTTTTATTGGTATTATCCTAACTATCCCACTATCATCATCATATTCCAAGCAATAATTGTAGTCCTTTTCCCCCTTTGTATGCCCTATATACGATAAACCACCTTCCTCGACTCTAACCTTATCTTCCTCCGTTGAAACTTTGATCCCTTCAAAGCTCCCAGGCTCACTTGGATAATCGAAAATATTTAATCCTTCCTCGTTGATTTCTATCGCTGTGTCTCGAGGCCAGGTCATCAGCGTATCTGAAGCAGCGCGTAAATACGTCATTTCATTGAGGAAAAACTAAATAGGAAATTATATAAATCGAATGTAATCATCAATTTATTCTAATTGACAAACGCCAAACATTCAAAACCTATACAAAAGAAGACGTTTAGCAGGACCTGGTGTCGTCCTTTAGAGATGGGCATTATATCGATGTATTCATCCTTTGAGCATCTTTTCATTCCTATACACTCTCCCGCACACTCCCCCTTCTAGAATCCCCCCTGAATCGTCCACTTTACCGTACCTAGGAACAAATTGCAACACTTACTCAAATCAAATCCGATAAAATCTGATACCGCCATTAAACTCATCTAGCTCTACTCATCCCAAAAACATCTCGTTCCTTACAATCCGATTGAATCCGATAATTTTTTAACCGCTATCAGATAAATCAGCCTAATCAGATCATCTATCAATCAGACAACCAACACCCATAAAATCTGGAAAGAGTAAGTGAGCCAAAGGCCTGGATTGTAGCAAATCTAACACGCCCTAGTGAACCCTCCACCTGGCTACGCTGATGAAGCTGCTACTCCACATGTTCCCCCTCTCAATGTTCGCCAACAAGACAAATTCGGCACCCAGGCAGGTACTTTGAAAGCTATAGCTGCCAAGCAAGTATCCAACAAAGCCATGATGGTTATCCTCATCTATTTCCTTGGTCTTGCTGCTTTCATGATGAATTTGGATCAATACACCAACTACACCCTCCTCACTCAAGCCTTTACAGACGCTAATAACGTTCAAGCTCAATATCAAGTTGGTGCTGCAACTGCCATTCTTCTTGCTGTCGGTAAACCGTTCTTTGGAAAAATGTCAAATGTCATCGGTCGTCCTGAAGCTCTAACTGTCACGCTTTTCTTCATTGTTCTCGGTTATGTCGTTACTGCTGCATCTGATAAGCTTGTATCAGGTCTCGCCGCAGGTCAAGTTTTCTGGCAACTTGGCTTCTCCGGCTTCCAAATCCTCCTCAACATTATTGTCGCAGATAATACAAACCTCCGTTACAGAGGATTTTGGACTGGTATGATCAACGTATGGACTTTTGTCCTTTTCGCCTTATCCTCTCCAATCATTAGTGCCGTTAAATCAGGTTTAGGTTGGAGGTGGGCTTTCGGATTGGAAGCTATTTGCTACCTTCCTGCCTCTCTTCCAGCAATTCTTGTTCTCTTCTTGAACCAATACCGTGCTAAGAAGGCTGGTTTAATCAATTATCAGGACCAGCCACTCACTTCTGGTCCATGGAAGTCACGCATTTACCAATTCATTGTCCAGCATGATGTCATAGGTCTATATCTCCTTATCGCTACTCTCTGCTACATTTTCTTGCCAATCATTCTCGCTGGTACGAGTGCCCTTCTAGCATGGGACAATGCTTACGTGCCTGCCTCGATGGTCGTTGGAGGTTTCATCATTCTCCCCGCTCTCATCTACTGGGAACTGAAATGCGCTTCCTTCCCAATAATTCCACACTACTTCATCAAAAATATCAACATCGTAATCACGTGCCTGATCAACTTCTTTGACTTCATTTGCTTTTACCTTTCTTATCAGACGCTGAGTAACTACATGGCTGTGGCTGTAGATTGGTATACGGATTTAGAGAATGGTGAACCTCGTTTGAGCGGCGACTCTAACTATTATTCTTACTGCCAGAACATTAGTTTAACCTTCTTCGGTATTGCTTGGGGTATCATTGCCTCTGTCTTCAAACCTAATTGGAAGTGGTCTGTTGTTGTCGCACTCTGCATTAGACTACTCGGTGTTGGATTGATGTTGTACGCACGTGACAATCGTAATCTCGGTGCACTAGTTATGACGCAAGTTTTACAAGGTGCTGGTGGTGGTATCGCTGCAATCGCCACGCAAGTAGGTGCGCAGGGCAGTGTTCCTCAGCAACAGATGGCTCTTGCTACCGCTGCCATTCTTCTTTTTGCAGAAATTGGTAATGTTGTTGGCCAATCCGCTTCCTCGGCCATCAATTCTGCTTTCCTTCCACAGATGATCGCAGAGCAATTCCCATCATGGAGTGCAACACAAGTCAACAAATACGTCAGTGCTCCAATGTCCGCTGTCAAACTTGGTCCAGTCGGTACAGAGCAGAGAGATAAAATGATACAAGCATTCTCAAACAATCAGCGCAAACTCATCATTCCAGCCATCGTTTTCGGCTGCGTGCCTATCATTCTCTCCTTATTCCTCAAAAACTTCAAGCTCGATGAGCGCCAAAACGCAGTAGAAGATCTCGATGAAAACGGCCATGAAGTGCTGGCGTATGATTCAGAACGTACAAATACCCATGCAAATGGAGATTTAAATGAAAATGCGCGCGATAGCCACTCTGAGGCCGATGAGGATCACAAGGATGATCACAAGTCATCTCCAAAGGAAACCAATCCTAATGGTGGCCATGAATTGTCCCATTAAACCTTTTTATCTACACGTTCACTCTCACTTCAACTCCCACCTTCCTGGATTCTTGCTGCTTCACACTCTCTTGATATTACGTTACCCTCTATTATAGACTTACACCTTTCTTGATTCCAATTTAACATTTAAATTGTACGGTTTTGAAATGGATTAATTTTACGACGTACTTGCTGCACTGTATGCTAATCAAATATATTATTACAACGATATAACGTGAAATTACGCCCATCGATACTTCTTAGATCCATCCAGATCATTGTATTTGGTGAGTTATTTGAGGCTTTGAACCTCGTCTAGTGCTGGTATATTTTGTGCGTTGCGTACGTAGAATTGCTCTATTCGAACATTATTTCAAGGGCGGTCAATTTATCCGTAACATCGATCTTGCTGGTATACGCTATCCACACATAAAGATCCTGTGTGCTATCGTATCATCCAATCTGTAAATCCTGCATTTAGGGCTGTCAATTAAGACGATTTTAGAGCGGTATGACTTCGTGATAGGCAAATGTCCAGAGCTGAGCTTAGCGGCTGGACCGTCTGTCCCTTTATGCGATTATTTCCTTCAACTCTAAGAGGAGCAGTGAAGTATGTGCGGAAATTTCTTCTGGTTACACAAGGTGAGATTATCAGCTCGAAGTCAATATTCAAGAAACTTTGCGATTCCTTTCTTCTACGTCACTGTAGATAGATAGAAATCATAGTATACAGTCAAAAGCGTTACAACGATTAGTAATCATCGCCTATCTATACTTTTTGTGCATTGAAAGCTGACGATTGTAGTGACTCAAAGGGATGCGGTTCTTGGCAAGTGTGCCGTAAATTGGGAGGTAACTACGTGTAGCTACCGGAGGCGTGCGGGTGGGTGCTGAGCTGGTTTTTGAAGAACTCGTAGCGAGTCAGCTTTAAGCAATGGGAGCACAAATGGTGAGGGAACACTGCCATTTTTCACATATCTGGCAGCTTGGCGGAAATTGATTGGTTTAATACTCTCTAAAAAGTCTTTCCAGCATTAAGCCTTTTGCGTTTAGAAATTTTTAGAGCCTAACCATAATCGTAAAGGTTTTGTAATGACTGAAGAAAGAACGTGAGTCGAATCAACAAGTAATTAGCGCAGTGGTTACAACCCACAGTAGGACATCATCGGTTATGTGGTAGGGGCTATCCTCCCAGATTCTCATTCTGGAGACCCGGGTTCGATTCCCGGTAACCGAATAGTTTTTCCTCTTCCATTGGGAAGGTAAAATTTTTAAGAGTTGAATCAACTCATTTTGGGAAATGTTTTCTGGTATATATTTTTTTCGCCGAGTATAATTGGCTCGGAAAAGCCCTGATTTTCAAGACAGCTTTCTGTTGAAACAAATAATTACATTACTGGTTTATTTGCAAGGCAAGTCTTCGTTGTGTCCTTTACACGTATGCATAAGTAGTAGTGGTAGTGTTAGACCTTTTCACTCCTTGGAGTGCGTTTGTGACTTTCATTTCTTTTGTCTCGTTTTCTTTTCACTGAAACACTAGATGTTGTCAAATTCAGCATCACTGAATGAAATTTTGGTCAAATAATCAGAAGACAATTCAAACTTACCTAGCTGATTCAATAGGCATTTCCCACTTTTGGGCACTGTGACGGATGTCTGTGATTATTTTGACAGAGAATTTCGGATTATATCCCATCTACGTCATTTCTTATCTTTTAACTAGCTCTATCTGATCCATCGCCACCGTAAATTGGAAAGATAAGATCATTAAAGCATACTGTATGGTTAATTATAGTTCCTCAAATCTGATTAAATGATTAGTTCTCTAACAGATAGGTAGTCACGCTGAGCGCTATCATTAAGGATATTTTCTCGCCTTTGTTATTTGCTCATGTTTCGGTTCAAAACACAGCATGTCAACAATAATTGTACATAATGTATATAAAAACAAAATTAAAATAAACCTTCATCTATAAACAATTGCTGAAACAAATCAATACGTTTTTCCAGGCTTTAAGAGATTATTTGTGGAGTTTACGGGATTCGAAACTATTCGCAAAAAGTGATTATGAAAAAAATTTCGGTGAATTAAGGCACATTATAATTAAGTGGATAACACTAAAAATTGGCTTTTCTGAATTTTCAACGAGTAATAAAAGCCGATATGGTCTTTTATTTTGAGCCTTAATGCTATCGGTTCGATGGTCTAGGGGTATGATTCTCGCTTTGGGACACCAATTTGCGAGAGGTCCAGGGTTCAAATCCCTGTCGAACCCTTTTTTTGGAGCTGAATTTCTTTTACATAAAATTCAATTATGATGAATAATAAATTTCTGGTGATATTTCAGGAAGATAGTGCTGAGCTAATAAGTTTCTAATTGAAAATTACAATAAAAGTAAGGTATAGATTGCAATGATTTCATTCCAGTACCATCATCATCAAAATGTCAGCGGATGGAAGACCATTACCAGAGGGATGGATAGAGGATTTTGATCCGCAATATCAAAGAAATTTTTGGGTTGACGTGCGTAAAGAGCCACCGGTTTCAATTTGGCATCATCCACTTGATGATGCTGAGTATTCTAATAAATCGTTTGCACCGCCACCAGGTCCACCACCGGGAGCATCACCTTATGAGGAGAAACCACCAGTACCACAATCACAGCCATCACCGCAGCCTAGAGGATCATCACCGTATATTCCCCAAAAGGAATCAAAATCTAGTAAAATAAAGTCATTTTTGGGATTGGGATCGTCATCGAGGCCACAGGGTTATGGACAGGGTGGATATATGCAACAGCAACCGATGCAGCAACCAATGTATCCACAGCAACAGTCATATCCACAGCAACAACCTTATATGCAACCACAGCAACAACAACCTTATATGCAACCACAGCAACCAATGTGTTAGTATTTGAAGAAAAAAAACCTTTTAATTCTTATTAACAATAACTTAGATGTACAACAGCAACGACCAAGTAAAAGAATGGGCGGTGGAGGAGGAGGAATGGGCAGTATGCTTCCAATGGCTGGTGGTTTAGGTGCTGGAATGCTTGGTGGTGCATTCTTAGCTCATGAGTTTGATGAATCCCAGCAAGACGCGTATGAAGATGGATATGACGATGGAGGCGGTGGTGATTTTGATGACGGTGGCGGTGGAGATGATTTCTAGTCTTGTTCCATTTAAATCAAATAAATTATAAATCTTTGGTATCGCTTGAACCATCACGACGATAAAATGCTGGCGACAAGCACAGCTAATAATTCATCTTTAACTCCTTTGCCAGTGGAATACGCGCTACCTTTATCAACTCAAAACGATTTGGATTTAAATTACCCAGAAGATGAGCAATCCAACTTTGCGATTTCAATTCCTCATCCAATACACGATCATCATTTGTTAATTGGTAGATTATCAAATAATTACAAAACCTTAGTATTATCTAGTATACCTCCATTAGCACCTTCTTTATCGATAAATCTACATTCACCCGCTATACCTACAATTGGTTTATTCTACGACGATGAAGCTGAATCCGTTCATTTGTTACTCGTCACTCAATCCTCCGCTTTACTCAGATTGTCTGTACCTCTTTTCGTACTCAATTCACCTTCCTCTGAAAATCTTCCTGATGGTTGGGCAACTGAATACATTCTCAACTCTGTGGAATCTGATTCATCGCAGATTTCAACTGTTAACCCAGTTGACTTGAATTCAGTGTTGTTGGGTTTGGTTGATGGTACTCTAGTCCTCTGCGAACAACCTAGAGGCGATAGAACCCTACTTGGTATGGGTCTAGTTAGTTATTATGAAACTCAATGGTCGGAATCTCAAATGCGTCACTCTTCCATCTTATCGTCTGTCAAATCTTTCCTCCCAAACCCTTTCTCCTCCTACGCTAATTCTGCTATTGGTCCTCCCACTCAAATTATCTCTGTCTCATCTCACATCACTGAGAACTCTGCTTTCGCTTTCACCCTCTCAAGAGATAGAAAATTACGCGTTTGGTCTTTGATTCACAGATCTTGCATCAGAACAATTGCCCTGGGTGATCAATACGATTTTATTCCTGGCGATCCACGCAAGCTCTTGACCACTTACTCTACAGATATCGATGATGATGATGGTATTGGTTTCATATCTGTTCATCTCCCAGACTATGCAACTCCTGGCTTCTACATTTACTCCTTCGAAATCAATAGAAACGCTGGTTTGGGTGAGCTTAACCTGATTGCTGAGCGCACAAGTGAACCTGGCTTGGAATTGCACGATATGTGCATTATTAACCATGGTCAACCTAAACTCTGGGCTCTGTATGAGAAATCTGGTATTCCTCTCATCAAGCACACTCTTCTCAATGAACTTACGACTGATATGCCATCTCAAATTACTCCAGCTTCATGGGAGGTTGTTACACAAGCACCTATAACACCCCTCGATCCTGCAGCTTTCTCTGATTACGTTTTGAGCGCAGCTGCGGGTACTTCCATCCCTGACATATTCCTTGATGTCATTTTCACTCCAGGTGCTTTCAGTCCTCTGACTATCTCTCGCGCTATTGTCGAGTATACGTCTCTAATTATCAACGAGATTGCACCAGAGAACAGACCAGAAAAATTGCTTGATCCTCCAGTCTACGATAACCTCGCTCAACACTCCGCTGATGTGGTTGGATGTCACATTCAGCTTGAGTATGATGCCGCTTCTGGTGTCCCAAGAACCGAAGAACACCAGCAGAAGGTCAAGTTTGAGTGGTTGCGATTCGCATCTCTCGTCGGTGAGACTCATGGTCGCGCTCAACTGCCTTTGCATTTGGCTATACACGCTCAGCAACCTCAACAAATCTTGGTCATACAATCTGAAGCTATATCTGCTCCAGTTATAGAGGATCAATGTCAGACTATTCGTCGTATCACTGATCCCAACGTCTCTTCGGATGCTGTGAGGGATTTCCTCGAGTTAGAAGAGTCCACGGTTGAAAAATTCTGCTCTGAGGAGCTCGTTTCTCGTGAGAGCAGAGAGTCTGTTTTGCGTGTTTTTATGCTAGCCAGATCACTCATTCAATTAATATCACTGGATAAACTGAGAAATATCCAAGATGACATCTTATACATGGCAACTAACCATCTCAACGACTCTCCAGAAGCATTATTGAGGGATCTATGGAAAAACGTTACACAGGATGCCACTGTGGATCCAAACACCAAAACTCTCTTACAAAGCGCAAAAGAAACAGTTACAAGTAACGTGGATGCTTTCTTAGTCGCATTAGACAGCGCAATAGAGATTTTGACGGACGTCGGATACACGTTTGACGAATCTACTACCAATAAGTCGACGCTTACCGATGACCTCTCAAAGACTCTCGTCTCCTCTACACTCATAAATCAGCTCAAAGATCGCTACACCCTGTCAAGAGATCTAATGATACTTGTTTTGTTTGTCGATTCATGTGACCTCTTGGGTAGCGATCCAGAGTCAGCTATGAATCGCACGCTTAATGTATTCCACAGAAGTGCGCTTCTTCGTTGGATCGCTCTTAGAGGCGTTTCTGAAGAGCCAAACTACCCTAATGAAGAGGGTAACAAAGCGGATGACGGCCTTACAAACCAATTTGGCGCTATGTACGTTGCCAATGTATCGTCACTCGAGCATTATCCAAAACTCCCAGCTAGCTCACTCATTCATGCGATACTACGCACACCTTCGTACGCACTGATATCTGGTGTATCATTGTTCGAGGATGACAGTGCAGCCACCTACTTACCAACACCACGAGCAATTACACACGCTGCTAACTACTTCCTTAAGCACATTCATTTGCTCATCGATGCTAACTTTGTTGAGTGCAACGCTGCTGATACTAAGTTTGGCAAGATGCTTTTTGATTGTGGATGGCATAATCTCGTCAATGATTATGTTCAGTTCTGGCCAGGCAGCGCGGGGATGTCTTACATTGATGCTCTGGCTAAAGTCGAGAACTGCGAATTTGAACAAGCCAAAGGAGAATTTGAAGTGGCTGCAAGTGGCATGATGTCTAACGATGAGACACTCAAAGCAGTTTTACCAAAAGGTGTCGACTCGCTTGCAAAGTTTTATGAACATGTTACCGTAACTTTCGAAGCAGCTCAATTTGACGAATATATATCACACTTTGCTCAGTATGCTCTTGATGAAGTGATTCAAGGAGACGAAGAGGGTGTTGATTCTAGCGCACTTTGGAACAAGCTGTTCAGATCTCAAGCTAGTGTTGGAAAATATGAAGAGAGCTATACAACGTTAATGGCTATCCCATACGTAGACATCCAGCACGAATGTTTGAGATATCTCGTGTCCGCTATGTGTGAGACGGGAGATGTTGCAAGATTGGTGCAATTCCCGTTCACTTCTCTGCAACCTGAACTCGAACGCACTTTGTCATTCAAGGCTCGCAATTCTGATGCGTTGGACAGACCGAACTACTACCAGATACTCTACTCGTATTACATATTCAGAGGTAACTTTAGAGATGGTGAGTTATAGTATAGGTCAATCTACTGTTGTCAATCTAACACAACACCAGCTGGTGCTATCATGTATCAACACGGTCGCAGACTTGCAGAAATCCCTTGTCGACCTGGTGAATTTGGAGAGCTTGCAACACTCCAAGCAAGAGCATATCTTAGTGCCGTTAATGCACTTTCACTTGTCAATCCAAAGAATGCGTGGGTGGTGCTCCCAGTGACGCCAGAGAGTGTATCGAATGTGAGTAACTCAACTTGTTGATGGTATTCCTATAAATCTTACGCATTTACTCAGATTCGCAAGAGAAGAAGGCTGACGACGCACATTCCTGAATCAGAGTTTAACAATGAAAGTAAAACGCTAGAGATAGTTAGAATAGAGGATATTCGTCATGATTACACTCTCGTCTTGGCTCGTCTTCAACTAGCGCAAGAATTCCCAGAGCTTACACATGCCAATCTGTCAATGGCTCCTGAGGATATAGTCGCACTTTTTACACAACGTGGCTTATTCTCAGTCGCTATTGCTACAGCGCGCACTCTGGACGTAGACATGACAGGGATCTTTACGAATCTATCCAGCAGGTGTCTTCAGCTATCGAAGCTGGGCGAATATGCAGAGTACGTTATGGTCTTGATCCTTTGATCTTTTTTTCGTTAGGCTCTCCTTGCTAACATACCACAGTGAATCCGATGTCGGCGAATGGATATTACTTGACGAATCTGCATCTAGCTGGCACGGTAGTGTGGCTGAACGTGCGTGGAACTATCTGAGAGGATCGCTTGAGAAGCACGACAAATTGGAGCGTACACATGGAAAATACAGAGTAGCAATACTTGAGCATCTTTTCGAAGTAGATAGGTCATTTGACGGTGTTCCGTCATGGCTGCTGTCTATGTTCGTATCGCATCTCGCTCCTGAACTCATACGCATCTACTTCAAATTTGACCTCCTCAACGATGCACTCAACACTTGCGTCAGAGTGCTCGAACAGGCTAACTCCAAGCTTAAGTTTTCTTCCAGTGCCCATGGTCAGTGGCTGCCTTATACTATTATAGATCAAGTCGTCACAGCTGTCAAGGAGAGTGGGGATGAAATCAAGTATGGAGACAAGGTGACTTATATTAAACAGCTCTATGAGGAACGTACGAAAACTCTAAACAACCAGAATATCATGACGAATGGTATATAAAATGTTCATTGTATTTATTACAATTCTACTAATTTATGCTTTTAACAAATGTAGGCACAATGAATGAGAGAATACTGCCTGTACTCAAACCAGCTGTGAGATAGAAAACCAACACGCTAGCTCCGATGTCTTTAGCATTGTGCTGTTCATTACCAGGAATAGAAAGCGGATTATTGAGATTTGTGTTGAATTGCTCGTTGGTGCCTGCTGTAAAAACGTTGGTGGCAGTGTATCCATTCGTCAAACCGAAGAGTACAACCAGGGTGAAGAAAACAGCGTCATTTTTTACCAGTGATGGTGCCGTGTTAGGTATGTTAGAAGCTAAGAAGAGGGGAATAAAAATGACACGACAAGCTGAAATTGTATTCAACACTTTCGAGGATGTGGGGTGGATAGTCTTGATTGTGTCTGGCTTAAATCTGTCAGGCAGCTCTAGCGATGGAAGAGCACGACCTGCGAGATCTGATAAGTTGAAAGTAAGGAAGTGAATCAAGGGGAAGTATGAAGCATGGAGAAGGGATGGCTGTGATTCTATAGGCTGTGAAGATCTCACGAGTACTGTGACTGTTGGGTATACGGCTAAAGTGACAGCGAAATCGAGCATGACTGCTGAGCCATATTGCCAAACACGAGCATTCACCTGCTTCATAAGCTCGAAGGGATGCTTGGATGGTGTTTTAAGTTTATTATTCGACACCAATTCGATAAAGGTGATCGTTTTTGAGAGGTGGTAGAAGAGGGCTGCAGAAACCACCAGAATTAGGGTAGAGGTAAGATATGAAATGAACATGGTGAGCGCATTTGCAGTTGCCGTGTCGCCCTCGCTGCTATTGGAAAGTAATTGGAGAACCAACTGGAAAAGTGAAGCTATGACGGCTACAATACCCTGACCTGTAAAGATGGCTTTGAGGTGTGCTGGACCGTACAAGCTAGCAAGAGCTGTAGCTGCAGATTGCAAATAAGCAACGCCGATAGCAATGCTGATTGCGCACCCCAACACAGCCCCAAAGAGGAACTGAGTTTTAAAGGTGGCTGAGATGTAAGCTAAGAATCCTAACGCTGCTAAAGGAATAGTCATAAGCATTAAGGACCTCTTCACCCGCGTATCCATATCGGAGCCGGTGTGGGTGAGAGTCGCAAATGCCAAAGTGAGGAAGTTGGGTAGAGTGAATGCAGCAGATAGCGCAGAAGGGAATAAATCGTAGGAAATGACGTCACTGAAGAAAGGCAGCGCTAAAATGAGCATGTTCCAGGGTAAAAGCATCGATATCCCTAAGCAGAAAAATGTCGGTATCTGCAGTCTCGTTGAAGTGGAATCTGTAGTATTGGCCTCTGCAGCCTCTGCATCCTGTTCTCCGCCTAGTGATTGATATTTGAATCGCTGTAGGAATCCTCTAAATAAGTCCATCACCGTTCGAATTGAAGGAGGCTGCTATTGAATTACTAGTCATCAACTCAATTTAATAGCTTTGAGTATTTCCAAGCCGATTTCTCTTGATCAAACATCTTAATCCCCAACCACCACCACCACCACCACCACCACCGATATACAAAGCCTTCAAATGTCGGGCAACATCAGAGTTGTAGTCCGATGTAGACCTCTAAATAGCAGAGGTGCGTTTATAACCGACATCACCACTATCTCACAACCCCCGTAGAAGTCTCAAGGGGTGCCAAAGGACTTATACGCATGGAAGGTAATCACACATACCTCGATCCTCCTCCTCCTGGTGCTTTAGCGGTTGGCGAGAAATCCACTGCGAAGAAGACGATGAATTTCACCTTTGATAAGTCATATTGGTCTGCAGGTCCCAAAGACGAGCCCACGTACGCGTCTCAGCAGACACTATACGACGATCTCGGTGATGAACTCCTTGAACACGCTTTCCAGGGCTTCAATTGTTGTATCTTTGCGTACGGCCAAACTGGCTCCGGTAAGTCTTACTCTATGATGGGCTATGGAGAAGACAAAGGTATTATACCCCTCACTTGTGAATCCCTATTCACGCGGATCGCTTCAAATCGCAACCCAAATCTCGGTTTCACTGTTGAATGCTCTTATATGGAAATTTACAATGAAAAAGTCAAAGACCTCCTCAATCCACGCAATATGAACAATCTTAAGGTTAGAGAGCATCCTAATCTTGGCCCTTACGTCGAAGACTTGAGCAAACTCGCTGTAAATTCTTATGACGAAATGATGAATATGATGGATGAAGGTAACAAGGTGGGGGATACTTTTAGCTGTAACTCTCTCCTTACACTCCCCAGGCACGTACAGTTGCTGCTACTCAAATGAATGCAACTTCTTCACGTTCACATGGTGTTTTCACTCTCATTCTCACTCAAAAGCGCATGGACGTTGATACAGGTATGGAAGGTGAGAAGGTCAGTCGTATCTCTTTGGTCGACTTGGCTGGCTCAGAGCGAGCAAATTCAACTGGTGCAACTGGTCAACGTCTTAAAGAAGGTGCAAACATCAACAAATCTCTGACTACGCTTGGTAAGGTCATTGCAGCACTTGCACAAGCCTCTGGTACACCAGATAACCTTGTCAAGGGAAAGAAGAAGCGTCCCGAAGACTTTGTACCCTATCGTGACTCTGTCCTCACCTGGTTGCTCAAAGACAACCTCGGTGGTAACTCAAAGACTGCTATGATTGCCGCAATATCGCCTGCAGATTATGAAGAGACTCTCAGTACACTTCGTTACGCCGATCAAGCTAAAAAAATTAAAAACAAGGCTATTGTTAATGAAGATCCAAACGCTAAGCTCATTCGTGAACTTAAAGAAGAACTCGACGCCTTGCGTGTGAGAGCTGCTGGCGCTTCTCAAGAATCAACCTTCGATCCATCTGTTCCTCCAGAAAAGCAAATGGTCCAGTACAAGAGTCATACAGGTGAGATTAAAGAGGTCTCTAAAGCCAACTTGCAAGATCAAATGGAGCAGTCTGAAAAGCTTATGAGCTCTCTCAACGAAACTTGGGAGGAGAAGCTCCAAAAGACTCAAGAGATCCAAGTTGAAAGAGAAAAAGCACTCGAAGATCTCGGTATCACTGTTGACAAAAAGGGTGTTGGTGTGAGTACACCAAAGAAGATGCCTCATCTTGTCAACCTCAATGAAGACCCCCTCATGAGTGAGTGTTTAATTTATCAAATCAGACCAGGTCAAATGCTCGTCGGTAACATGGAATCAGAGAAAGCGTGCGAGATTAAGCTTTCTGGTCACACAATCCTAGACGAACACTGTGTTTTCATTAACGAGGGAGGAAGCGTTCATATATCACCTCTCCCTGAAGCCATGGTTATGGTCAATGGCAACAAACTTGAAGCTGGTGTACCACATAAGCTTTTTTCAGGATACCGCATCATATTAGGAGAGTACCACGTATTCAGATTCAATCATCCAGAAGATGTTAGAAAAGCTCGTGAGACAAGAGCATCAAGGATGAACCTTAGCATGACAGCTGCTGAGTTAGAAGCGCTTTCTGCACCGGATGACTCACATAATATGAGGTCAGGATCACCATCTGAAAGTTTCGCGCACACCTTCGATTGGGAGTCAGCAAGGAAAGAGGCTATTGAAAAATCAGGTGTTAACTTTGACGATTACAATGACGAAGATTTGGACAAAATATACGAGGATCTGATAAAAATTCGTACCGTTCGAAAAGCCCGCCCGGAATCGAGAATGAGTATGTTAGATGGTGATAGTGAATTTGGAGACTCAAGCAACGGTCGCTTATTGTCTGGCGAAACTATCACTGATGATACCAGTATCGACCCATCAAATGCTCTTGATTCGGATGTCAATAGCAAGGTCGAAAATATACCAAAACAAGATGTAGACATTATCAAAGCTCAGAATGACAAAATGGCTCAAAGGCTTCAACTATACCAGAAGCAAATGACTATGATGGTTCGCAAGCACAAGGAATACAAACGCCGCAACTCTAACGAAAGCTTTGAGCCAGCTTTGTTCAGTGATGAAGAGGTTGAGCATATAAATAACGTTTTGGCAAAATGGAAGCGGTTAAGAAGAGTGGCTATGGCTGAAGCTGCCCTCACTAACGCTGTATTTGTGAAAGAAGCTAATGTAATGGTGGGTGGTTAGAGTCTCAGTAGAATCAATTCTTACTGACAAATCACAGAGCAACGAGCTTATGACTGGTGTTTCATATAATTTGACGGTGGATGCTGGGGGAGCCCTATCCTTTCCACAATCAGCACTAGAAACCATTGCTGGACTTGGGGAATTCGGTGAAGTTTCTAGCAAATCTACATCCACCACAAACGCATTCAAGCCTGTCATTGCCGTTAAAGTGATTGACAGAAAGAACAATAGCGTTTATTTGTGGTCGCTGGAGAGACTTCATCAGCAGCTTCAGAGAATGCGAAATGTTACTCTCTTTATCGACAGACCGAACGTCAGTCAGCACTTTGCAACACTTGAGCCCTTCTACTCTCAAGACCCACCAGAGTATTCATTTATTGGAGTAAGTAGGATTTATTAGTAACAATAATAATCTGACATAAGAGACAGTCTGCACTTTTATCGCTTTCGCCAATATTGAGGCAGAAATCCATTTCATACCAACTTCCAATATTCTGCAGATACACCACAGAAGCGCTTGGTTCATGTAAGGTTGAATTGAGAATAGCATCGGTTATACCACCTGCAAATAGTAGTCCAAATGATACTGTCAGTAGTGGCACTCTCACTCCACGCTCTTCAACATCCGCAACGCTATCACAGGCACCAGGAATGATTAAATCACCAAGCATCAATCAAATCATAGATACACATATTCCAATCGGATCAAAGATAAGCCTCGCAATCATGGTTGACCATGTTCGTGGACTTACCTCCAAAGACTTTGGCAGCATACACTGTCAAATCCGCCTGACATCGTTTGCCGGCCCAAATGCTGACATTGAGGATGTTTTCTCTTCTGCTGTTGCCGATCTTGGTGATGGCGATTCGACTGACCTCAAGTTGCGCAAAACGATCTCTTTCACTGTCACTGAAGATGTGGCTCGGTATTTGTGCAACGACTATGCACCAATAGAGTGGGTAAATTTGGCTTAGAATTACATTTCTGACAACCATGCCAGATTCTTTGCAGCAGTTAAACCCTCGTTTATGGATGGTCTGCAAAATTCAGACATCTCGAGAGAGCAAGCTAGACTGTCCCCAAAAGTTGGAAGACATTCTAAGAATATGTCAATGTCATCATCTGGTCGCAAATCAGAAGTTGAGTTGCTTCATGAAGAAAAGCACGACATCTCAACTTGGCTGCAAGTCCAGGAGTTGGATGCAAGCGGGGAATACAAACCAGTTCAAGTCTCTTCAAACGGATCACTTGATCCTGGTAGCTTCAGTTTGAGACAGGGTCTTCAAAGAAGAATTGTGCTCACTATGAGTCATCAGTCTGGTCGGCAATTGCGTTGGAGGCGTGTGAACAAGCTTTCTTTGGGTGATATTCGCCTCCTTGATTCTAAAGGTCGTTTGCATGAAAGCTCTTCCAGTGGTGACATAGATATACCACTTCCCAAGCACCAAGAACCACGATACAATGCCGATGGGTCATCTCATCTTACAGTCACTTGTGGATGGGATTCTGGTAGGCATGACGCCTTATACCTCAATAGAGTTACTGGAAGTGGTCATCGTGTTTTAATGAGACTGAAATGGAGAGTCGATATTGAGAATTGCGAAGAGAGTGCATCATTTGCGATGGATGTGGCAGTCAACATTTACGGCAGAGACAGCAGCGGGCCATCAAAACTCATGTCATTCTTATCTTCAACTAAGTTACTCCATAAAACCAGCTCGCTATTCACCTTGAAAATGAGTCCACACCCATCACGATCGGCCAAGGCGTTGTGGAGAACAGATACCAATGGCAGATACATCAGAGGAGAAGAGAATCTCGGCGGCTGGAAAGTTAGGGGGATATCCCTAGTAGAAGATTTCGATGCTTTGAAGAAGCGCGAGAAATTGATTGCAGACGTTCAAGCTACAAAATCAGTGATGAACGCCATAGGAAATTCAAAAACAATCAAGAGGACGAATACAGAAGATGCTGATAAGCTTGCGAAGAAGGTAGTGCAATGTTGGGAAGAAACAGCAAGAGGACCAACTATCGTCTCAGTGAGCGATCCAATCGGTCTAGAGAATGAAAATGAACCATTGACACCGCTGGATCTTGGATATACACCAACAGTCACATTGCAACCGCGATCAGATTCAAGATCAAAAGCTGGATATATGTTGCATCTTACAGATGCACATAATGACAGCTGGTCTAGACGATTCTTCGTTTTGAAGAGACCTTGGTTGTACATCTATACATCATCGAATGAGTTGGATGAGGTTGGTGTAGTCAATCTGTCGTCAGTCAAGTTGGAGAGGAGCAAAGAGGTTGAAGAGCTCTTACAAAGAAAAAACACGTTTACAATATACTCACAGTCTAACTCTTATATCCTACAAACAGCCAACGAAAAGGATTTGGATGATTGGTGGCGCAAAATAAACCCATTACAGTTTACTTGATTAACACAACGCTTTTTTTTTATCAAACAATTTGTTCTTATAATACATCGTTAGATACCATAATAAGAGACTAATTCTGTTTAACTAAATAAATATGAGTAGAGCAAAATTTAAGACAAACCCTAAGCACAGAATAGTTCAGATTGTCTAAACAGTATTTAAAGTTATAATGATCGTTTATAAGTTTGACATATACAAAAAAAAGTGAGATATAAATTGTGTATTCCGAATTTAGACTTAAGCAAATTTTCCGTAATTACTGAAACTCGAGAAAAATTAGAATTATCTGCAACATTAGAAGTGATTTTGTTGGTTGGAAAGGATATTGATAAGAGCATCAATATCGATCAATTGGCCACCGCGCTTGTGGGTCTTGATGTTTGAGAGGGCGTCGACGACAGCATCAACATCGATGAGAGAAGGCTGAGAGCCGCCACGCTTCAAAATGTTGGAGAGAATGTTTGCGCCAAGATCTAAATCAAGGAGGCCACCGCCGTTGTCATCGTTTGATTGCTTGTCGCCCCATTGGCCACCGCTGCTTCCGCAGTTGTCGCCACAGGATTGATCGTCACCCCATTGACCGCTGTTGTTTTGCTCGTAAGAGCCGCTGTTGTTTTGTTCAGATGAGCCATCTTTGTTCACTTCGTATGAGCCATTTTGGTTCTGGTCCACAGTGGTCGCCACAGGATTGGTCGTCACCCCATTGGCCACCGTTGTTGTTGGATGAGTCACCGTTGTTTTCACCCCATGAGCCGCCGTTGTTGTTGTTGGATGAGCCACCGTTGTTTTCACCCCATGAGCCGCCGTTGTTTCCGCCAGATTGGTCATCCTTGTTCTCATCACAGTCGGCATCGTCCTTGTTCTTGTCTCCGCCGTTGTTTTCACCCCATTGGCCATCACCGCAGTTGTCACCACAGGATTGATCGTCACCCCATTGACCGCTGTTGTTTTGCTCGTAAGAGCCGCTGTTGTTTTGTTCAGATGAGCCATCTTTGTTCACTTCGTATGAGCCATTTTGGTTCTGGTCATAAGAGCCATCTTGGTTACCGTTCCATTGGCCGTCTTTGTGTTGCTCGTATGAGCCATCCTTGTGTTGCTCGTATGAAGAATCTTTGTGTTGCTCGTATGAAGAATCTTGGTGGGTGCTCCATTGACCATCTTGACCACCTTGCTGGTCTTCTGGACAGTCTTCACCGCGCTTGTGGTGGTAACCGTGAGACTTCTCCTTGTTGGAAAGGATATTGATAAGAGCGTCAATGTCGATCAATCCACCGCTGCGCTTGTGGCCTGAGAGGTTTGAAAGAACGTTGACGAGAGCGTCGATATCAATCAAACCGCGCTTGAAGTGACCTTGTTGGTTGGAAAGGATGTTGATAAGGGCGTCAATGTCGATCAACTCCCCACGACGTTAACGAGAGCGTCGATATCAATAAAACCGCGCTTATGGCTGTTGTTGAGAACGTTGGCGACAACATTGGCGTCGATAAGCTCGCCGCCGCGCTTGTGGTGACCGTGACCATGACCATGACTGTTTTTTTCCTCGTTGGAGAGAATGTTGATAAGGGCGTCAATGTCGATCAACTCCCCACCACGCTTGTGGCTCTTGAGATTTGAGAGGAGGTTGACGATGAGGTCAATGTCGATCAGAGAGCCGTCACGCTTAAAGTGACTTTGTTGATTGTTGAGAGCATTGATAACTGCATCAATGTCGATCAACTCCCCGCCACGCTTGTGGCTCTTGAGGTTTGAGAGGAGGTTAATGATGAGGTCAATGTCGATCAGAGAACCACCGCGCTTGTGATGGTTAGTGAGTATGTTTGCGACAACGTTGGCGTCAATGAGTTTACCATCCTGGTAGTGAGCTTCCTTGTGTTGCCATTGACCACCACGCTTGAAGTGGTGACTTTCCAAGTTTGAGAGCAAGTTGACAACAGCGTCGATGTCGATTAATTGGCCATCACCACGTTTGTGTCCTTTGAGGTTTGAAAGGAGGTTGAGGACGAGGTCGATGTCGATAAGAGAACCTCCACGCTTGTGGACTTGTTCGTTTGAGAGGGCGTTAACCAAAGCATCGACGTCGATGAGTTCATCATCGGAACGCTTGTGGTAACCGTGATGACTGTGGCTTTCGTTGGAGAGAATGTTGATGAGTGCGTCAATGTCGATCAATCCACGCTTGTTGGTCTGGCTGATAGCGCTGATGTTCTGTGCAAAAGTTAGACTGTAGTGACAGCAACTAGATACAACCCACCTCCACTGGAGCAGCGAGAACAGAGGCGCTGAGGGCCATGAGAGCGACGACTGAAAATTTCATTGTAACGAGTGTTGTGTTGTGAAAAGGTGAGAGTTTGAGATGGAGAAGAGAGAATAGAATGCGCGTAATTTATAGTCAATGGAAATTCTGCCTGTCACTCATTTTCATTACCGTTCCTGTGAACGTGAAATGTCTTGACATTGACGTAAATTGACATCTCTTCCGCATAAATGAAAGTCTGTAAAATCATGGAAAGGTCATTACGGCGTATACGCAGCGTGTATTTATACCTTTGAATCATTGTGAATTCGTTAGGGTGCACCCTCATCCTTGGCCGACTTTAAGGTACGGTGACTGTCCCGAGCCGTCTCAGGGTGCTTGATAGGATTGATCGGGGGATACCATTGGTTAAATAAGGTGTACGCGTGTTTCATAGTCAATTTAACCACATTCCAGCCATATTGAGAATCTGATTAATTTCCGGTAGTATTTCGGATAGCTGACACTCATTCCCGGCAAACCAGCTGACGAAACATGCGTCGTTCTAATCACATATCCGTAGCCATTCCAAGTTTATTGAGTTGAAGTAGGCATGTGTAGCTTGCTTAGCGGGTGTGGATAGGAGTGTGCCAGTTGAACGATAAGCGTGAATATATACGGCGATTCAATATATACCACTAAGCCTCACGGATTTAGACGCGGAGCGTGGCTGGAGTGTACTCCCTCTCCAGCGCTTATTTGCTTCTCAGCTGTGTTCCATCTAGCAGCGTCCTCCAGGCGTCCTCCAGGCGTCCTCAGGTAATGCAATAGTCACGTAATTCAATTTGGGCGAGTACTCTATCGTTCCTAAGGCACCTATTGCTGTCAAAGTTGTGGAAGCGAAGCGAGCAGTGAAATGGGGAACTTTAGTTGCGATGCGGGCAGATGCGGGCGAGTGCCTGTTAGTTCCTGATGAGTAAAATATGAGTAAAATTAATTCTACAACATTCAAGTCCGTTCTATTCTCAAGCCTAGCAGTTTTACGTGTCTTACAAATCCATCAGCTGTGGCAGGCGCGCTCAATGTCTGCAATCTCCTTAGGTGCCTCTTGAGTGAGCACTAGTGGATCATTCTTCCCGACAAGGACATCATCCTCAACTCTAACGCCGAGATTATGGAACCACTTGGGGAATCGTTCATTTGGGAAGACATAGCAACCTGGCTCAATAGTGATTACGTTACCGTCTACCAGCTTCTGAGAGCGATCGAACGACGGTGTATCGTGCAAGTCCATGCCTAGTGGATGACTAATGTAGTGTGGATATAGGATACGTTCTAGGTCGCCAAAGCGTAGATTGTTGAAGCCAATCTGCTTCAATTCGATGCCCAATAATCTCACGCTTTCTCTGTGAATATTGTTCAACGACACCCCCGAGTCTTCCGTACACAATTTGATGCATTGCTTCTCGACATTGAGAACAGCCTGATAGAGGTCGCGTTGAGGCTGAGAGAAGGTGCCATTAACGGGCCAAGTGCGAGTGATATCGCTGCAATAGCCATGCAACTCACACCCGGCGTCCATCAGCATCATGTCGTCTTTATCAATGAGCATAGTGTTAGCAGTGTAGTGCACAGCGAGGCCGTTCGCGCCTGATGCGACAACGGGGACGTAAGCCTGACGCTGCGAGCCAGCCATTGCGCAGTGGTATTCGAACCTTGCGGCCACCTGATGCTCTGAGAGACCAGCGTGAGTGTTCTTCATCGCATCTCTGAACCCTAACCCGGCAATGCGACCACTGGAGCGCATCAGCGCGCGTTCAGCAGGACTCTTACGCGAGCGCATTTTCTCCACTAACGGACCGAGCGGGCGGACGTTGGGAAGACCGAGAGTAGCGAGCACAGAATCACCCTCGCTGGTCGTCTGCCCGCGTATCGCACTGCTAAGGTAGTCGACGAGTGCCTTGGCGGGGTTGCTGCTGCTGCTTCCACTGCTGCCACTAGATGCGCCCCGCTTTCTCGGCCTATCTGTGAGACGTGGGTGGGATGCGTATACCGTCTTGTGTGCGCGCAGTGTGTTTTTCAGATACGCAGCTAGACTGGCTGCAGGTTTTGACTATGTGGAGGAGTTTAGAGTGAGACTTACGCGTTTTATAGACATTCTCACCTCATCTGCTTTGAATATACTCATTGCAGCTTCCTGTCCTGTGCGCGCACCATCCCATAGCTCGATGTGGGGGTCCTTGGGGCGGACAAAGAGGACCATTTTGTAGCCACGTGGAGTGCTGTCATCGCGCTCGAGAACTACAGCGGAATCAGGCTCCTGGAAGCCTGTCAAATAGTTGAAATCTGTTGCTTGTCTGAACGAGTAGAAGATCTGCTGGGACATCATCTTCACGTGTCCAGAGACGCACACAACCGAATCCCCTGGATTGAGCTGGGACATGAGATTTTTGCGTCGCTGCTCGTATTCGTGCGTCGAAATTCCAGGCGTTAGGTCTGTCTCGCTCATCATATAGCCATGCGTAGACGCCACAGGCTGGCCATAGTTGGCTGGCTTAGAGAGCAGCTTCGAGGTATTTTGGATGGATCGTTTGAGCGTCTGGTTGAGCATCGTATTCGCCACGCGATGGCTGTTTGCGTTGGAAGCAGGCGTCTTCTCTCTTGGCAGATTTCGACCTTTTTGGATTTTTAAAAACTGCTTTACACAGCTGGCATGGGTTTGTGTCACTAAGTTCAATTTCAGCCATTTAGACCCGCAAACAACGGGCGGCGTATCCGAGAATGGCTTGCGTGATCTCTGCAGGAGCCAGTTGAGGTAATATAAAATTTCCATAGCATCCTCCCAATGAATTCAACTACCCACAAAATTAAATAAAAAATCTGATTTTTATCGGCCGTTGATCAGATTATCGAGATAATCAGATCTGACTTGTTTTCTTTATTCTCTACGACGAGCAGCGATGGCAACAACCGGAGAAATAAAGCTGAGCGACACAGCGAGTATTCGAGTGGAAGCGACTGATGAGGCGCTTGCTATCCACACCGACGCAGCAACGCACCACATACACACACTTACCCACAAAACTACGCCAATTTCTCCATTCTCCATCCTCAATGATGAAAGAATAGCGCGCGATAAAATATATGTGTTACCAGCGTTGCCAGAAGCGGACAATCTCACGCTCTGGGCGATACTCCGCGCGATGTGGCATGTCTTCTCGCGCCGGGAGTATATAGCGATCGAGCGACCCAGCGCGCCGATTCACACCTATCTAACGCAGACAGGGCTAGGATTTGGCAGTCCCGTAGACGAAGCGGTTGTCATTCTCGCGCGCGAGTCTTTCTGGCAGGGTGCGGGTGCACCTGAGACCTACGACTGGTTGCGCCGGGAGAATGACAGCAGCACTCCCAACGCTCCCAGCAGACACGTATTTCCGCAGATACAATCGTTTACGAAGAACGAGCTCGTCGCAACGGTGCATCCTCTCCGCCCGCCCAAGCCGACACCAGGGAGTGTGTTCTACACCCGCTACGTACCTGCTATAGGACAAACAATCTCGTTTGTGCATATGGACGGCTCAAACGCGACCCATTTCGAACATTACAAGAGATGGCAGAATAGCGACCGTGTTAACACGGGGTGGCGGGAGAGAGGGAGTGATGAGAAACACCACAAGTACATCGCAGATAGACTCGCCGATAAGCATATGATGGGCTTCCTTTTCGCCTGGGATGGTAACCTCGCCGGGTATGGCGAGCTGGCGTGGGTGATGGAGGACCCTATCAACGTCTACTGCGGAGGTATGCTTCCATTCGATCAGGGCATTCACCTTCTCGTCGGTGAAGAACATTTCAGAGGCAAGGAGAGATGTGAGTTGGTGAAAGTTTTCGTATGGACTCACACTCACACTCTCACTCTCACTCAGTTATCGCTACCGTCACTAGCATGATGCATTGCTGCTTCTTGCGTGAGCCGCGCACGCAGAACGTTGTCGTTGAGCCCAGAGCAGACCTCGGACTCGTGCCGCGCTTGGCTAGCTTGCTGCCGATTGAGATGAATAGAGTGGGTGAAATGCGTGCTATGAATCCCTGCTAATCATAATACCACGCAGGAGTTCGAATTCCCCCACAAACGCGCTGTCTTCTTTAGACAACACCGCCAACGTTTCTTCCAGGCTGCTTCGCTGGAGTGATGCAGTAATGGGTAATTAGGATAAGTATGGATAAAAACACATGCATCGTATAGTATAGTATAGTATAGTATAGTACTCTATGAAATGAGACAGTGAAACAGTGAAAGGATGACAGCATCGCAAACATGAAACACTCCACCCTACACACCCAAACTTCGTTTAGCGTTCTCGTAACAAAGGTAAGATATGGACACTGCAGGAACAACTTTGGCGAGTGTGGGGATGAGGCCGCGATAGAAACCTCTAAGCCCCTCATTGGAGTAAGTCTTGTTGAGCACATCGACAAAACCAGTGTAAGATTGAGGATGGGCGGGTGTACCACTAGCCTGAAGGCGAGTGCGTAGGAGATTGAGTGGATAAACGGATGTAGCGCCGATAGAGCCTGATACACTCCCGCACGCCAATAGTTCAATGTTGGAGGGATCCTCTCCCTCGTGGTATCGCATAGAGGCTATTTTGAGAGCTTCGAAGGTGGACATATCGATTGCTGGTGAGTTGTTAGCGGTGATCGTAACATTAATATTGCTACACACCACTATACGGAAATACACCACAGAGTCCGGCTGGCAAACCTCTGTAGAAGGCACGTCGTCCTGCTTTTTGGTATATGTCACGCGCTGTTTGCAGGACTGTTGTTTTGGAAGTGTGCGACGCTGTGCTCATCATGCGCGTCTTGACCGTCTCCACGGGGTAGATGACGAATTGAGATGTAATACCGCCTAATCCACCAGCTATGAAGCGCGATGTACCACTTATGTCGGTCTGGTCAGCCACTTTATCCCAATGTTTGGCAAAAATCCTCTTGGCAGTCTCATATGAGAGGAATTTGATGGCAGATTCGGGGAATATTTTGACTATGTTGAGACCATTTCCCACCCAGAAAGCCGTCAAACCCCCACCTTGGATGTAAATTTTGTGCATTGCACTGGATAAGGCGGAGAGACCGCTCATGTTGGTCTTTTTAGTGGTAGTTATCAAATACACTTTGAGTCTGTCGAACGGGGCGGTAGATGTGCGACTGACAGCGCCAGCTATACCACCTGCGAGAAGAAACCTGAGAGCCTGACTACCTCGGAGGAGACCGGTGGTGCAATTGTCGATATCATTGTCACTGTCGTTGTCGTCTGGTTGTTGATCGTATTCTATGTGTTTGATGTGTTTATCTTGGCGGTGATCGACGTTTGGGGAGATTGACCTTGCGGTTAGCTTAGTTTTCGGTTTAGATCGACTTGTAGATTCGTCGGCGGTGAGAATGACGTCAGCGTCGGAGGTGAGTTGGGAAGCGCCTCTGGATTGATTTTTGACGGTGTAGTATCTATAGATTTCAGTAATGTGGGGGTGCCTCGGGAGGAGAAGTAGGTAATCTCTAAAGTCAGCGAATTCGATGACGCCAGAGTTGTTTTGATCGAGGGTGTTAAAGAACTTGGTAAAATTTTCATCATCAAGGTGAATATCAGCTTTTTTGAGAGCTTGTCTAAGATCTAGTTTGTCTAGTTTCATATCGTTATTTGAGTCAAGTTGCTTGTAAATGTTCCACAATTCGAATTCCTTGTTGAAGGTGTATTCACAGAAATCCTGCCATGATTTGTTGGAGTTGAGGAGTTCATAGTCGTAGTTAGAATGGATTTTAATAGATTTGTTTGTAGGGAGGCTATTCCAAACCTTTTTAAGCCTATCCCTGCGAGCAGTAGCGCCTTCTATTCGCCTATAGTCAGCGAGGGAAGGGGGAGTTGAGCTGTTAGACCTTCTAAGCTCAGGATCCTTCCAGTTGAAAGTACCACAGTTTCTGTCACCCCAGCCACCCCTCCAAGTACCATCAAGTGTACCATAAAATCTATCTGCAGCGTTTATAGTGTGAACTGGGGAGTAGGAGGGGAATGGCGGTGGTGGGATTTGATAATAGAAATCCGACATTTGATTAGTAAATTATAATGAAATCTATTTATTTATAGTGAATTGTTGGTTGATGGATGGGTTGAAAGAGACCGCCCATCATGTCAACCGGGTTAGTATTGGACTAGTAATAAATCCTAATAATCCTTATAAAACTTATAGTCAAACTGAGCAGAGTAATAAGGGTACAGATGTTAGATCTTTGATTGATGCTGTTGGAAATGCAGGCGTGGATATTGAAGTCAGTGGGCTTGTAAAATTCAAGTGTTTAGACTAACAACTGGGACAGGCTGAGCACGAAGCTATCCTCCAATCAAATGATATTCTACAATCCAGATATGGCTTACCCACCAGGCACAACAGATCACGTACTCAAGACTTTCTCAACAACTCCATCCTCAGGGATAAAATTAGAGCAGCTGCCGCTCCACACCAGTTGCAACGCGTCGACGAGGATTGCTTGCAGTTTCTAGCCCTAGCAACCCAAGCACGCTTGAGGCACTTAATTGAACTTATGATCCAAGCCAATCACCATCGCAGTGCATCATCACATGTAAACGCACCTACAATTATACACGGTGATCCTCTATACTCCCAGTCTATTCGCACTGACACGGATAAACAACTTCAAGCCCTCGAGAAGATTGAAAGGGAGGATGAGACAAAGGCTAGACGTGAGCGTGTCGAGCGTATCACGGTAGAAAGAGAAGAAAAACAATTCCTTCAATCTCAACAACAACAACAACAACTCGTCGAAGAAGACGACCAGAAGAAAAAAAAGAGGAAAAAAGATATGTCTACAGCCAAGAACATGTCCGATGACGTACAGAAGAAGTTATCTGACCAGACTGCTTTAAGGAGTGCTGGTTTGGCTCCCAAGTACAGCTGGCTCACTGGTGGTGCTGTTCCTTCCCCCCGGTCCTCATCGAACCTCCCAAAACCAAAATTTCAGCCACAACAAAGTAATTTAAATATAAAGACATCACAGCAGAAAACTCTTGGTCCACCGCCACACGATGCACACCTCGAAAGTGGCACAATCAACTTGAATGACGCTCTATTCGCGTTGGAGAGGGAGCGAGGTATGGGCGCTGGACGTGGGTCAGGCCAGATGACGGCGTGGAAGAGGTACATAACCTCTGCGCCTGAGGAGTATTAACGGTTTAATTGATATTGTAATTTTATTTATTCTAATAATTCAAGTGTTGTTGCTGCTGGCTTGCTGCTAGGATCCCATGAGCACCTACGCACGCCCCACGTACACGGGCAGTCCGAGCTGGCAGGCGAATGATTTCTTCAACGCCCATAGCCGCAGCCTTGGTTTGAGTCGGGAGCGCTATCCGCACTCGCGCTTCTCTGAGTTGTTTGCTGTTATCAGAAATGTGAGTGGGGACAGCACGAGCGAGCCGAACGAGCCGAACGAGACGAACGAGACTCACGGATAACATTGCAGATACTCCGAATTGGTGGCTCACACATCGAAGAAGCCCAGCTGGCGCATTCCAAGTACTACTACATGGGATGCATAGAAGCACCGTACTCGTCGCGCGAGCTAGCCGCTGCAGCAGGCTACCAGGCATTCCTAGTATGGGAGAACCACCACCTCGTCCTGATGCCCTCTTTCGTCCCCGGCCTCAAGCAAGTCCTCGAATGGATCGCTGGGATCGCCATCGCTGAGAGCTGCAAACTCTGCGAGGAGCTCGCCTTCACTAACGAAAAGGAAATACGCGAGGCTTGCGAATGGGCTGCTAAAACTGCTCAAATCGCTTACGAGGAGACTCACTCGCGCATTGGTCGCATCAGACGTCATAGCGTTGGTAATCAGCGTCAACATCAGGAATTTTATAATAGCAGATATCTCCCAGGTCAGCCTGATACCGTGTACGGCGGATACCAAGGTTATCCCGCTGGTTACGGCAGTTACCCAGAAGAATTTGGTCCGGCGTACATGGGCGATTACTACGGTGGTTATGGCATGCCAATGCCCCAGCATTACGGTGGTATGAGTGGTATGGGTGGTGGTATGGCTGGTGGAATGCCTGGAATGGGCAGTATGGGCAACATGGGTATGGGTACAGGCACAGGAATGAATGGTATGATGCCCAATATGGGCATGAACGGTATGAGCAATATGAATGGCATGAACGGCATGAACGGCATGGGAATCCCTCAATCCTCGTCCATGTACATGCCCTACAATCACTACCCGTACTGACATAGTAGCACAATAAAACCCACACTAACACCCACACGGATCAAACTAAGTTATAGAAACGTTTGCACTCAACACAGTTGTATTTGTATGTATATCATCCATCTTGACATATCAAGACATATCCACCACACACCTCACACACTCACCACCGTGTAGATGCTCAAAAGCCTCATTCATCTCGCTCAGGCTGCGCGTGTGAGTGTGGAACGAATCCACGTCGAGTTTGTTATTGAGGTAGTCCACAACAATCCCCGGCAGCTCGCTCTTGCCTTTAACACCACCGAAGACGCTACCTTTCCACACTCTACCGGTGATGAGCTGGAGGGGATTAGTGGATATTTCGTCGGACATTGGCGCAAGACCGATGATGACGCTCTGGCCCCACCCCTTATGGCAGGCTTCGAGGGCGGATCTCATCACGCCGACGTTTCCAATACATACGATAGTGTGGTCGAGACCGCCTCCAGTGATATCAATCAGGTGCGATTCGATGGTCCTGTCGATGTGAAGGGGATTTACAAAGTCTGTTGCGCCGTGTTTCAAGGCGTGTTGCTCTTTGTTGCTGTTGGTATCTACTGCAATGATCCTGCGCGCTCCCGCCGCTTTCGCCCCTTGTACAGCGGCCAGACCTACGCAGCCGGCGCCGAAGACAGCGACCGTCTCGCCCTGCACCTTCTGCTTAGTAGCAGCGCCGTAGCCGGTAGTTATGCCGCAGCCGAGCAAGCAAGCTTTTTGTAGAGGAGCTTTCTTATCGACCACTGCAACAGAGTGCCTGCTAAGTACGCTGTACTGAGCGAAAGTGGAAGTGCCCATAAAGTGATTAACAGGGGTACCGCGGCAAGAGAAGCGGGTGCTTCCATCGCTCATAAGGCCCTTGTACTGTGTAGCAACGAGACGCTGACATAGATTAGTTTTGCCGGAGATACAGAATGTGCATGAGGTGCACTCGCTGATGTACAGCGGGATCACGTGGTCGCCGGGTGCTATGTCGTCGACACCTTCACCTACGCTCTCCACTACGGCACCACCTTCATGACCCAGTATGCACGGGAAATTGCTCAGTAAATCCTTTCCTGTCATGGCGAAAGCATCCGTGTGGCATACTCCTGTGTGCTCTACGCGCACTCGCACTTCGTCACGCAACGGCGGTGATACTTGTATTTCTTCGACCACGAGCGGAGTGTTGGCTTCCCATGCTACGGCTGCCTTGCATGTTATCACTTGCTGCAATCTGTTTAGTGTGCCTGTCTTCTCTGATCTACACTCCCCCTCACATTGGCTGTGTTAGACATTTTCAATTTTTTTTTCTTGAGTTGTCGCTTGTATCGAATAGACAATGGAACATCTCGCATGCTTAATTTTGCTTTCGTAAACGTCATTCGTGCCTGTGCGTCATGTTTTTCCCTTTAACGTCACTAACATCTCAAGGGGTTCGTGCACCAACAGAAAATGTATACGACGAGTATAAAACATAACAACAAGATAAACAGAATCAATAAACAAGATAAATAAAACAGAATCAATAAACAAGATAAATAGCTGAGAGGATTACGGATAGGGTCGCAAAGACGTAGGACACGCCGTGCGCAACAGCCCAGCTATCAGCATTAACTTGGTTGTTGCCGCTCTTAATGCTGACTTTGAGCAAAGCAACCAGACCATCCTGGGGAGGGTTACCATTCACGGATACCTGTTCATTGTGGTTGACCATTGAGCTGTTGTAGGTGGTTAGGTTGGATTTAAAGCTCAATTCAGTTTCGTATGTGAAAGAGACGTTGGTGGCTGCATCGCCATTCCTCGTCCAGTATCCCACCGTCTGCCCTTTCTGCGTGAGGTCTGCAGTTGCGTTGTTTATAGCCTTGGCTGTGGCATTACCTGCGATCCAATCCCTTCCGAGATTGTAACCATTAGGGATAATCATGTGATTTGCCTCTTTGTCCATTTCAGCAGAAGCAGCAATAAACAGTGCATTCGTGCTCGATTGGTTCCAGTAGCGAATATGATTACCGCCGTTTCTCGATTCATACAGCGTTCCGCCATTGCGGTCGTTGTAATTATAGCGCAGGATGCCTTGCTGGGCCACCAGTCCATCGCCGACATTCGCTAGCTGGTCGCCGCCCAAGTGGATTCCGGCGAATTCTTGCTGGAAGTGAAGCGAGTCCCAGTACGTGTAGAATCCACCAGGCGTCGAGTCATCCACTTGCATCACTAGTGGATCGCTGTCGCCGCTAATGACGATATTCAGTGGCTCGCCAACCTCGTCATCACTGTTGGCTCGTGTGAGCCACCGCCCGCCATTTTCTGCTGGGTCGTTAAAGGCCTTTGCTTGTGATGGCTGCGATAGCCCCAGTAGTGCTGCTATTCCTGCTAGTATCAAACCGCGCATGGCTGTAATAAGAAGAAAGAAGGGATAAATAGAAATACATATATTGGAGTACATGTTGTTATCTGCGTGTTGTGCTGCCTCTGCTGGTGCTAGTGGTGTTGCTCGCACCGCCAGTGCCGCGTGTGGAAGGTATTCTCGATCCAGGTGGCGGAATGCGCGATTGCGGGCGCGGTTGGGACGACGACGAGGAGGAATATGAAGAAGACGCAGACGCGCCTCTGGCCCCTCTAGCGCTCCCTCTAGTACTCCCTCTAGCACTCGCACTAAGTACGCGTCCCCTGCCACGAACACTACCACGAACATTACCATTGGCACCCATCGCAGCTCTCAATTGAGCATCCTTCTCGCTTTCCACTCGATTCCTCTCCGTTTCTGCCTCCTCCGCCTGCCTCCTCCTCGACTCTTGCGCCTCCGCCTCACGCTGAATACGCTGATTCTCGCGCTGTCTGTGCTCTTGGACGCGCATATCATCCGTAGCTCCCTTCCAATGCTCATTCAGCATCAAGTTACGCGTGTGCTCCTGTTGGCCAAGTATTCGCGTGTATTCATCGAGCAGCGTCGACGTCTGCTCTACGCGCTCAGCCAGTCTGTGGTTGTGTGTCTGGGCGATACACAACGCGTCTACTGATTTCTGCAGCGGTTCGCGGAACTTGCGTAAAGCTTTCAATTCAGCTTGAAGCGCTTGTACGCACTGAGCGGGGTGAGCGGGGTGTTGTGGTTCATCGTCGTGCTCTGGGTTATCCACATTCAAATCCACATCTTCCTCCTCCTCACGCCTCGCTAGATCATTGAGGCTGAGCGCATGCTGGGTATCGTCTGCAAATGTAAAGGATTGCTGTTGGATGTCTTCCATCGCCCGCGGTAGTTGGTGGTGGATAGAGGAGAGGCGATGTGGGTGGTGGTATTTCCTTGTAAGCGTGTTGGACTCTACTAGTGGCTTTTTGTATTTCCACCGCCTGATGCTCCAACTCGACGATGAAAGACATTTGAAAATCTGCTCGATATGAAAATACACAAGCAATTAGTAGAGACTGACTCCTACAAATGAACATATATCGACAAACCTGCACTTTTGAAAACATATTATTTTTTTCCCTCTCAAGATTCCCAAAAACTGTTTCCCGCCTACGACCATCTTTATCAGATTCCAAGGAACGCTGTAGGTTTCGTTGATAGCCCTGTAAGCAAGCTAAATATCTACAGCCACGCGCGAGGATAAATATGTCAGCACCAAACCCAAAAGCCTTCCCATTAGCAGATGCAGGACTCACCAACAAGATACTGGATTTAGTCCAGCAATCCTCCCACTACGCACAGCTTAAGAAAGGTGCAAACGAAGCTACAAAGACTCTCAACAGAGGAATTTGCGAGTTCATCATCATGACCGCAGACACTGAGCCAATTGAAATTCTTCTTCATTTGCCACTTCTCTGCGAGGACAAGAACGTTCCGTACGTCTTTGTACCTTCAAAGACTGCTCTGGGTAGAGCTTGTGGTGTCAGCAGACCAGTGATTGCTGCATCCGTCACCACCAACCAGGCCACTGATCTCAACACGTCCATCAACCAGATCAAACTGGAAATTGAAAGATTGTTGGTTTAATTTTTGTATTAGGAGTGTTATAACATGTTATTTGGTATTATATCGTGTTATAAGAACTTCCAGTACAATACAAAGCATATTACTATCGCTATTCCCACCAATGGACTGTACTTTCTTATCAGCGCATCCAGATTGACCTTCTTGGCTGCCCTTTTATACTTGAAACTCTCGTCTTTAAGGGATGTAGACAGATGAGACATTTTATCGAGACTATCACCTCTCCAAAGCAAATCTTCAATGTTTTTAGTCATGATTCGTGTCACGTCTTGAAGGTCGTCATTGAGTTGTGAGTATGGTGATTGCTGTTGTGTTGCTGTAGCAGCGCGAGGATCTATATAAACCCTTTGTGTCTTTGAGATAAAATTTTCAAAAGATTGAGCAGCGTATGGACGTTTAAACGTGGGCAATTGAGTGGTATATGACTGCTTGAACTCCTTATCCAGCTCATCCAAGTAGCTGAAAGCCAAGTTGCGCGGATAGGATTTGTCTGATATGCACAAGTAGCAAACCACATCAGATAACAGGTAATGTATCGTGTAGCTACCCGATTCAATTGAGCATTTAGATTCTGACTGCGGGGATATTCTGCGAAGAATGAGTTTTGACTGCTGCTTTTGTTCCTTCAGGCTGGTTTCTGTCTGTGTGCCATTTCAATGGGGCTATACATGTACACGTGTCTCTACCCACTTGATCATCATCGATCGACGCAGCCAAAGGAAGCTGGTCTATTGTGCGTATTAGATGATTCTACAGCACAAATCCCTTTCCTCGCCCACCTGAAATCCTCGTTATCGACGTTGAAAGTGCCATTGTACTGGTCAAGCCATGACGACGACGGCGTTCAATTTGGTCGAGCAACTTAATTTTTACAAAGCCTATCACAGCAATAGGTGGAATGTGTTTATCCACAGGTTATTTGTCCCACTTATCGTTTGGTCTGCACTTGGTTTATTGGATTACGTGGGCTGGGAATGCGCTGCGATAACAGCAATCCTTTATCAGTTGTATTACGTCATTCTATCTCCATCAATTGGATTGAGCTACCTACCTCAATTACTGATTATGCTCTATTCGGCGCACTCACTTAACGCGTACACTGGCAATGCAGTAGCCATCTTCACAATAACGCACGTTATTTCCTGGATAGCACAATTCTACGGTCACGCTAAGCACGAAGGTAGAGCTCCTGCTTTGCTCGATAACCTTATTGGCGCCTTGCTTCTCGCGCCGCTATTCGTGCACATTGAGAATCTCGTAAATTTGGGATATTGTAGGGATATAGGTGGATCATAATACACGGTGTACATTAGTTAATATATTCAATTACCTGACTCAACCACCTGGCTCAGTTCTGTGAAATTTTCAGATAAAGCGACGGCGAGCATATCGTGGTAAGTCTGGGTGTGTTTGTGAGTGGTTTATAACATGGTAAACAACCACCTGACCCACCTTGATCGTACTCAGCTTGCCATTCATGAACATATTCTCACCAGCCACCTGCTCGATGTACTCCTTGGTGTACAGGTTAGGATTCTTGCCCTGATCGACGTGGTCGATGGCTTCGAGCGGCACGCGCGTGGTTGTGTGCCGCCTGAGCGTGTCGATGTGGGCTAGATGGTGCATGCTCTGCTGCACTTTCTCGCTAACGACGGTGCTGGTGGGTGAGGGCGTGGAAGTGTCTGTGTTTGCGTCTGCGTCTGCGCCAGCGTGCGCGTGCGTGTGCGTGTCTGTGTCGTTCTCAGCGCCGTTCACCTGGCTAGCTGCGACGCCCAATTCCAGCAGCGACTGGCTCAATCCCGTCAGCCTCCTCTCTAAACCATCGAGGACTTTTTCTTCCTGCTGTCTTCCCTGGGAATTGTCTGCGTCTGTGTCTGTGTATTTCGTCATGGTCGCTGTGGTGAGCGAGAGGGCTGACTGGATTTGGTGTTATCAGGGCCCACGGGGCAAGTCGCAACAGAGGAGAACTTACAAGCGCGGTGCCACCGGTCTCTCCCCAGCACCTCGCAGCTTCTGGTACTCGCGCTAGTCTTCTCGAACCATGGCCGTCACTCTAGGAGAATACCAAGCGGGGGGACTGCGGATGCTCGATGGGGAGGAAGTCGATGAGCATGGCGTGGGGACGATACCGCTCGCTGCCGCCCTCCCCAGCGGACACGCTCCCGTGAAAGCGCGTAAGAAGGGCGTGATCGACAACAGCAAGGAGCATCGCAAGGAGTACTGTCCCAACGAGCCAGCCAGCGCGCGTCTGCGGGCGGCGGTTGCAGATTTCCAAGCTGCGTACCGCCTCACTGCGAACGAGCACGCCGTTCTACAGGCATTCACGACGTACATCAAACTCCCGATGAATGTACCGCGCGACCCTCGTTACGGACACACTCTCAAGCCCAACGGGGAACGCGAGTACGCCGACATCGACACCTTCCTCGCAGATCCACCGACGCTCGTCGCGACATTCGCCGAGGTCTTCTTGGATCAGTTCGCATTCGACGTGGATCGCATCGCCTGTCTCCCGGCTCTCCTCAGCTCTTTCTTGAGCTTCGTCAGCGCGTCCGGGGCTGTGGAGGAGTGTACAAGTGGGCTGAGCAGGGCGTTGGATGTAGTGCGCGGCCCTCTGCGCTCTTTTCTGGCTTCTGCCGCCCGGATACTGAGTGCTCCCCACCTCGGCGCTTTCAACCGCGCCGCCCTCTTCGCTTTCGATATCTGGATCGATGCTCCTCAGTACGGCGTGTTGCGCTATGTCGACGATATCGAGCGAGTGGAGGTCCTCGAAGAGGATCGGGTGCATTGCGATGCTTCCACTGCTAACACACCCAACAGCCTCCTCTCCCCTCTCGCTAGAGACCAGGTGTACTCGCAGCTCCTCGCCAAAAGCCTCGACGACATACCGTTACTGGTGCAGCACGCGGCAATGAAGATGCTAGGCGAGCCAGTGCAGTACACGCCCACCGTAGACACACTGCCCGACGCGGTGCTGTGCGAGTTGAGGAGGGTGTTTGCGGAGAATACCGCCACGCACCAGCTCATACTCAACAAAGACGGCGTACAAGTGCTCAACAGATACCTGAGCGGGGGTGGGAGTGACACCAACAACGGCACCAACAACGGCAATGTGAGACACTCATACCGCCACGTCTTCATCGAGAGAAGCGTGCGGCAGATCAGCAGGCTCGACCGCTACAGCGAGGATTTGTGGCTCGTCGCTCTCGATTCTGTGGCGGGGAACGAGGAGACACGGCGAAGCAAAGCCGTTGGCTGTTCTCGCGGTGAGTCTGTCGGTAACTCCACACATACCACGCACTCCGCCATCGTCACTCTGTGGGATACCTCTTTCGTGCAATACGTAGGTGGCGTTGACGCACTTATCGGAATCAAGCTCGACGCTTTCTTTCACAAGGTGCAGCAGGTGCAACAACAGCGCGAGCATGTGCCCGGACTTCCTGAGTCGTGGTGGGTGGTGAATCTCGTCCATGTATTGAGGCAGCGACAGCTGTAGACTGCGTATAGTAAATGACATGCATGCATATCCATCCCTACGCAGGCGGTAAGAAAGCAGCCCAGAGGACACAAGCGACGCAGCCCCATAGCCGGGACCACGCGACGAACGAGCGAGCGAGTCTGCTATCTGTGTGCGCCGCCACCCACCACCACAGAGGGGGAAGGGCAGTCGCGAAACGCAGGGCGATCTGTACATTTGAAAAGCAGAGGAGGAGTATGAGAGTGAGTGTGTGCAGGACATAGTGGGGGAGAGCGCGCAGAGTCATGTGGGGATTGCAGATGGCTACGATCCCCACGACATACACCGGCAACGATATGAGGAAATTGGGTATTTGCGATACATTCCAGTAGCGCAATAGCCCGTTATCCCAGTACGTTCCTTGCACATAGCTGTATGCGAGGGGGAGTGTGCGCGTGCAAAAAGGTGCTTGCGGACATAGCCGCGCGTATGCCTCCGTCTGCGTATATCCGAGTGGGGCGAATGATGCAATGGTGCCGAGAGACGCAAATGCTATGCGCTGAGAGGGGAGTGTCAGTGAAAGCGTTGGGCGAGAGAGAGTCTGTGCTCGCTGCCCACATTAATTATTCTCGGGGGGAAACACAGACGCCGCGTTTCTAGGACGGGGCGGATGAGTATTTCGTAGAGGAAGAAGCCGGCGAGGAGACAGCCGTTTGCGCGGGTGGAAGCGGCAGCGAAAGCGACGAGCGATGCCGTCAGCCAGGAGCCCTCGGCCACCATTCGCGCCGTCATGAGTGCGAGCGGCGTGTACACGGCCTCGGTGTACGGCACGAGCAGGGAAGGCGGCGAGGGAGGACACGCGGCCATTAGCAACGCTGGTGCAGCTGCCTGTGCGGGAGTGTAGTGCGGATACACGACGCGCGTCAGTCTGTACAGCTCGAGTGGTGCCAGTAGGCTGATGAGGTTCGCGAGGAAGGCACTCGCTATGAGCGTGTCGGAGAGCGTGAGCGTGTGGGCGTCGCGTATCGTGGCCATAACTAACCCGCATCCCCGCATCAGCAGTGGAATTCCAGGCATAAATGCTATTTCGTGCTCGCTGCGCCACCCCCCGTAAGAATTCATAGCGCGGCTGAGGAAGTGGAATACATCCCAGCGCAGAATCGATCGCGTCAACGCGTTCGTCTGGCTGCCCAGCAGAATCTCAGCGCTGGTATCGAATGAGGAGAGAATGGCGGATGCAACGAGGACGATGGACGCGTGGACTGCCTTGCACTTGATCGTCGTCTTTATTATTTCCTTTTCCCACTTTTTCATTTGGTGGTGCCCTCGAGAAGACACACTGCCATGGCCACATACATCCCTGCAGACGTTCAGACACCCATCGACAAGCACTGGATGCGGCTGGCCTTGCAGATGGCCCAGGAGGCTTACGACGCTTCCGAGATCCCCGTCGGCTGTGTCTTCGTCGAGCAGACGGAGCCAGCGACGGCGTTGCACACACAGACGCAAGGCTATGGCCGCATGATAGCCAAGTCGCGCAATCGCACAAACGAGCTGCGTAACGCAACGCTGCACGCTGAGCTAGAAGCGATAGGACAAATCCTGCGCACCTCCGACGATCACAGCCTTCTCCACAGGACGACGCTCTACGTTACCATCGAGCCGTGTATTATGTGCGCTTCTGCTCTCAGGCAGGTCGGTATCAATCACGTCGTCTACGGCGCTGGAAACGAGCGTTTCGGTGGCTGTGGCTCTGTCGTGCCGATCAACGACGAACCCTTGCTTAAATACCAAAAAGCATATACTGCACTCGGTGGCGTGTTCAGAGACGAGGCTATCATGCTCCTTAGACGGTTCTACATGACTGAAAATTCTAACGCTCCTCAACCTCGCAAGAAACAGACTAGAATACTTAAAACTGAAATTCCACCCGTTCCACCGACTAGCAGGATGCATACGCCTAATGGCAGCGTCGTGCCCAGTCCGTCTAACACACCCACTCCGTCACCTGTACCTGTTTCCTTCACACCTACATTGGAGAATGTATGATTTGTCGTGTGTGTTGTGTTCCTCTCTTCCCGTTTAATGCATTTTATTCATCTTGTTGTTACACTAGCTCATCGCTGCTATAGTTGTACGCCGTTAGATTGTTGCAGCGTTTCAAAGAATATTGGTATGACTAGCTGCTCAACATTCAATCCCTCTTCATCTTCTATCTCTGTTATCATGTGCTCAGTGTAGTAAACACGTTGCAACAATACTACACCCTCCTCCACGCTGTGCACCTTGGCAATCATCATTTCCAACTCAGGTACATTTTTGCTATTGAGTTGGAGTTCCTGGGGAGATGTGAGGTGTGAGTAATGTGAGTGGTAATATAGCTCACTTTATACGCCACGAACGATCCAACTGGAGGTATTTCTGTTAGTGTCTCACCGTGATGCATTTTTTCACTAGCTACTGATTTGAAATGTTCAACAGCGAGCAGATGGGATGGTGATAGAGATAAGATAGCACTTGTTGCTGGTTGATTGGATCTGCAGTTGAGTATCTCTTGGAGGTCATCAATTCTATAACCACTTGTAGTTGCAGTAGTTGAGTCCATGTATGACTGTTCGGCATCAGCATGGTAGTCCTGGTACTCATCTTGTTGATCATGATGGCCATAATCCATCTCTTGCTCCTCCTGCTCCTCCTGCTCGCCTCGATCCCCACGCCAATCGACGTGCATTGTGTTATTTCCAGGCTCGAAATTCTTGTCTTCAACGTCAATTGAAGTGAGTTTGATGTTCTTGGGTATCCTGTTTGTTGGTAGGGAGGTGTATGGAATGGCTCTGTTATTTTCTAGCTTGAAAAATTTCAGCTTTTTCTTATTTCTCGCGTTTCTTTTGTGAGTATGGGTAGAGCCAGAGTGAGGTGGGGTAGGATGGGTGAATTCAGGGTGACTTGTATGTTTTTTGGCTTCTTTAGGGGTTTCCTCACTGGTGCTGCTAGACTCAGACTCAGACTGAGAAGACAACTGTGAATCACCATCAGAGACCTTTCTACGTCTCTTATTAGATAATGCAACAACATCGACAATATCATCATCCTTCAAACTTCCCTGAGTAACTTTAAAGCCATCGAGATAGAGGGAAATGGACCAATCAATATCAAAGAACTCGCACAGAAATTCCTTTACATAGTTGAGATTGTCTGAAGTGAAATTTATCAAATATTTCTCATTTTTGTATTTAACTTTAAGACGGAGCATTTGATATATTTGATAAGTGTGGTGGGTGTCGTACAAAGCTATAGCTGGTTGAGACCTAGACAGACTTGATATAATTTGAAGGAACCAAACCAATTCTGCCATTCAAGTTGCAGTTCCACCAATCCCCACTGGGTTTATCAATCACTGACATTCTATCACCACATCTGAAGGTTAAATCTTCACCTGTGGTCTGCTAATAGTGAGTTGAAATGCCCATCAAATCAAACCATCTCACCCCATTATAATCATATAGCCCTACAACCTGTTCTTGCTTTGGCTGGTGCGATACTCCAGGTTTTGGCTTTGGCTTTTGTCCGCTAAACAACCCAGGTCTGCTCTCAAAATACTCATCCAACAGCTCAAAGAATGCCTCCTTATCCTCTTGTGAAAAATTAGCAAAAACCATTGCAATTTGAACGTTGAGTGCAACGTCCATCATCTAATAAACTCAGAGATGGCAAAGGGGTGTGTGGGGACTAAGAGATGGCTATCCACGAACACTCACACTGCACAGTTACGGTTTAGACGATGACAGCGATGAAGATATCGTGCAATTTGACCAAGTTTATCAAGATCATATCGACGGTGATGCCGATGCCCCACCAACTCTATCTCTATCTCTAGATGGCCATGGTGATGACCACGGCAACGTCCACAGTGATGACGAGGTTATGCTCGACGACGACGACGACGACTACAATCATCTTCACAACGACTCGTCTTTCGCGTTTGAAAACACGTTCGACGGTCGTGATAGACCTCATTCAGATAAATTCCCTGCCACTCTCGGTTTACAGCCTCAGAGAGTACATGTTATGCAGACTTCTTTCTTCCACAACGACGACGACAACGATGTGGGCGACGTCGATACTAAGCGCGGTATTGCCCCGCCCAAGCAACACCTCCCAAAGCTGGTACACAACACGCAACACGCAAATCATACAGAGCATGACACACAAAACTCAGATATACAACCTACACCATCTCAATCACCCTTCAGACCTCCAATTCTGCGTAAATTCAAACACACTGACACCATTTTCCCCAATAATGCCATTTTTCATGATGAAAACTTAGCCCTAGGGAGGTCATTTAGAGTTGGATTTGATAATTTTGATCAGTTCACTCATATATCCTCTGTATCACCCACTGCAGTCTCATTCAGCAGCTTCTCGAGCCCCACAAGTAGCATTCAGAGTATAGAAAAGTCACTCGCACTGCAATTGAAACACACCACCATCACTTTCGATGAGGGTGCTGAGATACCAGCTGCAACAACCAGCCACACGCTCAGATTCGCTAGCTTTGTCGATACGTTCAACCTCGATGACTTATCCCACGAACCGTCGTATTGGCGACTAGGAAGGGCGTTATTCGACGAGATAGATGTGCGTCTCCCCGACGACGCTCCCGATACCCTCCGAAACAGAGTGATGGCGGTCCGTCGAAAGGAGGCACTCTCGCAATGGCTACAGAGCACCTTATCCCAAGTGGTGGAATCGGAAATGAAACATACTGATGCTGAACCAATTGCACGTATATTCACTCTTCTCAGTGGACACCAAATCGCTCGCGCCGCCCATCTCGCAGCAAGCAACGGTGACTACAAACTAGCTACCCTAATAACGCAGACACCTGGCGATGCGCAATACAGACACGACCTCACAACGCAGCTACAAAGATGGAAAGAATGCAAAGCTGATGCGCAAATAGACGGGGGTTACCGCAAGGTGTACGGGTTATTAGCGGGTGTAGTGAATAATCTCGACGGCAATAGTAGCTTCGACGCAGCTGACAAAGCGGAAGAAATTAATGTATCTGAGGACTTAGATTGGCTGAGATGTTTCGGGCTGAGGCTGTGGTACGCGACGCTTGACGAGGAGGGAGTGAACGAGGCTGTGAGTGCGTACGACACAGCACATAGCGATGAGGATGGTCGATTCGTACCTACTGCTGCTCCGCCTATCGCGCCTCACTTCCATGTCCACTCCCACTCTACCAGCAAACAAGAACCCATCGACGCTCTCTATTCTCTCCTAAAACTATTCATCGACCCCGCGTACACACTCGAAAAAGCCCTCGAGCCTATAGGATTCACCAGCTCGAAAATGGACTGGCGCGTTAGCTGGCATGTCTACACTATCCTCTCGCGCGTCCTGCGCGTGCGAGATTTCGGCCGTTTTGCCGTGGGGCTGGAGGAAGAGGAAGGAGTAACGAGCGAGGAGCATTCAGAGGAAGAAAAGGTAGTCCAAGGACATTCGCAGAAGGCCGATGGACTCACAGTGAGCTACGCCGCGCAAGTTGAGCAGATGGGGCTAGCCGCGTGGAGTGTGTTCATACTACTACACATCGAGCTCGACGAGATGCGAGAGTGGTCCGTGAAGGAGAGTCTAACGCGCAATGTAGCAGGATACACAGCGGCTGACGAGGCATTCCTCACTGAAACCCTCCTTGTACCCGCCACCTGGCTGTTTAGGGCGAAAGCGACGCATGCGCAGTACAAAGGCGACAGATACGCGCAGTACAAGCTGCTGCTAGCGGCGGAGATGCACAGCGAGGCACACGCGGTGGCGGTGGACGTGCTCGCTCCAGAGGCTATTATACGCGACGACCTCGCTCTTCTCAGACGCCTGCTCGAGCCACTGGTCACCGAATCCGTCGATGGCTGGGCTAGCAGGGGCAAGTTACTGTGGGAGTATGTGGACGTCGTTGAGAAGGTCCCGCAGATGGTCCTCGGCGGGGCTAGAGAGACGGCTGATGCGGCTGAACGGACACACCTTCGCGACATGTATCGCAGACTGCCGATACTGATCAAGTCGTTAGGTGGCGTGTGGAAGGGAGACAGCGTGCAGTATCAGATAACGCTTTGTGAAATGACAGAGAGGCTGCTCAATATGGAGAGAGTACTGCGCGGATACATGAGCACACCGCGCGAATCGCAGAGTGACGTCATGGACCCATTCTACTCGTCCACCTCCACACACCTCCTCCTCACTGAAGGCGCCAGGCTCGGTTTGCTGGAGAATGAGTCGTATAGCGTATTGAAGACGTCATTAATGTAATCTGTGATGTAATCGACTATTTATTCATTCCTCCTTCTCGACGACGATGAAATGGGCGTTAAAGATCTAACGGCGGTGATAAAGAGGTTTTGGTGGGTGGATGTGGCCGTAGAGCTGGAGATACACAGCTAACACCTCGTACAGCCCGGACGTTATAACGAATCTCAGCGGGCGGTGGTGGGCGATCCGCGGTGCTACTGTTGCCATGTGGGGGTGGTTAGACGCGTACACACCGAGTGAGCACTGACAGCCCACAGCGACACGACGTTGCTCACACAGCGCTACTACTACGGACGGGTGCCGCATCTAGAAGCCCTTGCGCGGCTGGTGCACGACGCAAACGCCGCCAACGTCCGCCTGATAGGCGTGTTCGACGGTGACGGCCGTCTCGATCAGAAGGGGCGGGAGAGGGAGCGACGTGAGCGCACACGCGCCGTCCACCGCTCCCGTCTGGCTGGCGAGGAGGCGAGGCTCCACCGGCTCGTGGGTTTCGAAGCGGCTTTCAAAGCGGCAGTGGAAAGCAAGGACTATACGCGCGTCTGCGGTTATGTGGATAGCGTGGTTATACCCCGCTCGCCCGCCCAGGCACAGCAGCTGCGCGACTTGGAGGAGCGGCGGGTGTATGGGAGTGTGCAGAGCCACAGAGAGGCAGAGGCATACACACAAACACACCTCAACCACCTCAAGAACTCTACTAACTCGGCTATCACCCGCTACAGCAAGCGTCCACCGAATAGCGCCGTGTATAGCCGCGTTAAAGACCTCCTCGGGGCTGCTGGTGTTCCTGTAATCACCGTCGACCAATCGCCAAAGCAACTGCACGAGGGGGAAGCACTGGCTAGTGCACTTGTCTTGCGTGGTTTGGCAGATTACGTGCTTAGTGAGGACACTGATGTGCTCATTTACGGTGCAAAGTTGATTCGCGATGGCGGTGAAGGCGGTATTGCTAGAGTGTTTGATGGTACTCAACTACACCACGCACTTCACCTCACCCACACGCAACTTATAGACTTTGCACTCCTCGCTGGCACAGATTTCGCCCTAACCGTTCCTTCTGTTGGACCAATTCGGGCATTAGACTACATTAGGAAGTTTGGCAGTGTCGAAGAGGTACTTATCCAGAATACACCACTCAAGCAGCTCATCGTGGATAAACACGCACTCAGCATTGATGCCTTCTTGGGTGAATTGAGACAGGCTAGGAAGGTGTACGAGACTTTACCATCGACGCCCCACTCGATACAGTTTGGTGTGTATAACCAAGATGCTGTTAACAGTATTCTCCACCAAGACAAGATTGAAAGAGGAACCAAGTCTTGGGGAGAAGACGACCATCACTACAAACACCTTAAAGAATGGGGAATGTAATTTATATGTACTTATGTATACTGCTTTTGATTTTATCTACCAGTGTATAGAGAGGAAGGTGAGAGGGAGAGTGCTTACGACTTGTAGAGAACTCTCTTTGCAACGCGGTGAACAACCTCACCATTAGGGAAAGCGAGAGTTTCCAAGTTTTGTGCGTAAGGAGTTGGGATATCAGCGCCGGTGACTCTGATTGGTGGAGCGTCAAGGTAGTCGAATGCGGAAGATTCCATAACTTGAGCGCAGATTTCAGAACCGACACCGAACTTTGGGAAACCACCCTCGACGGTGACCAGTCTGTTAGTCTTCTTGACGGAGCTAATCACAGTGTCGATATCGAGAGGTCTGATAGAGCGAAGGTTGACAACTTCAGCCTCAACACCCTCTTGCTCCTTAAGGGTTTGTGCGGCGTCGAGGGCGTGGTGGACACCCAAGCTGTGGGCGACAAAAGTAATATCCTTGCCTTCTCTTTCAACCTTTGCCTTGCCGATTGGGAGGTAGAAGTCATCCTTCATAGCCTCCTCGGACATAGGGAAACTGAGACCATAAAGAACTTCATTCTCGAGGAAACAAATTGGGTTAGGATCTCTAATAGCCGACTTGAGAAGACCTTTACAGTCTTCTGAAGAGTAAGGAGAGAGAACCTTGAGACCGGGGACAGAGCCATACCAAGCGGCGTAGTCTTGCGAGTGCTGGGCAGCGACACCCAAAGCAGCGCCGTTTGGACCTCTGAAAGTGACAGGGCAAGGTACATTACCACCGCTCATGTAGTAAGTTTTACCTGCGCTGTTTATGATTTGGTCCATTGCTTGCATGGCAAAGTTCCAAGTCATGAACTCGCAAACAGGTCTCAAACCAGCCAAACCAGCGCCGACAGCCAAACCAGCAAAGCCAGCCTCGGTGATTGGGGTGTCTATGACCCTCTTTTCACCGAATTTGTCGAGAAGACCTTTGGTGACTTTGTAAGCGCCGTTGTACTGAGCCACTTCCTCGCCCATAACATAGACGGTCTCGTCTTTAAGCATTTCTTCTTCCATTGCCGCGTTAAGGGCTTCTCTGACTTGCATCTGGGGTTTGTTAGGGATTTCTAAGTCGTGCGTTCAAACACCCCACCATAACAGGTCCATTATCAGATGCGTATCTGCGTGGCGTAACTGAGATTGAACTTCTAAGATTATTAACCCTTCCAGCTCCTCTAACTGCACTTCTGAATATTCCCAAGGACATGGTGGTGAAAGTATGAGAATTATAACAAATAAAAATATTTATTTTCTTTGGTTTTTTTGGATTTGTGTTTATAGCCACTCAAGGTATACGCCCCGTGGCTCACAATCCACCGATATTTCACCGACAATACCGACAACACCGAGTTGTAGTGAGGTGCTTCAATTATTCAACCCTATCATCTTATTACATCTCTTATATGTCCGTCTATCGGAGTTTTCTTTGCCTTTTAAATATAATTCAATCGAGCCAATTTTCAGCTTGAACTGATACAATTATGTCTACAAATAATGTGAATATAAAACAATTCGTAGCTTACACAATCTAACAACGCTTGCAGATTATTACTTGCACTGCCGCCGTCGCTTGGGAACCCTCCAAGGACTTACAGCTAGAAACAATCCAAGTACTCCCACCTGGCCCAGATGAAGTAAGAATGAAAGTTGATTTCACTGGTGTTTGCCACACAGACGCGTACACTCTCGCTGGCCATGACAGTGAAGGCAAATTCCCGTCGATCCTCGGCCATGAGGGTGCCGGTGTCGTCGAGAGTGTTGGTGACGGCGTCACCGATGTAAAGCCCGGTGACCACGTTATTCCTCTCTACACTGCAGAGTGTAAGGAGTGTAAGTTCTGCAAGTCCGGTAGAACCAACCTCTGCCAAAGAGTGAGAGCCACTCAAGGCCAAGGTGTTATGCCCGATGGCACCGTTCGCTTTAAATGCCGTGGTCAAGACGTTTACCATTTCATGGGTTGCTCTACTTTCAGTCAATACACCGTCGTTAGCAAGCACTCTGTCGTTGCTGTCGATAAGAGCGCTCCCGCTGAAAAATCTTGTTTGCTCGGTTGCGGTATCACCACTGGCTATGGGGCTGCTACGAAGCAATCACACATTAAAGGCGCTAACGTGGCCATCTTCGGTGTCGGTTGCGTTGGTCTTGCTGCCGTACAAGGCGCTAAAGCTGCTGGCGCTGCGCGTATTATCGCTGTCGATACCAACAATAAGAAGAAGGAGTTCGCTGATAAACACGGTGCAACTGACTTTATTAACCCATTAGAAATACACGATAAAACCATTCAACAACATTTGGTTGAAATCACTGACGGTGGACTGGACTACACCTTCGATTGCACTGGTAACGTCGGCGTAATGAGATCTGCCCTTGAAGCGTGTCACAAGGGATGGGGTGAGAGTATCATTATCGGTGTCGCAGCCGCTGGAAAGGAAATTTCTACTAGGCCTTTCCAACTCGTTACAGGGAGAGTGTGGAAGGGCTCTGCTTTCGGTGGTGTTAAAGGTAGATCTGAACTCCCTGGTATCGTATTAGACTACCTCAATAAGAAGCTGGACGTAGACTCTTTCCACACTCATTCAAGATCTTTGGCTGAAATCAATGAGGCGTTCCATGATATGCACGGAGGTGATTGTATTAGGTGTGTTGTTGATATGAAATAGATGTCTTGTACGTTGATTTATGACTTTGTTATGATGCAACTGTCAATTAGCTTAAATCCACCTCTTAACTGTAATGAGTACTACAACAGTCACCCTTTTGTGCAAAATTTCACCAATTAGACACGTCACAGCCATCACAGCAAATCATCAAGTTCAATTCGATAACGTGGGTTATTCATATAAATCATATTTCAAGATAATTGTTTCTTCGCATCACCCTCCGCAAGTTTTCAAGCTAAGCTGCCTCGACTAAGACACCGCCGTTTTGAGCGACTTGTGCCTGCTTCTTAATCATCTCAGCCTGCTTAGCGTTACCGTCGACCTTTTCCTCATCGTCGAGCTCCCAAGACAAATACTCGTTCGTGTAGTTAGGTTGGAGTTCCTCGGGGAAGATACCGAGACGTTGAGAGTATCCAGTAACCTTTCTCCAGTCACGGTCGACGTTAGCCAGGTCCGAGCGCATATAATTGAATGATCTGGCGAATTGGAGAGATGCAAGGGTACTTCTCATAGCGGGCTGGGGTGGGTGTGAGGAATAGCCTTGCAATATACCTTTAATAAAAACCCACCTTCAACTCTTGGAAGAGTTCCCAAGTGCCCTTTGGATCGCGAATGAGATCGTCGGCAGCTCTCTTGACAGCTTTCATAAAGCCACGAGCTTCGTTGGGGTGTGCTTCAAGCCATGCTGGTGGGTGGGGTGAGCATCGCGCAAGCAGAACCCGCGCTCAATCAACTAACCTTCATTACCAATGTAGAGGATTGAACAGAAGCAGCAGCATCCCAGTTCGGCAAGTTGGTCAATACTGTTTGTCATCGTGTTATCAACTTGGTCAGCCCGAACAAGTGTACCACGCATACCGCAGCATCTGCACATCCGTCGCAGGACGATTGACAGATTTACACCACTCCTCGAGCTACAAAGCGTTTCTGTTAGTATATGAAAAAAAGCAGTTAGTATAACGTTATCGATGGAATATAACGGGGTTATAAGGACTTGTTGCCATGAAGGCATCCCTTCGCATGCATGACCATGGACAGGTTCGGACCGTATTATCTCAGCAGCTGGCTGACGGATGGGTGTGCAAGTTACACTCAGCCATCTATCTCCAGCTGCACCGGCAGCTCCATTGCAACAAGCTCCCGTTAGGAGATGTGCGTACCTTTTTGTGTACCGTGTACTGTGTACCGTGTACCATCGATATCAAGACACCATTACAGAGCCCCAGTCATATTCCAGTCGATGTTCGCAGATAAAAAGACAATAAAGAGTGGAACCCTTATCTCACCTCTACTTGTTGCATGTTCTCGAGACCGATACCAGCATGAATCTTGCCATCGATGAGTGCCTGGAGTTGCTTAAGTGGAAATGTCTCACTGCGGATACTCTACCCACCTTGGAGATATTCATTCCACATCTAACAGCCTCGTACTCATCATCGCGCATGCCATGTGCTTGGGCAAGCTCAGCTACTTGAACCTTACCAAATTCGCCGACGTAGCCAATCTTCTTGCCCTTAAGCGAGGTAAAGTCATTTGTGACGCCATTGCCTTTGAGGTAGAGCAGACCTGTGAAGGGCTCGTCCATGAGTGTACCAATGGATTTGATCGGGTAGCCGCGGGCTTTACCAGCAAGCGTGTGGATCATAGCCTTCAATCCGAGGTCTGCCTTGCCCGAGCCAACTATCTCGGTGACGTCGGAAACATCCTCGGGGTGGATCGTCGCCACGCGAAGGTTTTCGTCTTTGAAGTAGCCCTTGTACTTTGCCACGATTAGCGGGACGTGGTACGCGGTGAGCTCCCAGTTTGTGCAGCAAACGATATCAATTGACATTCTTGTGAGTTGTATGAATGATAGTGTTAGACAAGCTGTTGGCCGATTTCTTAAATTTAATTCAATGACTCAATGACTCGATCACTCTACGTCATATCTGGCATGACGTGATGCTAGGGCGACACCAGGGTAGCGTGGATATTCCGGAATCTATCCATTTACAGTCTAGCCTTATTACCCCATCCACAGCCCAATTCTTCTTACAGCTGCAACAGGATGAAAAATCATAATCAATGTTTTAATAGTACAAGAGATCCGTAAGAGGGAATAATACATATCGTTCACTTCTTTATGTGTTCCTGAGAAGCTCCATGATCGAGCTCACCGAGTTCATGCGGCCGTGCGTGCTCGTCGACGTCCTCGACGTCCCTCACCATAGTTTCATCTGCGAGAGTAGTGTGGTTTTTGATACGCCACCAGACCATTGGGAGGGCGAGGAGGAGACCACCTGCCATGAGTGCCCACGATGAGGCGAGAGCGCCTAGCGATCCCATTTGGCTATCGCAAGCCCAGATGATAGCTGCACCAGCCGACTGCAAGCCCTTATAGAAACCAGCGTAAAATGCCAGTTTAGATGGATCATTGCTCATTGATCCCATCATCCAATATGCGTATGTCTGCCACGCAGCGTCGAGTGCGCCTGCGAATATGTAGAGAACGATGCGGTGCGGGTAGCGCGATGACGTCAGATCAATAGTATCGATCTGGTCAGTGGGCGTATCGAAGAACTGACGTTGTATTGTGTAGAAACCTGCATTCGTCGCCCAGACCATGGCGAAAAGGACACACCATCCAATTGTAGCCCTCCACTTGCGGTTCACCCTGCTGATGTCGAGCAGCTGGCCGAAGATAACCGCGCCGACTATCTGCGCCAGCCAGTAGCAGAGGCCGTTGAGGGATCGCGTACGAACGTTGTGCAGCGCTGCGTTGAAGTCGTTGAACTGGTACGTGTAGAACCAGTTAGAGGCGAAGAAGAAGGGGAAGAGGAGCGTGATCCAAGGGTCGTCGACTAGCGCTCTGTAAAGGTTGATGAGTTCTGTCTTCCATGTTGTCGCTCTCTCGATGACAACTGCTGAGCCATCCTCTCTGATCATCTTGGAGGGTGCACGCAATGTTAATGGTAGTAGCACGCCCAGGGCCGTTACCGCGACAAAGGCAATATACGTCGAGTTGGTCACTCCCCCTTGTTCAGAGTCCCAATTCGTACCGACAGACACAGCCGACCCGATAACACCACCGAAATTGAATATTACCCAGAAAATAGAGGTGTATAGACCTTTCTTGTCCTCAGTTGGGTACGAGAGCATCAGCGATCCCTGTTTATGCGTTTGTTAGTCGAGGTGCTGCCTGAGACATGCAACAAGAAAAACCCAACTCACCTGAGCAGTCCATAGAAGACCAGCGCAGCAACCGAGTATAGCTCCTGCTGCAATGTTGAAGCCGCCCGCATCTGGGTGGTAGTTGAGTGCGAGGAATGAGCCAATGTAGAGACAATAACCAGCGCTACCAATCATCATGGCAAGGATAGGGCCAATAAGGTTAACGACACTACCGCCAAACCAAGCGACAGTTGCGAATGTCGCGTAGAGTGCAGCGTTTGCCTTGTTGGCCACTTCCGGAGAAGCCTGTCCACCTCCACCCAAACCTGGAGAAGGTGTGAGTAAAGTGTGGGGATGTTGTGCTCGTGTGCCTCACCAGTCAAAGCGTTGAACAGTCCCGGACCACAGAAGCAGATCAAACCGACGATTGAAACCTGCGGGTGGACAGTGAGTCAGACTGAAGCAACTGCCCGTGTGCATCCTCAACCCACTTGCAGCAGTGGATGGCAGTATAACGCCTTAAGGCCACTAGGTTTGCTGCTGTCCTTGTTAAGTATGTTTATAACTGGCGGGAGAGACGACTGCCTCTTCTCTAGCGTGTTGGAAGACATCGGACAGTTGAAGCAAAAGCGTTTGGAACCAAAATAGCCCAGTTGACGTTTTAGGTAGTATAAATTAAGCGTGGCCTAAAAAGGAAGTCAAGTCATCTTATACAGCAGGTGATAAGCAGAGCGGCGAAAAGGGCGAAGAATAGATTAGATTGGTACAAATGGGTGTTTTAATTTGCGTGAGACTGTAATAAGCGCGATATGTTCTCATAACTTCACATTCCAGGTTAGTAAGGCCAATTTTCACCCCCAACTTAACTCACACAACGAACGTAACGCATGTTCCTGGCAGAATCCTTATCGCGTTAACCCCGGCGCCTTGATAAAAAGCACGTAAGCCTTCATTCCTGTAGGTCGAAGCGACGCAATGGGCTATTGAGCTGTAATGATTTTGGTTCTGCGGCAATTTCGGGGTTAGTAGGCGAGGTCAGCAGGTGAAAGCGTAACTGACCTGAATTCGAGTGCGAACCACTTGATAAGGGTAGGTAGTTCCCAGGGCAAATAATTTCGATGCTCCTGACATGAGCGTGTATTCCCAGTTGGACTGGGTTGTTAGACAGAGTGAGCGCACCAACACAAATCACTCACCAGCCAAGTTGGAGTGTTCGATAGGTTCCCAGAAGATTTCGAACGCCAAATCTTTAGCTCCTCATAAACTGCGAACTGTATTGCGCCCTGTAGCACACCGAATAAAGCGAGTAGAGTGCCTTTCCAGTACCCGCGCATTCCTTCTTTTCTGCCAATTTCAATTAGACCGTCTGGTAGTTTGTTTATTAGTGTATCTTTCTGCTTGCACTACATCCACCCACGCGCTAGCCCGCGATAAGCACCTTTATCATGTTGTTTGGTTGAGAAAATTCTCGTTTTGATGAGCCAAAGGGGATTTGTAGTGATAGCAATGATGGAACCTGCCTTTAAGTTATTTTGGATGTATATAGGTGTAATTAAGAACCAACCTGCTTCAGATGCCGCGTAGAGATGTTCCAATGGACCCAAATTTCGCGCAGGATGGCTAGAATGAAGGCGATTTTTAACGCCTGTGTAGCTGTATCGAGGTTATAGCGTAAATTAATAGCTAAATTCCCCTCTTACAGCCAGAAATATCCGCCCCAGCTCACGGAATTACCGATAATATTGGTAGTAACGCCTCGCCACATGCCCTTCCAGCCATTGCTTCGTATGAATGTACTTAATAAGTCTTTGTGTGTAGATTTATCCGTAACTTGCAAGCGCACCTTGATTAGATCTAGTGGCTGCATTGCGATTGTGGAAGCGATTCCAGCGCCCATTCCAGCGACACCGTGGTCCTGAATAGCATAAGATACTGGATGTAGAATATCATTCAACTCACCAAACTGGGATTGCTAAAATAGCTCGATTGTGTCATGGAAGGTGGCTTCTTAGTACACAACTACGACTACGAACAAAGGTAGTTGAATAATCCGAGTAAGATAGTATTTGATGTGTATTCATCGATAATAACATCATTTACAGTGAATCCACCTTCAAATCCTGCAAAATACTCGCGTCAAGCATCTTCCACTATACGCCAATTACTCAGGAATGGCAGTCCATCGAGCGATGCCTATTCTCAAATTAAAAATCTAGCAATGCAGCTTGGTCCACTCTGCCAACCTCAGAAATCCTATTCTCTAGGGCTAGCACAGACAACCTACCTTCATGGTTTGATTAGGCGTGGCGATATCTATGAAGCACGTAAAATGTCTATAGCATTTGCTAGAGCTGCTGCTCGTTCGCCTGATATCTACTTCCCTTTCTCCAGGCGACGGCTTCCAATGAAAACTATGTCTTCAATTTTACAAGCGCTTGTTGGTGATAATAGTAGTAGAAATAATGCTCTCGCCAACAAATCCCCCAACAGACCCTCCTATTCCTTCCTCTATCTCATTTCTCAATTCCCAACACCCGGTGCTAGAGCTGCTAGGATGTTCGTCTCTCACCACGCTAAGCTTGGCGATAGGAGGGCTCTGCGTGATTTTCTCATGCTTCTTATATTCGGCTTGCTCAGTGCGGAAATGATTGGTGGCGCTGTTGCTCTATACTCGCAGTGGTGCAGGAAATTCGCAATCTCTGAGGCACAAAAGTTACAGAAAAGCACATGTACTCAAACAGAATCCACAACCACAACTACAACCACACCCAGCACACCAACTCACGTAACTTGGCAACCTTCGAAAACTCTCATTAAGATGCTCCTTGACAGGCTACACGCATCTCAATCCGACCCCTACAAGCAAATTAAAGGCGACGCTTTATTACACATTGCTCATCTCCTCGATGATCGTATACGCATGCCACACTACGCTTCTATGATTAGCGCTTTATCTCAATACACACGCGCACATAAATCTTCTCAATATACCCTCCGCTTTGAGCACATCCTGCAGAACCTCTCAGATGATATAACTTCAGGTCACATTTTCACCAACACCAACCAATCAGATTATAAGAGAGTGAAAGGGGTTAACGCGTCCAGCTACAATGCTCTCATTCATCATTTCACTCATGCGCGGGATGTGCAGAGGGTGGAGTCACTACTGCAATCGTTCAACAGCCGTCATGGCACTGTACGCAGCGACACCCTCAACGCAATCCTCAGCGCTAGTGTAGATGTCGACGATTTACCTCTCTCCACGCGCCTCGTAGAATTTTTGCAGTGGAAAATCAACAACCAACCTAGCCACCTCTTTGAAACACATAGCGATGAGAGGGTGTTAGCGCAGCTGAAGAAAATGAAAAGCTACAAGGTAGATGACGAAACTATCTCGGCACTCCTCAAGTATTACGTTGCTGTAGGTGAATACAGCATGGTCGCTCCCCTCACATACCAGCATCTCCCCCACCTAAACCTTAACACACCTAAAGAAGAGCGCGGTAAGGTGCTCAAACAACTCGATGAACAGAGCTCCAGTGATCTATTTGCGGCACTCCATCGCAATCTTAAAACAGGCCTGAGCTCCCGTCTCCTCAAAGACCGGCATCTTGAGAATATGGCGGTGGAATCACTCACCTCCCTAATGGCGATCATGGCTCAAGAGGCAAGTAAATATAGGAAGCACGAGATGAGCCTAGGGTGGGGTGGTAGGAGATGGATACGTACCAACTTCCATGCCAGATCGAGAGAGGAAATTGCTAATGAAAAGCAGTATAAGAAGATATACAAATTTCTCAAGCTAAGGTGTAATTCGGCTACCTATCTAGCTGCCAGTCTTTATAAAAGTGTTAGACACAGACCATCTAAGCATCATGTGGGCAGGTGCGAGATGAGCATAGATGAGGGTTTCTTGAATATGTGTCTCAAGACATTCGCAAAGTCGCGGTATAATCTGGCTATAGATGATGTTTTACTGCAATATCATCAGCGAGGGTATACCCCTCCTACGCGATACAGCGATCGCTTCGACTGGATCAAAAGTCAAGACCCTCACCTCATCCAGTCAACTTTCAATAAATCTAGAGTCCCACTCATCTTCCCTCAGCATATGTTATAGACTTTATTGTATTAATTATGTATTTGTAGTTTACAAATAGTGATATGTGAAAATTGTGAAATGCAATAAGATCCTAGAAAGTGAAAAAGTTGAAATGAAATAATATGACTAAAATCCTGATCTGTAATGTGTGATTCGATGCTGAATGTCTATGCTGTTTCCTTGTTGACACTGTTCTTGCCATCCTTTGTATCATCCTTAACGTCCTCCTTAACACCATCCTTAACATCCTCCTCACTATCTCTTTTCTCAATATGGCTAGTTTTCTCTGCGACCTCCTCATCCGTTTCATTTTCAATAGCGCCGACTTTCCAAGGCAAGAGGAAGAGAATGAACAAAAGTCCGCAAAAGTGCAAACCAGCCAAGAACCTGTGAATTTAAATGAGCTTCAAATGTTTATAGAATCAGAACCACCCACCAATCTCCAGCGGAAGTTCCAATAAATTGATTGTTAGAAGTGTCCCTCCTATCCACCTGCAACTGCACTACAGTGAACAAACTAATACCAATAGCTGAACCGAGTTGCTGAGCAGTGACGAAGACACCCCCAACCAAACCAGATTCTGAATCGGGTGCTGATTGTATCATAGCGACGTTAGATGCGCAGTAGAGGATAGCAGCTCCACCGCTACCGACTACCATACCAGGTACCTGCAATCTCCAAAATTTGCTGATATCATCACCAAAGCCCAAAACAATCGCACCAGTAGTGGAAGCAATGAAACCGAACAGAAGCGTAGCTTTTATGTTAATGTAGCGAAGCAGATAAGCCACCACTACTGAGCAAATGACAGAAGAGATGCCGAAAGGAATAAAATGTACGACAGCGTCTAAAGGTTCAAAATCCCAAACATCGATGTAAATTCTAGTGAGAGATTCCAGTGTAGTAGTCCACCAAAGCGTGATGAGAAAACAAACACCAAACAAGACGGTGAAACCGGGATATTTCCAAAGGCGTTTAGGGAGAAGAGCTGAACTCTGATCTACGCGGGTTTGCCACCAACCAAAAACAACGAAAGAGATGATCGAGATAATGAGTGGTGCTATGACTTGCGCAGTGCCCCAACCAACGTTATTTCCACTGGTCAATGCAAATATGAGTAATACTACGCCTACTATAAGTTGCAGTACTGAGAGTACATCTATACGACCACCTGGATGGTATAGTACTTTTTCGCGCGGTGTTAGAAAGAATGAAATGGGAGATAAGGGTAGAGCTATAATAGCGAGTATCCAGAAACACCACCTCCAGTCAGCTTGTGTGAGACAGCCACCGACAATTGTGCCGATAACATTCGCCAAGCCACCCGTTGCGCAGAAAACACCGAGTGCTTTTGCTTGAGATTCGATATCCGTGTACATTTGAGTAATCAGTTTGATAGCAGAGGGAATTGTGACAGATGCACCGACTCCCGAGACTGATTTAAGTACAATCAAACCAATCGCATTGTCGCAAAAAGGGGCGACTAGTGATAGGATACCGAGGACGGCGAGACCTACAGTGAATATGATTCTCGGAGAGAATCGATCACTAAGTAATCCAGCAAAGAGAAGGAAAGAGGCGAATGCGACAAGATAGCCGTTCACGATCCAATTTTGCGTCGCACTGTTGATATCCAAGTCACGACCGATTGAGGGGAGTGAGATGAGAGTGACATAGACACCAAATACGTCTAAGAATCTGTGCAACTGGTTAGAGTGTAAAAGAAAGATTGAGATGGCTTACTGGACGGTGCTGAAAATCGCAAGGAGGAAGCCTCTCCGGAGGTTTCCTGGATGATTTAAGAAAGCTGAATCAGCTTTAATGGATTGGGACATATAATAAAGTAAATTTAATTATTCAAGGAGTATTTTAACCGATTCGCAGGAGTTGAAAGCTTAAGCCCGAGTGAGGTACGCGAAGCTAGTAATTTAAAGTGTAGGGTATTGAATTTGTAGCGTTTCCCCAAGTCAACAGCTATAGCTATTTAGTAAGACCAACTCTATTAAATTTCTAGCAATTTGAAAGATACATTAGGTAAGAGGATATGGAAGATATGAATTACATTGGTTGATTGTATAATTAATCCCACTTAAATTTAAAATCAGATTATATACATCAAAGTACCTCATACTCACAACTAGCGGTTCAGATTTTGAAATTGGTGGTATTGTTGGCTTTGAATTGCGTCTTGATTGTTGAAGCTTCATTGACATTGATCCACTTCCACCCCTAGACTCACTCGCTTTGATCCTCTCTTCTGCTGCGTTGGCTGCAAGCTCCCTATTTGGGCTTTTTGACGCGTTGTTTGATAAGTTATTTGAGTCATTTACTTTCTTATTATCATCGCCCTTAGCATCCGTTGTTGAATCACCAAGCTGCCTTCCTTGCGCCTTCTTTGACACGCAATTCCCCATAAATGAATGATTTTTGTGATGATATTGTTTATGAGAGGACGTGTAGGCTGTGATGAGTGACCAAACGTGATGAGACTCTTATAATTCTTCAAGAGAAACATTTTCATTGAAACGAAAAAGATGTAAAGTTGTCTCATCGATTCTACAGCACCTCCTGCGTTTGCTTACTTATAGTTGTGAAAATCTCAAGACAAATCGGTACGATATACAATAACGTCTATTACTACAATTTATACAAAAATCATCTTATAAGTCATTAAATACACCACCTATAAATGGCAACCATCAATCTTCCTCCTCCTCTCGACGTTTTGTTGAAGTTGAGAACTTATCGTTAAATCGAATCAATTCACGCGTAAGGTCATCAAGCATTTGTATGCTCTCAGGTGCTTTGCCATCTTCTGTCACCTCCGGTGGTGCAGGTTTTTCAGCTGCTTCAATCTGCACTCGTCCGACATACTCTAAAACGCTCCTCACTCTCCTCTTCATCTCTCCAATTGTCATCCTCTTGCTAGGGAACTTGACCCTCGTTGGTAATTCTTTGACTGTATCCATTGAGGAGGTCGAAGAACCGTGCGGTATCCTCAATGCTAGCATTTCCGGTTGTTCAGTTGGCAGCAAGTGACTGAGGTGTTGAAGGTGATCAGGTAGATTCCAATATAAACTACTCTCATCATCAAATGACTGCTTCTTCTCCTTGTCTTTTGTGCCTCCTTTACGTTTCTGGGGTGATTGGAGTTGCTTATCCTTTCGACTGCCATTCGCTGTACGTTTCGGTCCATTAGCCGTTGCTGGCGGGGTGAATCCTTCTGTATGATGAGTGAGCAATAAAATTACACCTCAATCTAACACCGCAACCTACCCTCATTGTTCGACTCATCAGTCTCTCTTCTTCGCTTCTTGTATCCACGAGGTGGTGCACGCTGATCACGTTCATCTGTAGCTGGTGGAGGTGAGGCTGATCTTTTACTATTCTCACTGTGTGTTTTGTGAGATGGGAATTAGTATACACAATCGCACATACTTTCTATCATCTTCATCGTTGACACCACTGACAACGCTCTTCTCTTTGGATTTAGATTTGGCAGCTGTAGAATTCCTCCCCTGATCCTTGCGCTTGCCTCCACGACCTCTGGTACTCTTAGACTCAGACTTGCTTCTCGGTTTGTAATCAGCCTCACTGTCAGGTGCAGGCTCAGTTTTATCTTTGTACGTAGGCGGATCACTCTCGCTTTGTTGAGGCAAATCGCCCTCCTTATCCAAGTCCTTGGAGTCGTTGTGTTGAGTGTGATCAGGCTCAGGTTGGGGAGGATGCTCCGGCTGTTCAAGTTCGTCTGGGTGAGTTGGATCATGTGGATGGTGATCGTTATCATTGTTGTCGTGATGTTGTTCGTCTTCTTGCTGGGAAGGAGGGCCATAGTGCAACCAACGGTGCTTCTCCTTCTCAGCAATCTGAGACTTGATACTGTCATTCTGTACATCTAATAAAGACGCAGCGATAGCATCATCGTAAGCTGCGTCTCTGCTATTGAGAGTGCTTCTCCTTTTCGGGGAACGAGCCCTTTCAGCGGTATCAATTGAGGAGCTACTGCGCCGTCTAGAAGGATTTGGGTTGTTGGAGGTGTTGTTGATAGGAGATTTCTGCTTAAGTTCTCTTCTCTGTTGTGTGAGTCTGGCTGGTTTACGCCCTGGACGACTGGGATTGTAGAGTGAGATATTGAATAGACACGAGCAGTAAGAACCAACCCTGGAATCACGATTGGGTGCATATCAGGTCTACATTCCTCGCAGTAATATGTCTCTGGTGCGTATTTCTCCTCGACCAATCCAACGCAAACGCCGTGTTGCCAGCAACCACAAGTTTCGCACTGAATCATGAATCCATAAGACTCTTCATCTATTTCATGTGCATTAGATGTTGCATTTGCTCTAATATTCTCTAAACTCACCGGAATTCCCGCAAACGCAACGAGTCTCACCGGATCCGCCTTCAACGCCTTCGCCACCTTCACCACCTTCATCTTCCTCCTCATCCTCCTCTTCAGCTTGATGGATTTCTTGATTAACGTCTTCTCTGCTCACTTCCTGTGGCTTCTCAAGGGAATCATGATCCATTGGCTGTTCTTGATCAATCGGTTCGTCTACTGGCTCTAACTTGGTTGCATTTTGCTGTTGCTGCTCTTCCTCTCCTCGCTTTTCACTCATATCGCTCATTTCGGATGACAGTTACGGTTAGAGAATTATCAATCGTTGTATTTCTTGTTTCTTTCAATCAAACTTAGATATATTGCTATCATCCCTTTAAATTTCTCATCCATCATCTCCTCACCTTGTAATCAGCCATCTTTGCATGTGAAAATCTTCAATTTTATTCCCCAACGAAGCTCTAAAAGTCTATTGAATAGCTTAATTTCCTTGTAGAAATCTTGATAAGAATCACATCTGTAACCCGTGTTATCGCTCAACTACGTCATCAAATTTAAGTTGACTCACCTTCTTGAGCAAATCCTCTACGAATACACTCTCAAAAACCAACCAATCAATTCAGAACGCTTTTGGTATGTATAAATGGTTCAGAATATTTTAATGAAATTTTCATCTACATTGATTCAAATGAATTCTTCTCTTCACTGCTATGTGAAGCTGCTGGTGGTCCATCAAACGTTTTTCTCGCGTAAATGATGTAATACACGAAAGAGATTGAAGCGAATCCGACAAAAACCACGCTAGCATAGTTCATAGTATCTGCATTCAATCCACTAAGAGCAGTAGGCATGCAGAATATTACTATACTCAGCAATATCCAGCAACAACAAACTATGTTGACTATAAAACCCAACCACGATGGCATTCTAAACGCTGCACCCTCCAATGGCTCTCTTTTGCGCAGAAGCGAGATCAGTATCGGTCCAGCATAACTAGACCCTAGCGTTATAGTAGCCACTCCTGTGAAAGCGCTAAAGGCTGCTGATTCGAATGATATCAAACCTAACAATCCAATCACGATACTACTCAATATGAGTGCATTCAGCGGCAAATACTCCCTCCATATCACTTTCCACCATTTAGATCCCATCATTCCGTTATCTCTTGCAAACGAGTAACAACATCTTGAGGAAGTAGTCAGCGCTCCAATTCCACCCAACAATCCAATAGTGATAATGAGCACCATCAGTCCTGTTGCGCCCGACGTGCCAGTAGCTTGCTGGAAGAGGATAGGTACTGGCTGAGCTGCATCAAGCAGTATCTCCAAATCTGTCATAACAAACAGGAGGGGAATGAGATAGAGTAAACCCACCACCGCGGCTGCAATCACCGATCCTACCATTCCACGCGGCACATCTCTTTCAGGATGAGCAACTTCATCTGCCATAGCTGCAACCATTCCATAACCTGTCAGGACATACGCCGATTGTAGCAGTCCTACACACCACGCCCAGCCAGGCACCCAGCCTGAGTTTACTTGGAAACCTCCAAATGCGAATGCTCCACTAGTTCGCCCGTTGCGTGCCATCGAAAGCACCGTTATTAAAACTACTACCACAGTCCCTCCCGTCCAGTATATCGAAAAGGTGTTCAGTGCATCTAGGTGCTTCTGTTTCAGAAAATTTGCCGAAAAGCAGATAAGCAAGACTGCGAGAAAAAGGAGGTAGGTTTGATATGATTCAGCTTGATATTCTGGATGCCAGAGTGGAGGTATAGCTATAATGAGCTGCGCAGTGCCGTAAATAATCGATAACGATACTGTCCAATTGCCGATCAACCCCAGCCAGCCGACAACGTACGAAGACGGTTTGTTGTACCGCGATGATGCAAGCATGTATGACCAATAGTAAGGTCCACCTGAAGTTGGAAAGCGAGAACAAATCTCCGCAAGTGAAAGTGCAATGCAGATTGACATAAGTGATATAAAAACCCAGCCCCAGAGTACTGAAACTGGTCCACCGTTTTGTAAAGCTATCGATATCGTTGTACTCAACCCGTATGGACAAGCCTGCAAATGTTATTTACTCATAAAGCTCTATCTTCTCACGCACCATTATCGCTAATCCTAGCCCAATAGCCGACCACACACTCATCTCGCGCGGTAGCTCCACTTTATAACCATGTTCATCAGTCGATATTGCCACTGCTGCTCCTTTCTCGCTGCCATTTCCCTTTTCCATAGAATTTGAAGGAGTTATTTTGATTTGATCCATTCCAATTGTCTTAGTCTGGAATGTGACAACAACGCCTATCACATGTTGCAACCTTATCAACTGATATATCTGCAAGTGATTGCCTGTGATAGCAGCTTATTTGCTGATAAGATACTCGTGCATACAAAATGTATCACTTGATACGAGTTGGTGTATTCACCGTTAATAAGGTTCAATAAAGTAGTGAATTCATTCATAATTAATTTCAATAATGCGTAAGCTACATCTTTTGGCTCATTGATGAACCACTCAAAGCTAGTCGACACGAGTGGATGACTCATACTAATTAGTATCTCAAAATCGATTAGAATATTATTAAAGGTTAGCAAAATCAGCACATCGTGGTTTCGCATTGACGTCAAACTGATAAGGACCATACTCAAATGTTTACTGAATGTAAAGAGCCCCTAAACCTGAAACTGCTGAAAGACATCATGGCAAGTAGCCAAATAGATGAATGCAATCCTTCGACCGTTTATCTAGCATTACATCGGAAAATGTTAAATTAAGATGCAAAAAATTTGTGGTTGCCAGGAATCGAACCTGGATCTTACCGGCCACAACGGAACGTGCTAACCATTATACCACAACCACTTATGAATATGGTCTGCTGTTATAAAATATATCACCAAACCTATATGTCTCAAAACTCTTCAAAACGGGGGGTTTTTTTTTATAAATATTCTGGTGGCTCAGTGTAATTGAGAACCACCAAAAACTTAGAAAAACCGACGCTAGTCAAGAAACGCTTCCAGTAATTCAGCACCCCCTTTGACTCCTCATGCTTTAAGAAGTATTGATGGACACAGTTTAAACATGTATCGTCTTGACAATATATTCAGATTTCATCATCATCACCATTTTTTATCTTCTAATGATTGTCTTCTTAGGAATCCTTCAAAATATCAGAAAGAGGATTCAAAAAGGCTTTTTCCGTCAATCAATGACCATATCTGTATCACCAAAAAGGTGCGCATTTCTTGATTATACACCGTCCTCCCCAAAGCCAACATGATATTGTACAAGGAAACAAAGAGTTACAGACCCACATCTCCACTAAATCATGTTCAAGACAGTATCACACATAGGATTTTCAGATGTAGGAAGTTCGTTCAAGCAAGATTGTCGTTGAGTAGGAGGATTTATTAATTAGGGTAAGGTTCAACATGAAATACGTGCTTTCAAATGAAGAAGCTCTCAAAGCTCTCAAAGCTCTCTACGAGTTCTTCAAAAACCAGCTCAGCACCTACCCGCCCACTTCTGGTAGCTCCACGTAGTTACTTGCTAATTTACGGCACACGTGCCAAGCACCGCATTCATTTGAGTCTCTAAAATCGTCATCTTCCAATGCACAAGAAATATAGATAAGCGAAGATAATCAATCGTTGTAATGCTTTTCACTGCATATCATGGTTTCTACCTATCTATCTATTTATTGGTTATGAAAAATCACCTATTCAATCAAAAATCCCTAAGGATAGCACGAGAATTAAAGATTTTGATCTTGCTTTCTTAACACTTCATTAGCCGTTAAATTTGTAACAACGCGTTTTACAACATATCTTAAGCTGCACCCACTCAGTAAATTTACAACAATTTTATTAAGTACAATGGTTATAACTACAACTAATCCTCGATTTTGACGTCGACATTCGCATCAACGTTCTCAGCGCTGTCAGACATCTGAGATGCTAGATCAGCTACAGGCGTGAAAGAGGGAATGTGCACGTCGGGCAACAGTAATGACAACAAATCGTCCTCTGATTCTTTGTTAGTGTTGTGGTTTGAAACAAGCATAATACACACTTTTTGCGATAAAATCACCCTTTGTTTGTGCTTTCTCCAGACTTTCCATATCGTTGGTTGAGAGTGTCGCATTCTGTTGACTCTTGATATAAAGTGATTGGCCTTTCAAAGCAGCCAAATCTAGTATTGCTTCATCGATAGTGTCTGTGGATGCATAAGTGTATACCTTGACGGATTGGTGTTGGCCCATTCTATCGACTCTCCCGATAGCTTGCAACTCTAGTGGAAAATTTGCGATTGGATCAATAAAAATAACGACAGAAGCCATCGTTAAATTCAATCCACTCGATTGACGCTCACCATTCAGTAAACAGACATCCACATCATCAGACTTCTTGAACATTTCTAGCTTTCTGACATCGCTCCCAAGTGTATACGTGATATCGTTTTTCTGGAATGCTCGTTCTACGATCTGCATACCACTTTGCCACGAAGAAAAGACAACTGACTTTACTTTTTGGGCTCGAAGCGTCAAGATGTGCTTGCAGAGGGTGTCGATCTGAAAATAGAAAGTCAGAAAAACCCCTTATCAGAACACAACATACCTTCACACCATGTCCTTGGGTGAAGATCTTCTGTTCCTCTATTTCAAACATTTCATGGGACGGGATGATATTATACTGTGGTCGAACTCGCTTCTGGATAGTCTCTCCTATTGCTTGAACATTTGAGTTGTCACTTTCAGTCTCAACACTTTTCTCTTTACCCTGTGAAGTTTTGTGGACCTTGATTTTGTGAAGAGATGATGAAGACAACTTTGTTCTGCAATGTGGACACTCAGGTCTTGACTGAAACCACCTATTGAGACAAGACTGACAGAATATGTGTCCACAAGAAGTAATCACACCATTAGTAAATGGCAGCGTACATATGGCACACTCGCTTGCATCATCTTCGGACGAATTCTTGATATGATGCAGATAGTTCAATTTCGCTCTACCTCCTTGAACATTGCGCGACGCGACAGCCTCTATCCTATCAGCTTCTGCGATTTCTTGAAGAATAGTACGGTCACCCTCTTCCTGCCTCTCAACGTCAAGTGGGGCAACAGAATCACTCAAAATCTGTAACTGTTTGAAGTAAAGAACTCTAGAATTGAAAGTACCCAAGAAGTCATCTTTCTCGAGATTCAGAGTGCGTGTCAAATCACGTTGCTTGTCGTAGACATCATGCAGTCTCGATTGCAACTCCTTGAACGCCTTAACGTTATGCTTGGGTATTCTACTAGATTCCGTCTTTAGTTCTGATATCAGCTTTCTGAATGGCCGATCCTTCTTTGTGATACGCAGAGCTTGGCGTTCAAGTTTGAGTTGACGGCGAAGAACATCCTGCTCTGTGTCAATGACTTGGTCTTTCTCAACTTCTATTGCATTGGCAAGCATCATCTCCTCTCTAGCTTTGGCGTTTGCGTTCGCGCGGCGCTTGCCAACCAGACCCTTTTCGTTTTCGTCTGATACGTCGACTATCCCCAGAACCTCTCTCCGGTCTTTGATAGAAGATTCAAAAGCCTCCAAATAAATCTCTAGATTAGCTTGCAGCTCGGCGTCCTCTCCATATGCTTCAGTGCTGGCTTCCACCTTGTCAATTGGATTGAGGATGCCTTCCAGAATCTTTTGACGCTTGTCAATAATGAAGTTGGCTAGCTCGTTAAGTTTGGCAATGACTGTATCTAAATTTAAAAGAATTGATGGGATACGCTCTTCACGATCAACACCTTCCTCGTCAATGCCTTCGTTCTCGCCAACCTCAGCATACTTCTTTGGCGTTTTTTTCTTGGCCATCTCAGCCAGTGGCTTAGCGGTAGCAACGATATTAGGGTCTAGACCCAGCTCGACACCAGAAACATAGTTTATTTTCAGATCATCCTTCTTGGGCTCAATTCTTTTCTTGATATTTTCAGATAGAGCATCTACGCGTTTGTTGTAGATCTCAATGGCATGACTAAGTAATTTTGCTCTATCAGCATCAGCGGCGGTATAATTGATATCCTCTTCCTCTTGTACTTGCTGTTGGTGGCCAATATCACCGAGAATTAAATGCGCTTGATGGATAACCAATAGCATGTCGCGGTGTCTATTCAAGAGGTTCGAAAGATGGGACTGCCAGTCCTTCCTCGATTGTGCTTCTTCAGCTGTCTCAACGACGTCATTGGACTTTTCTTTAAAAGCAATAACAGCACCCGTGTGCTCAACAATATCCTCAACAACGTCCTTCGGCTTTTTCACTCTATGTTGATGAATCTGTTCCTGAGCATTCTCAAGGACTTGATTAGCTTCAGAAAGTACTGTCATAAGTAGTAACTTTGCTCCATCACGATTAGGTGGATCGAGAAGTAGCCGCAGTCTTGCAACTTTAACGGAAGATGCCAACTGAAAAAAAAAATTAGATTGTTCGTGGCTCAACAACCTCACTTACAGCGGATCTTTGTTCTGTAACGATATGAGAATATGAACTCTCAATCATCCTATCTAGCACTTGATCAACGGTTCTAAATGTTTTTCCTATAATGTCTTTCGTAGCTGAGTGTGTCTGAGGATGTGTGGTGAGTTGCCTGAGCTTTGTTATCCAAACTCTTAGCTTGCTGATATCAAAGGAAGGATCATTAGCATCCAAATAGTCGCCGCGTTCATTCAAACCAATTTCACTGAGCGCTTGCTTGTACTGCTCATCAATGTATGCCTGCTCAGCAGCTCCCATATTCAGTGGAACTATGTAACGCTGGAGTGGAGGAATTTGCAACTGCTTCTTTACATGATCTTTGGTTGTGCGCACGCAAATGCTCTGTATTAGTCGCGTGAAGTCATGCGATAAACCATGAGTCGCAAAAGCCGCGAAGGTTTTCTTATCAATAAGTCGACCATCTAACTGAAATCCAAGATAGCGAAGTATGGGCAGAAGCTGTTCAATAGAGCCAGTAATCGGAGTGCCTGAACAAGCGACAGACGTTTGGCGGGGAATGAGTGCTGTCATTTCGGCGGACTTCTTAACTCCAGACAATTGAATCTCATCTTGAGCGACACGATAGAAGGTGCATGAGACTAGCGGTGACATGGGTATGTAGTCGTTTTTGTACTCTACACCGTTTCTACGTGCTCTAGGTTGGCGCTCATGAGCAACCACTAAATCTTTTGAAAAAGTGCTGTATGTACTGAGGATGAGGTCAAACTGATTAAAAAAGTCTTGGACGATACTCCTGTTGGTGAGAACGCTTTTACTTTCATAGTCAAAGTTATCGTGATTATTCATGAAACTAAAGAGTTGTGGGAAGTTATCCACGTACTCCAAACCATGCTGTTTGCACTCTTTAAGGCTTCCAAAACTATCAAACGTGTACTTGGGCTGTGGGGCTTTCCGCTTAGTACCACCTGTAAGGTTAACGCGCGTGCCATCTGCAAGAAAGTCACGCTGAGATTTTGAGCCACTCGAGTTAAAGAGTTCAAGCTGTTGGATGGAGAATTGCGGGACAAAATCGTCATCATCTTGCTTTTTCACTTTCTTTTTTGTGGGAGGAGGCTCAATGTCTTCTTCCTGTTTCACTTGTGTTTGAGGCGGTGGTGATGCTGATAAAGGTTTCCCCTCTAACTCTTCTGGCTCTCCTGGCTCTCCCTTCGCTACTGTATTGGCAATTCTTGCGGATGTGAGCAGAGCATCCATGCTTTTATAGCCATTATATACAAGCAATTTGAGATCAGGAGTATGCTCTCTGGCCTCGTCTACCCATTGCTGCAACAAGTGATCTGGTGTGACTATCAGCGAAGTCTTCACAAAACGTTGGTATGATTCAGTTTCTTGGTTGGACCATTCTTGAGCTCGCTCTTTATTTTGGGCAATGAGACCGAGTATCTCAACAGTCTGGAAGTGCGTAAGCAAATTAACGGAGCTGTTACAGAGTCACATACCTTTCCTAAGCCCATCTCCTCGCACAACATACTGCCATTGATAGAGGTCTTGGGTGGTTGATTGTTTTGCCTAAATTGTGCTGATATCGCAGAGTACTGCCACTCGTCTGTCAACTGGATCCATCCAGGCTCAATAATATTGTCTGGATTGTCTTCCCGCCCCTGCATGAACTCAATTGAGCTTTTTTGGAAGTCTTTGAGAGGCGTTTTGAGATAACTGGTGCTGACAGTGTTGGCAATTGGGGTTGCTGGTTGAAGGATAGAATAGAAAAACTGAGTAGACAGCCTGATTGGTGTGGTAGGCTTAGGCACAAGCGGTGGTTTATACCGCATTAAAAGCAGCTTCAACGAGTCATTTGGAGCTTCTTGAATGAGTTTCTGCTTCAGGAAAACCTTGAGAGTTATGATAATTTGAAATTCAACATCTTCAGCATTATCCGATGAGGTAGGACATGTTATTAGTTTGGCTGTGGGTAAAACATTTGCCACAGATTGATTTTGAGACAGCGTACCAACAGCAACAGCAGCATTAACCCAGCCATTAACCCTCTTCAAAATGCTTGTATCTTCATCACTCTTAATGTATCCAAACCCGTTAGCTTTCAACCATTCTTTCTCCTCATTTGGTACTTTATTCGGCAATGACGCAATGAAGCCATCAGCGACATCCGTAAATTTACCAGGGATGCGCACCCGTGGCGGCATAAAGTACATGCCCTTATATTGAGCAGACGCCTGTAGCTGAACCTTTCCAAATTCGATTGTATGCGATTCGTTGTAGGGCTTTGGCAGCGATTGCTTGAGGTTGTTGATTGAATTAGAAAACCAGGAAGGCCGTGAATCATCTTCAGGCTCAGATGTTATTGTGAAAGTGTGATCGACGATCTGCAAGCCTTCGAGTGAAGGTGGCGTGTGCATTGGATGGTCCACTGGTTGCGGAACTGAGATCCCATTTTTGAAATTGTTTATTTGAGTTTTGAGGGAGCGTAAGAGTGGTTTACAGCTACCAACGTCCAGGCTGTGGGTTGAATTCGTTGACGCCATGGCTGTACGAGATAACAACGTTTCAGTATTTGTACATTCAAATATTCTAAACAATTGTACATTTATTGCAAATATAAGTGAAATTGTGAAAGTGTGAAAATATTCAAGATATCAGCGAGACCAGCGCCACAACTAAAAACTACATATCTATTCAACTTTGTCCGAACTTAGATCTGGGGCTGTCGAAACCCTTCTTAGACTTCTCAACTATATTTGCAGACTGGAGGTTCTTGATTTCATGTTCCAGCGTCTTCCTAGGTCCTCTGCGGACGGAGCTATTCGACTTTAGGCCATCATAAGCAGGTAGTGGCTCAGGAGTCTCTTTCACACTGTTCTTACGCGACAGGCTATCCGTCGGTCTCGACCTGGATGGTGTTATCATAGATGCAGCTCGCGAATGTCCTCTGCGAACTGGCGTTGTTGGTTGATCAATAGAAGATGCAGGCCTTGATAGATAGGGTGAAGGACTTCTGTTCTCATCATACTTATCTTTGTCCTAAAATTGAATAGTCAGCCTCAACGATATATGATAGCGATCTAACTCACATCTCTCCAGTTCAAGATATCTTTGCGAAGATCTGTAATTGTGCTTCTCTGCAATCTGACGACATCGTTCAACTTATCAATCTCCTTATCGTCAGTCTTAGTAAGTGGAGTTGACTGGGCTCGAAGATTGGGCGACGAAGCTCTATCAAAGAGTTTCCTGGCAGCGCCACTCTCAAAGCTCATTCTAGACGATGCATGAGATGATTGTGTTGGTTGTGGTAGTGGTCGGGCTTTAAGCTTTGATAATTCAGAAGCTTGTCTCTGGATGACGGTATTCAGTTCGCTGACACGGTCTTGCAATTCTACGTATTCTTCCATACGCTTAGCAATATGCACTTGACCAAACCCTTCATTATCATCTTGACTATTTTGACGCTCAATGTATTCTTCAATCTTGGTCTCGAGTTCCTTTATTATGCTATCTTTTTCCACAAGCGTTGACGTGAGTTTGGTAGCCATTCCCCGTGCATCGCTACTCTCTTTCTCTGCTGTACCTAAACGCTCTTGGAACTCAACGTCTTCTTCTGCACGACTGTTGATAAGTGCAGCCATCTCTGCTTCTGAATTTTTCTTGGCAGATTCTTGAGCTTCACGAACTGTCGTCAACTGAACAGTAGCTAAAGCGAGTTCCTCTTGAACTTTATTGAGGCTTTCTTGGTGATTTGCCTCCGCTTCTTCTACCACACGTTTATTATCGATATGCTGGGATTTGATGTCACGGTTGAGAGATTCTTTCTCGGCCAACATCTCAGATACTTGAGCCTTAAGGGATGTGTGTTCCTGTTCGCGCTCCTCGCTACTTTTCTTACGTTCTTCCGCCTCTTTTGTGACATTTTTGAGGTCTGCTTTGAGCTGTTCTCTCTCATCCTCACCTTCTTTATTGTCTTTTTTAAACTTATCGGCATCCTTGACTAATTTATCTATTTCAAGTTTGTGGTTTTCAATTTCTCCCTGCATGCCATCCTTGAGGGTGTTATGAGATTGCTGAAGTTCTTTGTATGTGTTCTCAAGTCTTGAAGTTTTATCCTCTTTCTCGGCTTTGAGCTGGTCGTGATTGGTTTGCAAGGTATTGTGAGTAGATTGCAGAGTTTCAAGAGCGCTCTTTGTAGAGGCATGCTTGTCTTTGTGAGTGTCGCGATCTATTTCTGCTGTCTTTTGTGCATTTATAGCAACTTTCAAAGAATTTTCAGCGGTTTCTAATGCATTGGCAACTTTGCTAGACTCTTCTTTCAATTCATCAAGATCCTTTTCAGCAGACAGCCGGGCGTCTTGAGAGACCTTTTGCGCGGCAACAGACATTTCAAGCTCTTCTTTGAAGCCATTGCACTCCTTCGTGGCATCGTTATACTTGTTTTCTGCTGCTTGAATTTGAGTTTTGAAATTATTCAAGTCCTTCTCATACGTCTCAAGCTTAGCAAGCAGACCATCTCTCTCGCCAGCTGCCTTCTCCTTTTCACTTTTCAGATTCTCGCCTTCTTTGAGCATTTCCTCCAGGCAATTCTCTTTCTCTTGGGATTCAGATTCAAGTACGCTAAGACGACCATTGAGTTCATCACGCTCCTTTTCGGCAGCCAGCTGAACTTCTTGAGATAACTTTTGTGCAGCGATAGCCTTTTCAACCTCTTCTTTGAAGCCATTACGTTCGCTGGTAACTTGGCTATACTTGTCTTCTGCAGATTGTAGTTGACTTCTGATGTCTTTCATATCATTTTCATAATTTTCGACTTTACCAAGCAAATCATCTCTATCCCTAGTCACTAAATTCTTATCGCTCACCATGTTCTCATTCTCCTTGAGCATCTCCTTCAGACGACTTTCTTTCTCTGTAAATGCAGCCTCGAGTGTGCTTATACGACCGTTGACTTCATCACGCTCCTTTTCAATTTCTTTCAGCTCATTTTCAGCTACGTTCTTACGTTCATCTGCAGACTTGAAGTCGTCTTGCAGGAGATCGTTCTGGGATTGTAGTGATGACAGCCGCAGCTCATCGTCCTGTCTCGCTGATTGAAGATTGGAGAACTCAGACTTGAGATCTTCAATCTCCTGACTGTTACTGATATCGTTCTCTGTTTGTTCCTTTTGTGAAATAAGCAACTTTCTCAGCTGTTCGAGTGTGTCCGATAGCTGCTTGTTCAGATTCTCGTTTTCATCCTTCACTCTGGAAATCTCCTCACTAAGTTCACCTTTGTTCTCTTCAACGCTGTCGAGCTCTCCTTTGGCTTTTAGCTGTACTTCTAGATCTTCAATGCGAGAGCTTGTTTCAGCCTGCTCAGATCTTACTTCTTGTAGCTGCAACTTGAGTGAATCAATCTCGTCATCTTTCTCTCGCATCCGAGAATCTTGATCTCCCTGGGGCATATGTTAGTCAGTCTAGGTGAAAATTGAAAATGACTCACACTCTCATCAGTAGAATCAGGTATACCCGTCGAAAGCACTCTTCGCTTGTTCATGGGAATGTTAAATCCAGGTGCTGACACTCCGAGACCCATATCAGACAGTCGTCTACTCTGTCCATGTTTAAGATGCGACTGTCGTCTACTGCTCATATCTTCACTATCAATGTTCGTACTGTTGAGAACTAATTTACGAGCTTCTCCGAGGTCCTTGTTTAATTGATCAATTTGCTCATTCTGATAAGACACTTTCTCATCATTTGCTGCTCTCTCTTCAGCAATAGCATGCCGGATTTCTTCATACTTGTTAGATTCCAGCTCTGCGACTTCTTTCTGGAGTATTTTGATCTGAGTGATGTGCTGCTGCAACAGTGCATCCTTGGTACCATCCAGTATATCACCACGCTTAGCCTGTATCTTGACCTTCTTTATTGTGCGTGCGAATTTGAGTGTGTCGAGTGTGGCGTTGTGATGATCCATTCCGTCGGCTATGGTGCACACCACACCGACTCTGGCATCACCTGACAAGGACGGTTTGAGGAGGTAAGTGAGTTTGCTATTACGGAAAGGTATATGAGCTGGTTTTGGGGTCTTGACAATCTCGCTGATAACTGTTGAAAGTGCAAGTAAAGATTTATTGATATTGCTACCTTCTAACCGACGTGATGAGTCTGTCGTAGCTTTCTCACTACCAGCCAAATCTATCAGGTTGAGTGTCGATTTACGAGATATAGAGTTCTTGGTGAGGTTTGATTGTCTTTCTGAAGATTCTACGACGATTTGGAATACACAGTGCGATCTGCTACTTCTGTCATTCCAGTCAGTGGCACCAACGTGACGATTGAGATCACCCTGGTCTTTCAGTGCAAGAACTTCTTGTGGAGTTGTGACTAGCACTTCAGTGAGATTCTCTACGAATGTATTGCCACCTTGATTTTCACGAACTCGTAGCTCTTCATTTTGTGTAGAAGGACCGAGAAGATCACGTAATTTCTCATTGTATATTTCCAAATAACGTACTCTGAGAAGAAACTCACGCGAAGGATCCTATTTGACGCGTAAATGAGACATATAAAGACGCGTTAGATGACACTTACGTCATAGATTTCTTCGAATACTTGTTCGACGGCTAGAGGAATGATACCAGGTTCATCTTCAGTACCCGTGAGAGTATGAGTTTTACCAGAGCCAGTCTGACCATAAGCAAAGACGGTTGAGTTGTAACCGACCATGGAGGAGTGAATCAGTCTGGTGATGTGACTATCATACAAAGAGCAAGTACGAGCAGGGGGGAGGAGAAGACTGTCGTAAGTGAATTCACTGTTCTTAGAGTGCCTGGTAGGAGTACCTGCGCTTCTCTTTTCGACAAGGGGGTGATTTGCGCTAAGGGCAATTGTATTCGTTGGTTTGTTGATATCGTACAAGTGATGTTTCTTGTGTACGTTTGCATTTATGTGATTTGGGGAGAGAGCAACTGGATTCACCTCATTTGGGCGCATTCTAACGAAAACTTGAACTTGTTCTGGCTTCTGTGTGTCATCGATGACTTGCTTACGGCGCATATGACGGGGAGTTGGGGGAAGAGGAATTAAATCGTCCTCACTGAGCTCATCTAATGAAGGAGGATTCGATGTCGGTGAAGGTGGTGCTTCCGTTGGTGTAAACGCGGCCGTTGGCCTCCTGTAGCCCGTTGGAATCTGATTCTTTACTTTAAGCTTCATGAGAATATCGTCAAAGTCGTAATTAAGGCCAATAGATGTTATTATTACGCGTATTTTTAATTTTTATTAGATTTTTATAATTTTTATAATTTGGTGATGGCTGAATTGGGCTGAACTGCTGGACGGCTCCAAGTTGGGTTATGGATCCACGAATCTTGTGAGGCGGAGCTGGATTTGGAAATAATTGAAAATTAATTCAAACGTTGCAGGAGAAATTTCTCAGTTCTATTAGCAATCGCAGGTGTTGCTGGATATAACGTAAAGTCAAATATCGATAAACGCAGATTCGTCAAGGTTGGAGCGTGTTTTATATCTCCTTTCGACATACTCACATGCCTATAGCACCAACAATACCGCAATGAGAAAGAATTACGAGCAAGGAGTGGATAAGTATTACACTCAAGTCCACGACAGTTACAGGAATCCTCATTTCTACGCTATCACCAAATGCCTCAGTCAATTTCTTACAAACCACCCTAAACCTGCTAGCGTTGTTGACTTGAGTTGTGGAAGGTTGGTTCCTGCTACCTTTACACATATAAACATGACGCTTACACTCAAACAACAGCGGCGAAGTCACGGAAATACTCACAAACTTTTACAGGCGCAGGAACCAACAAATACCTTCAATCGTAGCGACTGACCCTTTCACAATGTCCGCTTACACTCAACGTACTGGCAGAACCTGTCTCTCACTCAGTTTCCAAGATATAGCCCATGGAAAGCTCATTGGGGATTTTCATTTAGTCATCATTTCATTTGCATTGCATTTAATCTCGGATAACAGCGCCTTATACTCTTTCCTCACCCAACTATCTTATCAATCCAGGTACCTTTGCATACTCAGCCCGCACAAGAAGCCAGAGATCAAACCTTCATGGGGATTTGAAAGGATAAACACTAAGACATTGGAAGCTGATGATAACGACGAGATATATATCGAGAGGGTTCGACTTCGTTTGTTTAAATCGTATAACTTTGATCAATTTTCATGACATGTCCATTGAGGTATCTTCTTTTTGCTGTGCGTTGTGTGTGTTGTGTGTGTTGTTTGAGTTGTGTGCATTTTGCGCATTTTGTGATAAATATTCATCATAAAGTGCATCTAATTCATCATCATCAAAGAGGTCATCGCTATCTGCGGCGTTAGTAGCATTTGCGTCATTGAAATAGGACATATCCATGTTATTGTCCAAATCCTCGGGTATTTCCTCCTCAGTCTCACTCCAAAACTCAAGTGGATCATAATCTGAGCCAACGCAAAGATCAAACTTGCTTTCTTTTCGCCTAATCTCAGATCTGTAATCCCTTTCGTCAATCTTGCTGTCGATTTTATTCTGCAGGTCATCGTCGTCCTCATCAGCCTCCTCATCGAGATTGAAGAGCTGCTTGGAATTTATACGGGCAGAGTCAACATCGCGAGCTCTAGACAACTTTCTTAGCTGCTGAGATTTGAACCTTTCCTTCCAAAGTCTTTTCTTAGGATCTGCTGCGTCGTTGGGTGCGAGTGGAGACGACGACAGAATCGCGTGACTGAATTTAGATGTCGTTGCAGACGTAGGTGATGAACTGTGATGTAGGTTTGCAACGCGTCTTCTATTCCCACCAATTCCAAATTGATCTCCATCGCTCTTTAAATTCCCACTGCCAGTGCCATTCTGCCTGTATCTGTATCGATAGCCAGAATCAAGTGAAGCAGGCTGCGTTGGACGCGTGACTCTTTGTCGTGCTGGCTTTGGCTTTGGTGGCGTGCTGCTTCCGATGTTGAATAAATCCATCATCTTCGTTGTAAGGAGTCAAGAAGAAGTGATGCTAGTCAAATTGGCAGGATACATTTGAAATATTTCTTGGCCTGAAGATATGCATTTCTAGTCTATCACGTGTTGCCTTGCTACAAATCTCACTCCCACTGCCATTGCTTACAATTTGCCTTTGTTTGTCAGAAATTTTCACTCTTTCAACAAAGTCAAAGCGATTCGAGCGCGTTTAAAAAGGTAAAAATATACGTTATTTATCAAAAATTCTGTTTCGTTTACATCCATCCCCACTAAGTCTCCTTCTTTAACACCGATTATCAAGATCGTAAAATGTCCAGTAAAGCACCCCGGGCGCTTGTAATTAGCCCAAACTCTAAATTTGATATGCAAATGCTTTCAGTACTTCGTCATGTATCTTTACATGGCACATTAACATCTTTTTGTGGTGGCACAGCACCTCACCAACTGACACAATACTCGCCACATTCAAATGATATCTTGCTTCAAATCAACAGCAAAGAAGACCTGAAATCTCAATTCACCATATTTGATGTAATCATTAACTGCTTTGATCAATCTGCTGACTTCAATAGGGGGAAAGGTATCTCAAACTCTATCGTCATGGCGCTGTCGAAATGCGAAGTTAGGTGAGCTGCTCTAATCGAAAGCTCATGAAAAACACCCACTCAACAGGCAGGAAAATATACTTCACCTCCGACAGGGATACTGACAATCGAAAAACTATTTTTTTCAGACGATGTCTCAACTTCGAAAGTGAATGCCCGCACTTTCGCAGACAAGCACAGCAGCGCTAATATAAAAGTTTTCAGCGTATACGGTGGTATATGCATGCAAGACTTCTTCGAGGTGTATTTGGAGACCAAGTCAGAGGTGTTTAGGGGAAAGAAACTCTAGTATTTTGAAATGCTAGAGGAGCGCGGCCAAGTATCAGTCGCACTCACCTACAAGAGCGACCTATTTCAGGCCACTATGAAGCTTGTTCTGCTAGCTTGGTCAGATGTCGGTAAGACACCCGATCACATACATCTCTACTCCGAATGCAGGCCTCTCCGAGAGCAACTGCAGACCTAAGAGACTAGCGATTGAACGCCGCGCACTAGCGCTATTCTCTTTCAAAGCTATGTATTTCAATAGCTACCAGAAAATTGACTATACCCTCAAAGCGCGTAAAGGTACCCATTTGAGCAATATAGCAGCCAGCGAGCCCTGGACAAAGATGTAAAAGTAAGAATAAAGGAATACATATGCATTAGTTTTACATTATATCACGCTACACCCTTCCTCGGAACATGAGAGCAGGGATAGAGGTTGGTGGATGGATGCCGACTTCAGATATCACACCATCGATAAACTTAGCGGGTGTGACATCATACAACAGCGACTCTTCTCTCACGTTTGGACCGAGACCTTGGATATCCAACTTGAAAGCCTCCGGAGCGAGCTCATTGGTGGTGATAGAATCGAGCATGACCCTGTCGACAAATTTGTAGGATTCAGCGAGTGTGTACACAGGAACATTATGTAATTTAGACAGCAGCGCAACTGAAGCGTTACCAGCGCGAGAGTAGAGTGAACCATTTGCGAGTATGGCGTGTGCACCGAGGAGAGCGAATGAGATGTTAGGGAGTAAAGACTGCAGGGCTGTCAAGTGAGAGTAAGTGCAATCAATACCTGCTTCTGTTAAGGTGGACAGTAGATTTTTGCCTTCGTTGAGGGGCTTGGCGTCGAGAAGAGTAACAGAAAACAGTTTACCAGCTTTTTTAGCTTCTATCAAGGTCTTTTCAATGATAGAAGAACGGGCATAGACGAGGATGTTGGAGTGAGTGGTTGAAGAAAGTTTTGTGAGCGTGTTCTTGATAATTTCGTCGCCAGCGAGGGTTATTCTGTCTCTGACGTAGTAGTCTATGAGCATACAGAGGTGGTTACGTGCCTTGAAAGTGTTTGTTAGGATGACGCGCCGGATAATACGCCTAAAACACGCGCACTCACGTCATTGTCATCCATATCGGGATCAATGTTAGCAATCTGAAGCTTGAGCCATCTGATAGCACTTCCGTTCGAAATGGATTTTGGCCTGCAGCTCTCGAGGTGGGTGATCTGGGGTGAGATCACCGATAGCAGATTCCTAGAGAGCGTGGTGCCGGGAGGAGTATTGTAGGAGCCAATAACGAGTTTGAGTGCGCTCATAAGAGCCAAAGTGCGAGCATTAGCGCCTACGATAGAGAAGTTTGAAAGAAGAGCGCCTAATCTGGATATTTGGGGGTGCACATGCTCAGGCTTGACGGAAGGGATCGGGGCTTTGTGAAGGTGCTTAAGAGGGCTGTCCAAGGTATTCTGAAGGGCTTGAGAATGGCTCAAGACGCTACCTGAGTCGCTTCTAGCGCTGGATTGGGCTGGGTGTTGGGAAGGCTGAGAAGGCTGAAAAGGCTGTGCCATATGCTCAGGCTTCTCACCGCCACCTCTAGCCTCCACTTTCTGCTTCCTCCTCTCAGATTTTTGATTTATTTTCTTTTGTTTATCTTCAGGCATTTTTGAAGCGTACGTCTTGAGAAACAACCAAGTGAGTCAACGAATTGGGATCAAAATTGGAATGATGAAATTTCAAATACACAAACGTAGCCAGTCCAAATACCAATTGGATTAGACTTCTTGACTGTTTTAGCTCAAGTTTTCTTCAACGGCTTTGACGGCTATATAGTCATAGTTACTCTGACCCAATGTGATCCCAGCCAGTATTCCTCTCTAAACATCCTCCACAGTCACCCTATCCACCCCTATAGGCATTCCTGTCTCGCTATGTACCAAAACCCATTTGTACTTGTTCATGAATCCTCCTTTCTCCAGTCTCTGATCATACTTGAGTGCCCTCCCCCATTCTATCCTCTGAACCCTTGAGTTGCCCATTGTACACGCATGCGCTATTGCTGCACTTGCTTTGTCATACCGCCCTATTGACCTCATGTCCCACTCTCTCCACGTGTCCGTATTTGGCAGTGCTAGCGGTGAAGGATCCCCATATAGCTCGTCCAAGTTGAGGTGTATGCACACTCTTTCCAAGAAAGGCATCTTGCTTAGCATCTTTATCACAGTGTCTGGCCAGTACCTCATTGGAACCTCCTCTGCCTCTCCAAACACCAATGCTAAGTCTAGCTCCTTGATTGTTGGTATCGAATAACACAGTCTTTCGAGGCTGTCGTCCTCCGTAACTAAAATTGTCAACTTGAGTCGTTCTAGCTGCTTATCCCGCAAATCTATCAACGCAAACGCCAACTCATCCGGCTCCATCAATCCTTCAAACTCTACCTCCTTCAGTTGCCTCGACACGCGCAATATCTGATCCGATGTCGATGGCGGTCTCCCTGCGAATTTGAGACACTCCAATTGTCCAAACATATCGTCTTTCTCGGTTCTGCTCACCCTATATGACCTCTCGACTCCTGACAACGACAATGTTTTTAATTGCTTCAATGTCTTGAACATGTCTGTGTACGCTACCTCAATATCCCCATCGATGGCCTCGCTTGGCAGAGGCAGCGGTCCTATTGCGAGATTTTCCAATGTGCTATCAAACTGTGAAATAAACCTGAACAGATCCACAAACTCTGTCTTATCCGGTGGTGCAAGTGGAATTGGATCACCGTCTTGATCTGTACCATCTCCCTTGAAATTGTTGGTGTTAGTGAGAGTTACACAGATCAGGTTTACCCTGCTTACGTATGTTGCATCACGCGGGTACCATTCTACTGTAAACTTATTCAATTTCGGTTTACTGAGGTGTTTTCTTTGCAAACCAAGCGTCAAAGTATCGTAGAAAATAAGATCAAGTGACGTGAGTGTCGTAATGCCTCCAAGGCTCTCTCCTATTGAATCAAACATTGGCTGATCCCATGCCAGTGAGACGTGGTCCAACCAAGACAATTGACGGATTCCGCGAGCGACTTCGAGTGCAACTAAGGGGCCTGTTTGAGAATGTCATAACCACTATTATCTATATAGCTCACGCGATGCTGGCTTGTATAGACATATCCGCAGATCAATATCGAGTCTACGTATGCTGTCATGGCCAATTGAGTCGGTTTTACATCTAGAAGGCATTGCTCACTGATTAAAACTGGTCGGATCACATCGCAGCGCTTTCAAATTGCTCAAGTCGTGTCCCCGTATCGTCATGCTCCGCGATAACAGTCTACGCAGCACGCGCTCGAAGCGCTTGCAAGTGAGCGAGAAATGCAATTTATCTTCAAAATCAAGATAATTGGCTATTTGAAGCACCTCTTTATCCTTTATCGTTGACGTATTCATCGTGGTCCTTTTAGAAGATAAGACTTGAAAATTATCAAGAATGTCTTTCATTCCCGCGCATTCTTGGTAGCAATAATAATAATAATAATAATAAAACGTTTTCTTTCTTATAATACACACTCTCAAATCAAAGCTATCCTGTTGTCTTTTATATTGAATATCAGCCAAGCCGACGTTTGGGTTTTCTGGTCGCGCACCCGCTCTCTTATCAGATGAAGGTAAGAGGATATGTGGGGTGAGCCAGCACCTAGAACCTGTTTAAACTTGTCGTCATCGCGTATCCAGTCGCTGTTCATTGCCATTCTATCAAAGACAACTGCTGGTACATCGACAGCCAGCATCGCCTTACTAGCATTTTCAAATTCTTGTAATGCACTCTCAGCTGTTTTGTGTTGCGTTTCGTGTTTTGCGTTAACATTGTAATTATAAATTGAGTATCAAACTCACCTCTGTCACTCATTAGGGCCCGATTCCGCTTGTTAATCTTGTTCTTATTGTCGTCCTTTTTAAATGACCACGCTATCTCACTTGGCATGGCAAGATGAATATCAACACCAGGTGTATCTTTGTCATGTGTCCTCGATATTTCGTCCTGTGATTGGCGCAGCTTCCTCGATAGAAAATCAACGATATCATGTCGATCGACTGTGAAGAGTTAAGCTCAGTTATTAAAAAACACCTATAACCAACCACACACCTTCCTCCTCTGATTTTTTAGACAGCGTATTGCGCACCTTCAATACTGTACTGTTCGCCTTGAGCAGCACGAGATAGGTGATTCCCTCGCCTCTGCACCTTTCCATCAACATATCAGGACTTTGATATGTATGCGATCCGTCGTACATCTGTAGACATTAGCAAACCAACACCAAATCCCAAAATGACTTACCACGTCAGCTGAAATACCAGCATCCCATAATAGCGCAGCTACATCCATCCTCTCGCTCATCATGCCCTGGTATGTATTACCAAAACTTCCAACATAAACATCACACCGACGAGGCATGTGGTTTTTCTGTCCAGGCGACATTTTCGAATTGGGCTTCTTATTACTGGAATCCATCACACAACTAGCCAAGACATCTACATTAATGCGCAGGTTAACCATGAACGGAAGTGTTCTTGTAGTGTGGGACAGCTTTTTCAGAAGATTATCAGATCGCCCGCCGATTGCCATCGCTTCTCGACGTCCTTTAGCGACCCTCCTGCTCACATCAAGCATCAATCCAGATGCATAGTCGTCATACGAGTCATTCAATAACGTCGTCGTATCAAATACTATATTCCGGCGGCTGTGGTGGCGAGAGAAGAACTCAAATGTACTGTCTAGATCGCCTAACGTCTCTTTCAATTCATCTTTGTGATGCGGGAGTGCTTTCATCATCTCTGTAAGCATTGTTTTATGGTCTTTACCTCTGATCAGGAGATGCTCGAGCTCTTCTAGCCGCGCAACACTCTTGGTGTTGTCTATCTGCGCCGTAAGCTGGCTGCGTACATGTGGCATGCCCACTCCCTTTCCGAGCTGGTCGAATATTCCCAGTACTGCCGCACGTTTCTTGGTTGGGAAGAGTGAGAGGATGATTTCGACAATGACTGAGTGATTGATCCTGATCTCCCAATTTGAAGATATTACTGATGGATGCTCTAATACCTTGTCAATTACTGACATTATCTCTCCCTCCATTGCCTTGGTAGTCGTTGGAGACACTATATCAAAATTGGCCTCCGATTCTTGAATTGGTTGGCCACCCGCTACATTACGCTTAAAGCGGCCTCCCATCCAGAACCGTTTGGTGCGTGTAATGTTCTGCTTCAATATTATTCTGGTAAATCCTACCAGACCATTGTAAGGTAGATGCACAACACAACCAGTGCTGTCGAGCAAGCTGACTACTTCTTTGTCTTTGATACCTTCACTTTCATCCGGCTTGGGAGATAGGAGAGGCGAAGCGAGAGGCACTGCACCGTGTAGCTTGAATACCCAGTCTAGATGCTCCTGCACTAGGCGTATAATTGCATCAGGAGAAAGCGATCCTCCGCCAGTATCGTAGGTGTGGTATTGCAGTGCGTTGGGTGAGTTGTTAAATAGCCTTGAAACTAGTTTCTGGTATCGCGGTTGGTCGGGATGGAGAACTCGCAAAGCTTCTTCAAAGTACTCCTCTTCCATTGTCTCAGGTAGTAGACTTGAATGGAGCACCTCAGCGGCCGATGGCCGTTCACTTTGGTCGTGCTTGAGCATCCACTCTATCAGTCTCTTTTCATCTACTAAAGTATCTGGAAATGTTGATGGAAACACCGGCTTTGGCTGTCTCATTTGATGCAGTACTTGGACTCTCTCCATACCCGTCCTGAACTTGTTGCACATTTCAAAAAAGATTATCTTGGGTGGGTTGTTAGACGACCAACAATAGATAGCTCACTTACGCCTAATGAGAAGATGTCTACTTTCTCAGTATATCTTCCACTGCTATTTGCAATTTCCGGCGCAATATAAAGACTCGTACCAACAGCTGATGTAGTATCACTCGACTCATTGACTAGCGCCCTATCAAATATCATGCTATTGTTAGAATCGTTCACTCCAAGTGTAGCAAGACCGAAATCACCAATCTTGACATCACCTTGTGCGTCGATGAAAATGTTGCTCGGTTTCAAGTCGCGATGTACGATGCCAAGAGTATTGATATAAGCCAGTCCGTCTAGTACTTGTCTGAAGATTTTCCAGCGTTCTTCTGTGCTTAACCCTTCTTCAAGCGACTCTGATAGAGTCAATTTCTCGCAGTACTGCATCTGTATGTACAAAATGCGCGAGTGAGATGTCAAGTTTTTCTTGTTTTGGTCTTGAGAGCTACGGCTACTCAAGCTACTGCTATCGCTACTAACTTCACTTTCATTCTCGTTCTCGCTCTCATCCTCATCGTCGTTCTCGCTATCCTCCTCATCACCCCCTTCGAAGAATATACCATCGTCTCTGCTTGCCGTCTTTGCAACACTGAGCGAATCATCAAACTTGGGATTGAGAAGTTTGTGCATAGAGAAGCTATAGCTGTCAGCAGTGCCCTTCTTTGTATTGGTCGCTTCACTCGTATTACTGAACGGCTGTGCTGCTGTTTGCGCTGCTTCCTCTATCCAGCATCCAAAATATCTAACCACAAATCTACTATTCAGCCTACTCAATGACAAAACCTCTCTGAAAAGCTTACTATCCGTATTAGGCTTGAGTCTGACTTTTTTTATGGCATAAAACAAGCCATCTAGTCTGTTACGCGCTTTTACTACTTCTCCGAAGCCACCTTTTCCTAAATGCTCGACTTCTTCAAAGTCACTTCGGAATCTGCTGCTGTTGGAATGTTGACTCGTTGACTGCCAAAATGGATCGATGGGAGGTGGGGCGACAGACGCGGATGGTGTTAGAGGTGGTCTAGGTGTGGATGTTTTGCGAGCAGTGATTGATGTCGGTCTGGTTGTTGCCACACTGCAGGAGTTTTCTGAGGCGCTGTTTATCCTGTCTAGTATTTGAATTGCTGATCCGCGCTGCGAAGGTTTGGCTTCGAGCATGTAAGAAAGTATGTTGAGTGTCTGCTGTGGTATATCACCTGACTTATCCAATAATACTCCTGGTGATGGATAAGATGTCGCATCTAATCCAAACACCATGCTGATGAAACACACTCCTGCATCCCAAACATCTCTTTTTCTTGTAAATGATGAAGCTTCAAGACTTTCAGGTGCTTGCCAGGCTTCGTTTATAAATGTCTCGGATATTTTACGTTCGTTGATTGGATTCGAGCGGTGGAGATTGGAGATAGTTTTGGCGTATGATGGCTTGACAATTTTCAATATGCGACCTGGAGAGATGAGAATGTTTGAAGGGTTTACATCCATGTGCACTACGTCCAACTTATGCAACTCTTGTAAACCAGTGAGTAGTTGGACTAGATAGTTGGTAGCTAGATCTATACGGAGATTATCGCACGCGTGTAAAAGATCTTTTAGTGTATTCATACCACTGCTCCTTGAGTGCAAAATAAGCAACTCCCATATAACGCTTCCGTTGGATTGAGGATGAGGGCGCAATTTCGAAGCATAAATTCGTTCAACATTCTCACAATCTATTTTCGACATTACTTCTAGGGTGCGTGCAGTTTCCTGTAACTTCTTTTTACCTGCGCTCTTATCGTAGTATTCCGAATTGATGATGTACACTTGAAGTTCAAGGAGGTCGTCGGTCTTTGCGACAGAGCAAAGATATGTCGAGCTAAGACCGTCAGAAGAGATGAGATTTCCGACATGAACAGTGAAATCGCCATCAAAGTTCTCTGTCCAGATATCGTGTCTTCTGTACTGCCTTTGGCGAGATATTTGGGTGTTCTGTTTCTCATTCTCAGAACGAATTTGTTCCTGTTTGCGCTTAATATCAGATTCGATTCGTTGTGCCAATTCATCAGCCTCGAGAGACTCTTTATGGCGTTTCTTTGCTTCGAAAGACTCCTCGCGCTGCATTTTTTCAGCTTGAACGGCGCTGAGACGCTCTTGCATTTTAGTAGCCAAACTGGAGTTACCGATAATAGTGTGATTAGTAGAAATGTACTCCTGAACGAATATAGCGAGATCATAGAGCATAGGCTCGCCAAGAAGAGAATGCTTGGATTTATCAAGCAACTCCTGCGCTAGCTGATTACGCTGGTCTACTGAAAGACCTTTGGTGTTGCGAATTGAAAGCTGTGGGGGAACGTTTGGGTAAGTTTTGGGTATCTTAGCGTGTAGCTCGACGGCGACATGATTTTTAAGGTCCTCTTCTAAAGGCTGGAGCTGTATGATATATTCAGGTAGATTTGCAGCACCCTATACGCGACTGAGCTTATCTGGAGACATCTCGTCATCAGAAACGCACCTGCCACGCGGGATTTGAATTGGTTGCGACGGTGAATAGATCGCCATAGATGGCACTCAAAGCTTCGAGCTCATTCGATTGCACCTCGCGTAAGGTGTCCATGGCGGTGGCTAATCAACCGGCGCTTTATTCCCGAACCCCATGTCCGATAATCAAATGATTTGGGTTGGCAGGCATTGTAGCCTCCATACTTGCAGACAGACAGATTTCCTACCGAGTAATTGCGTTTACTGCCACAAAGATTTCTGCGCTGAACACGCACCTCCTTCTTTGAATTTCAGCGATAGCAATCACTTATGTGATGCGTATAAGGCTTCAATAGAGGCTAAGAATGGCAGATCAAAGAACACGTACAATGAAATGAGTATTTGTGGCTTGGAGAGCTGCAATACAAAGCTAGTATCCCCTATTAGGTGTACAGAATGCGGCCTCAGCTTCTGCACTTATCACTACCACACAAACACACATAATTGCAAGAAACATAGCAGGTTGGCTAATCAAGGGCGTTCTGCTGCGTCTAACAATGCTGGTTTGGCAGCACTTAAGCGCCTAGGACTGTCAAATAGCAGTCATACTGAACCTAAAGAGCCACAGTCACGGCCAGAACGACAAAATAGCCAAACAACAGAAAAGCAATCAAAGAGCGTTTTATCAAATATTATACCCAACATGGATAGAATACAGGCAGGCGGATCAACAAAATCACCAATTACCTCATTTAAAAATGATAAGAGAAGCAAGAGTGAGCGTGATTCGCAGCTGAAAGCACTACTAGAGCGAGAGAAGAAGGGCATTCTGTCATCAAATGATAAATATCGCCTTGCAGAGTTTAGAGCACTCGAGAACCAGTCGAGCAAGGGTAAAGAATGCAAGGTTCAATAGCTGGATGTATAAATACAACATTTGTAATAATAATTAACCTGTAGCTGAATAAATATGTAAACACAGCATTAAACAAATTACTCACGTCTCTTGGGATTTGATCGCGTTGATGATGTTCTTCCTCGGGTGGCTTTAGGCCGAGCGCTACCTGTGGATGTTGCTTTTGCTTTCTTTGGAGCATCTGCGGCTGCTTTAGCAGTTTTAGAACGTGAAGAGCGTGTATTGGTGTCATCCTCATCGACATCCTCGCCTTCATTCGCCAGCTGGACATGTTCATGCTCGTCGACCTCCTCGACATGGTCCTGCTTGTTAAATCGACCAATTGCGCTTCTCCTACGCGTACTAGATGGCCTCTTCTCTGATTTTGTAGCTATCTTCTGCTCACTATCTGATTCCTGCTCAGCATCCATTTCAGCCTCACTGAGACTAGATTCAGCCTCGTCTTCTGGAGTCGGTATCGGTGAGCCTAACGGAGAAGCGTCTTCTCTGGGTGATTTAAAAGCTCTACGCTGCCATAATTCAATAAATTCTGCATCGTGTGGTAATTCAAACGGCTCCACGGTTGATAAGAAGTCATCCTCTGCCAAATCCTGCAAGTGAAATGAGCGGGAGCTGATGACGATACGCAAATCCCACCTGATTGTCCAGCTCCTCTAAATTGTAAAGACTAGCCAATTTTGACCATATCTCATTCACGCCCACATCCTCTTGCAGTTCAATTGACATGCTGTGCTGCATTGCGAGCACCTGGAAGTGCTTGTGTACTCCAACTGGCCTCGCCTGCGCTATCGCTCTGTATAGCGCTATTTCGAAGTCCATTGAGGTATTATGGCTGGTGACTGGTGGCGGTTTGGAGATAACCATTAAATTTCTAGTTACTTTGGTATAATATGAATATTTACAAGAATTTACATAAATATCTTATTCTCTCCACGCGAGTGTATACCTCAATGGACATGCATTCGAAATTGAAACAAACCAAATTTCACTAAACTCTCCATTGCCCGTAAAGAATTCCACGGATAATTGAGTATGGCGCGTCAGGTGTGTACAACCCACAGCGTACAAACTCATCAAGGAAGAGTCTCCCAGTCACCCCAACGAAAATGGCTGTATAGAGATATCCGAGCAACCTTCTTTTCATCGTTGGAGTCTTCAAAGATATCGTATTCCCGAGTATCATAAACTCCACCACAATACCGACTGCCTGTACCAAGAAAAAGCAAAATTGTCCGAGGCCGAGTCCCGCGAGCACATACGCACCCATTGCATGACTTAGCCCTGTCAAACTGAAGGCAACAAGCATCTTTACGGGCATTTTTGCATACTTTGGGAACAAACTACCAATACTATCCCCGTAAAATTTTATTGACCGCCTGAACAAACCATGCCAACCAATCCCCCAAAGTCTCTGTATTGAGTAGGCCTCAGCCATGTTAAAAAACCTAGGCCAATCACTAGGATTGTTGAGTCCGATAACAACGCAGACTACCGATGTCAAGCTGTAAGCAAGATTGACGCAAGAAAAGGAACTGATGCCAATAAAGATCAAGTGAAAGACTTGCATGAGATATCGCTGTGAAGATATTGGCCTCAGTGTGAGCAAATCATAGGGTGGCGTATGCACGTATGTCTCAAACATGTCTAAAATGAGAATTTGTGTCATGACATTTGGCAGACGATCTGTGACGAACTGCCACCTAGTTTTGCGCCCCTCTTTTTCTATTTCCTGCTTATCAATACTCCTCGCCCATTTCCAGTGTATACCGCGTGGGTTAGCTATAAGTTCCGCTACAAATTTGAACCTTTCCCACAGACCCACTGGAGGTGGTTTCTCGTTGCCTTGGCTGTCCAACTTTACCAGAATCTTCTCAGAATCCACGCTAAGAAAACTTGTTGTCTGGATAATAGCGAAGATCTGCAAATTGCCAACAAAGTATGCAGTGAATGCATCTGGCTGGCGGAGGTATACTAGCGGGTATATTATGCTGGCAACAGACACGGGTATCCCAATCCATCGGCGCAGGTGGAGCGGGAGGAACAGAATACTTGCAACAGTCACAATGTAAGGCAGCTGCGTAAACCACGAAGGCGCAACTGGCTTCGAAGGATCTATTTCTGGCAATTGGGGAATTTTATGTCTCGTTAACCCTTCAGTAGAGTAAAAGTTCACGGTCATAGCTTAGAATGCAGTCATGTGATCCATGCATATTTAGGTGACTCAAATTATTCCTTGCACACAAGTTCGGTATGTTGATGAATGCGGATCTCAATCATGATCTTAATCAAAGTTGTTTTACCCACCCCGCAATCAGATCGCTCAAGTCACCCTGAAAATTTAAGAAAGTGTGGAGATAAGCACAGGGATGTTTTAAAGCGAAAATTAATACAAATAACCCCTATTTAAAATTCTCTTTAGCTCTTTGAGCATTTCAAGAGCTTTCTAAATACTTAAACCTCGTCTGTCCAGCTAATCCTGGTTTTTCCGTAAAACACCTTCAGATTTCGGAATTTTTCAAGTCGCGGAATAAAGATACTCGTTTGATATCCAGGTAGCACTTTAGAAGGCGTGGTCAATGAGATATATTTTATCCTGCTATCCCGCCAACCAGATCCGACTAAACGCGACTGGTTTGGCTAGGTACTCGGCAGATTGAAAACACGAAAACTGGCGCTAGAACAACAATAAGAGTATTATTGGGATGCTGAAAATCTAGATGACATATGAAGCAATTTTGATAAGTGAATTTCAACCAAAGTTCATCAAGCTGATAAGCCGCAGTACTCTCAGATCTGGACCACCACCATACAAAACAATTGTTTGAGCTGCGATAAACGCTGTCTCTACTCAAGGCTCATTAAATTCTAGTCATGTACTCTTCCGCTTCGTCTTCGAGAAGGCCTTCTTCGGTGTGTAAAATGCGGCGATTAAGCTGAGAAGTGCGAGTTAACACGCGCTTTCCAGGAATTCAAACTCCTCGATGCTGAGAATGGCCAAAACGACAGTCCTGCGACCACAAACCGCAGATTCGGTCCATCTTCTGCGTGGAAAAAGTGGGCTCTCGGTGCATCAGTAGCCCTGTTCGTAGTGGTTTTACTCTCTAGGGAAAATCCAGGCATTACTGTGACCAATTCTACTAGTCCTCTTTCTCTCAGTGCGTTTAAATGTTATCCCCCACAATCCCACTGACTTCATTCCGAAGGCGATCAAACCAATAATGATCAACTTAAAATCGAAAAGCCTAACTTCGATCTTCCAAATGCTGGTGTCCAGGATCCTCTTATCGATGTCACCAAAGACCAGTCCATCAAGCACGACGGCCCTTTCGCCGAAGCCGAGGCTAAGCTACCCGATCATCTCGACTACATGTCTGCCGATCAGACCTTCCCCGATTATAACGAGGAAGCGTCTTCAGATTCTGACTTTCCTACGAGCTTCGAGCAAGACAGTGACCCTTCCTCTTCAGTCGCATGTGATTCACCACATACAGACGCAGTAGCCAAAGGCAGGCCAATCGTTCAGTACGTCGTCATGATCGATGCTGGCTCTACGGGCTCCAGAGTTCACGCATACAAGTTCAACAACTGCCACAGCACTCCTCAACTGGAGTACGAGACTTTCAAGACGACGGAGAAGGGTCAAGGTTTGTCTAGCTTTGCTGGGAATCCTCTCGGTGCCGCCAAGTCTCTTGAACCTCTGCTTAACGAGGCTGTCAGGGTCATTCCAGACGAGTTGCACTCTCTTACTCCCGTCGCTGTGAAGGCTACTGCGGGCTTGAGAATCTTAGACACCAAATACGGCTCTAATGCCAGCAAGGAGATTCTGGACGCTGTTCGTAACCACCTTGTCACCAATTATCCATTCAGCGTCAGTGACAGACCGGGGGATGTCTCAGTTATGGATGGCAGTGATGAGGGTGTGTACGCTTGGATTACAGTTAACTATCTACTCGGGAGAATTGGTGCAGATGTCGACAATAGTGATACTCCAACTGTCGCTGTTATGGATCTCGGTGGTGCTTCTACTCAAATTGTCTTCGAGCCAATGTCTAAACAATCCAATGCGACTCCTTTAGCAGATGGTGACCACAGATATACTCTGACTTACGGTGGCAAAGAACACATACTCTACCAACACTCATATTTGGGTTACGGATTAATGCAAGCACGGAGATCAGTACACAACCTCGTCGCTTATCTCTACGAATTTGGTAATGTTTTAGTGCCATCCTGGGACAAATGGGACGAGAATGTCAAAGTACCTAACCCATGTATATCACGAGGTAGCTCTAAGGTGGTGACATTAGACCCACCAGGCAAAGCACCAGTGAACGTAACGATGGTTGGTTCATCGAATGGCTGGGATGCATGCAACAGAGTAGTAGAGTTGGTAATGGCGAAGGATGCAGTGTGTGAGGTACAGCCATGCTCTTTCAACGGTGTCTATCAGCCATCATTGATGGAAAATTTCGATGGGCCTTTACTCGCAATGTCATACTTCTATGATAGATTGTCACCACTTGGTATAAACAGCAAGTCTGCTTCATTTGCTAGAGGAGATATACAAAAAATGGCATCACATTCATGCAAAGGACAGCAGAATTGGGAGACGTATTGGAGCGGTAATACTGAGGCACTGGCAGTCCTTCACGACAAACCTGACATGTGCTTGGATTTGACATTCATGAATGGATTGCTAGGATTAGGGTACGAACTAGGACCACAAAGACAGATCGGTACAGGTAAGAAAATTGATGGTGTTGAGCTGGGATGGACATTGGGTGCATCGATCGCAGTTCTCGACGCTTCTTCGCTTTAGTTGTTTTACTTCTTTTCCTTTTTCTTTTTTTTTTCAATTCCTACTAGAGGACAATTGATTGCCATATACAAATCACAAATGACAGTTTTTACAGTTTTCACGTTTCTATTCAACTATCTTGTACTTTCTATTCATCTAACGTCATCAGTTGATATGCAATTGAGCGTGATCGTCCTGCTGGTAACAATATGCTCGGCAGTACAGAGCTTGGGTTTGACAATGCAGCGCAAATCACATATAGACAGTTCTAGTTGGTGGGTTGGTGGGTATATGCACTGACACATGTAACGCAGCAACGCAGTCGCAGCCAATGGCTTATCGGATTCACGCTTTATCTAGTTTTCAATGTTTTAGGAACTATCATACAGCTAGCCAGCTTGCCTTTGATAGTGCTTGCGCCGTTGGGAGCGATATCATTACTCCCGAATGTTGTCTTCGCGCGAGTGCTGCTTAAGGACAAGAGGAGAGAACTGCTTCAAGGGATAGTGTTGATAGTTATCGGAGCAACTCTGATTGCGTATCATTCAGATGTCACACCCGAGCAACACCTCAGCTACGATAGACTTATGGAGCTGTTTAACAGGAGTGTGAATCAGGCGTATCTCGCAATCCAATCTCTGGCAACACTTGCAGCATTAGGAGTTGCCCACATTTGGGATAGGAGTCGTACGCAGTCGGCAGCTGAAGCAACACCGCTGATTGGTGAAGATAGAAAAGCTCGATACAATGGACCGGCTGTTTTATTTGCATCGTGTAGTGGCGTACTCAGTGGAATGTGTTTACTACTGGCTAAAGGTGGTATTGACGGGATAATTGAAAATTCCGAGTGGAGGGTTTTGCTACACTGGCAGATTGGGCTGCTGCTTGCGGTATTAGCAATAGCAGCAGTGGTTCAACTCTATTACCTCAACCTAGCACTCAAATGCAGCGATCCATCGCTGATTTCTCCGCTGGCATTCTGCTTCTACAACGTCTCATCAATTTTGAATGGATTGGTGTTCTTTGATCAGTACTCGCATACTTCCACAACTGATCTTATGACTATATCAGCAGGTACAGTCACTCTACTCGTCGGAGTTTGGATTGTTAGTGGCAATGGAGACAACATGGATCAAGCGGGGAACTTGAGGAACTCAGGGCATTCGGAGTATTCGGAACATTTAGCGCATACAGAGCACCCTATTGAAACCAATATGCAACACTCCCCACCAATTTCCCCAATTCAGGGTTTTAGTATTGGGATCAGTGCCAATTCGCCTGGATTTGCTTTTAAAGAACAAACACGGCAAATCAGCTTAATTAAAAGTATTACGAACATGTTTAAAGCTAAATAGTTTTGTATTCTCATCCTTCAAATCACTCCGCGATGTCATTCGATAGCCGCAGGAAAGCATTACTGCGAAATCTGACTGAAGTACTTGATAAAGTGGGTAATCGATAAAGCTCAAATTTCATCCATCTTAAACGCCTTCAAGATCACCGGAACCAAGACGCTCATCCTCCATCCCGATCTGGCTGGACCGCTAGGATTAATAGCCCAAGTTTCAACACTTAAGGTGGGGAATTAGCACTTTATCGATGTAATTAAACATCTACACAGCATCACGGCGTCGATAAGCTTTTCTGGCTCGAGAAAGGCGTACTGAGGTCATCGACTACCAACCTCGTTTACTTTAGCAGACCAAGCGTCGCAGCGAATAGTTTAATTATACAGCAGATTCTACAATCTTCAGATGAATACCATGAGTACTTCATCATTTCCATTCCATCATCCACAAAACTCCTCCAACGCCAATTGAGCGACGCAGGCCTGCTCGATACAGTCACGCTGCTAGAATTTCAATCTGGCTTTATCCCTATAGAGGATGATCTATTGTCTTTGGAATACGAGAATAGCTATGTCGATTACTTCCTCAACGGCGATTCTAGCTTATTATACGACTCTAGTACAGCTATTTTAACCTTAGAAAAAGAGTTTGGCGCGTTTCCCATCGCTGTGGGCAAAGGTAAAGCAGCAGAGGTGCGTTTTTGGCTTATACAAGTCTACACTTTCCACACGCTCACGCCGCCAAGGAACTCATTCCACTGATAAAGAGGCGAAGAATGGAAGAACATCTTTTGCACTCTGATAACAAGAGGGAAGTAGAGAATCTCAATCACGCGTCTAGCACGTTCGACGCTCTCGTCGTTGTCGACAGATCAACAGATTTGATTACACCAATGTGCATTCAACTCACCTATTTAGGGCTGATCGACGAGTATATTGGAGTTAAAAACGGTTAGATGGCTTTGCTGCTCTTAAACCACACTTACATCATCCCAGCACATGTAGAAGTAGATGCGTCTTTGATAGAGGGCACCCAGCCCAACAACACACCTTCCACGTCCGCACTCAGTGCAAAGAAGAAGAAGAAACATCTTTTATCGACATTTACTGATCCCGTTTACGAGGAGCTACGCGACATCAATTTCTCGCAAATAGGCGTATACCTTAACAAGATTGCTAAAACTATTGATCAGAGGTATAAAGTGGGTAGAGTATTTGTGATGGGGTAATGTACTAACAAATACATTAGGACAGACACACCGCCAATACCGTCAAAGAAATTAAGGATTTCGTTGGCAGGCTTGGTGGTTTGCAGTCAGAGCACCAGAGTCTGCAGTTACATACTGCCCTATCTGAGCTGTTGCTTGAGTTTACCAAGAGCGATACTTTCGGCGCAGTACTTGAAGTGCAACAGAGTATGCATCGTTTATAGTGTACACCCTAATGCTAACGACAGCCATATAGATCTATTAGCCGGGTACGAATTTCAATCGCAGATTTCAGCCATCGAGGGACTGATATATGAAGAGGCTCCAATACACAACGTACTCCGCCTGATAGTCTTAGGTCACATTTGTGACGGCAACATCAAGAGCAAGACTATGGAACAACTCAAAGGGGAAATTTTGCAAGTAAGTATTTGCTGCATATTAATTCTAAATCTCAATTAAAATTTCCAGACATACGGATACCAATACCTAACCCTACTTATTACCCTAGAAGAGCATATCCTCGCACACAACCACTCTTTCTCGCAGATACGCAAATATTTCGCACTCTTTGTCGAGGATGTCAATGAGGCCAAACCGAACGATATTAGTTACGCTTACTCGGGTTACGCACCATTGTCGCTAAGGATAGTGCAGTGTGCAGCTCAAAAGTCAGCTGTAAAGAGCCCCCTACCTGACTCCACAATTCAATCCAAGGCTAACAACATTGATTCTTTTGGTGGATTCACTGATTCACTCAAGTTTGTCAAAGGTGGTATCGTACAAGACAGATTCGATGGTTTACCCAAAGAGGACAATGGTGGTATGAAAAAAACCCTAGTCTTTTTCGTCGGTGGTGTCACATTCGCTGAAATTGCGGCATTAAGATTGATGTCTAGTCAAATTAAAGGTTTGTATGGTGCTCATAAGACCTAATGAAACTAAACACTCAAATAGACCGCGATTTTGTCGTCGCTACAACTGATATCCTGAACTCCAAAACACTCCTCACACAACTTTCAAACAGCTAGAAAATATGTATGCTATGTGATGTTTATATGCCTTGAAATTTAAAACTTTATAAATAGTTGAAAAGAGGTGGTTGAAAAAATTATCCTTTATGTAACTTATTGTGCTTACGTTGATTGAAATTGAGTGAAACTTATACATAATGTTCGTCAGCTCGTATCAGAGGAAAGGTACTTGATTCATTTCCCTTGTTGCTAAAATATCCTCATCAAAGTCATCTTCCATCTCCTCTCCGATTGACGTAGTCGATCTCTCGCCCATGCTGTTTGACTTGTTGACAATACCTGAGTTATTAAAAGTAAGATCATCCACGTCATTGGTATCATATTCATGCTCCTCCTCGTCGTCGTCTTCGTCTTGGTCGTCATCACTATCTTCATCCTCCTCCTCCTCCTCCTCAGATAAAACAAAATCAGATACTGGGGAAGTAGCTCTACTAAATCTGGCGTCAGGTGACGATGCTCTACTCTTTCTACTCTTCTTTTCTGGGTCGTCTTGAGCGGTGCTTATTGGACTAGTAGCAGTACTCCCTCTTCTACTCAAACTCGATGCTAGAGAGCTAGGCCAGAACATCCCCAACTTCGAAGTAGTACTCTGATCACTGCGTGTGCTGAGTGCTGGGCTAGGTGGTGACAAATCAGGTAGCTCCACATCAGGTATGGCCGGCTTCCAGTAGTTGAAATCTGTGAAAGCAGGCTCAAATGCGTTGTTGATAGACGGGAACATTTGGTCTACCAAATCTGTCATATGAATGTAGGAGGATTTATATCCTGCCAATTCCAGTAACTCCATCTTCACTTCACCGAAACTATCGATAGTGAATATCCTAGATGACGGGACATTCACTGATCTGTATGACATGGCATCTGTAATACGGTTACCGAAACCAGCATAAAAAGGATTCTTCTTATCAAATACTCTCTGTATATCCCGCAACGCTGCCATTTTGAACACTTCAGGTTTACGCATAATCACTTCGCGGTGGAGTGACGCCATCAATCTATCTGGTGACATGATAACTGGACCGTCAGGTAGCTGATGATCTTTTTGTCGGATCCCTTTCAAATATTCCCGCGTTGTGTCAGCTTGGCCTATTGCTCGTGATGTTAAGTAGAGTATTTGGTAGCCGTTTTGAGCTATGTCGGTGTAGAGTTTCGCGACGCCGATATGCGTCCAGTCACGACCTATCATAGTGAACACATGTCCCAAAGTATCAGATCTGTTTCGCGTTAATATTAAAAAAACAAAGGATTGACGAGGTTCTCTTACGCACTTTGTTATTGTACCGTCGATATCAGATATTACAACCTGGTCCGTAGAATTCCAGTAGAATATTCTAGCAGTAGCCATAGCGACACCAGAATAGCTACTGTTGACGGAGAAGGTGATGTTGTTTACACCTTTCTTCAAATTAAGTGACTTGAGTTGATTAGAAGTGAGACGTAATGTTTTAGCGTAGTGTTTCTTATCCTTTTCCGGTGCAGCTTGTTGATTTCGTGGTTTTTGTTCCTCATTTTCATTCTTTTGCGCTTGAGATGCAGCCGTTGCAGCAAGATCAGGATCAGACTTTGCCTTTGACCACCACCTCGACCAGCCACTTTCACTCATTCGTGGTTGATGCATAGGTTTCTTACTAACATCTACATCAGTGTCGTCTTTATGACCGGCGAAAATAGGTTCAATTAAAGATCTTCTGTAGATAGCCAACGATGCAATGACAGGTGCTGAGGAGAACCAATCGAGGTAGCTATTGTTGTACCTACATACCAATCCCTTGCTATCGACGATATTCACATCACTGATAAACTTCTCGAAAGAGATTTTGTTCTTCTCGAACTGCTCACTGTCGATTTCGTCCTGTTTGTGATTGAAAACTGCTATTTCGAACACATGCTTGACATTCTCCATCTCGAGTACAAACTGATGTTGATTTTCACCGCATTTCAATGTTGGTCTTGGTTTGGATGCACTGGTGCTAGCGTTGTCCTCAGATTTAGTCGGTATGTGGTTAAAACCAAGGGATGTTTTCTCAACAGCAGGTGTAGCTTGTGTTGAACGTGTTGGGAAACCACCCCATTCCCATGTGTATTCTTCTTCAGGAGGTTGATTGGAGTTTGTTTTGGATAATGACAAACCATGTAGACTATTCTTGAGCTGCTCAACATCAAAATTATCTTGATTAGGTGCAACGTAATTGTCACTGCCATTATTTATAATATCCTGGTCGTCGACGCCATCTATATCATCAATATCTTTGTGTGCCTTGTGCCTCTGCTTAGTTGGAGCAAGAGAAAAGTTCTTCCCATGTGCAGACGTCAGTAAATCATAACCAAAAGTCGCCAAAGCGAGATCCTCAGGTGTACGACTACCCGATCTCTCTTGCTCGACGTCGCGATGCAAAGCCTCTCTAACCGTATCCGCTTCAGGTTCAAATTCACCACTACGATTGTCTATATCGTCATAAGAGTCCTCGTTGGACTGCTTGTATCCTTCTGAATCAAGTACGACGTCATTTGCATATACAACGGAAGGACCTTTAGCTTCGTATTGAGGAAGGTACTTATCGGAAGGCTCTTCGTCCCTTTCGAAAGTGTTGACGTCTAATTTCGAAGGTTGCGACCGCTTGAGCTTACTTCCGGGGAAATTGCCGACTTGTGCAGCGCCGCCAACGAGAGCGGTACCGACTTTAGAGACGGCGGAGGCGGCGTCATGAATAACACCGGAGCCTTGGTTGTCGTCTTTGTTGTTATCGTCAAGTTGAGATTCGTTGGGGTTAAGGGTGAGTGGCTCGGGTTCTTCAGGGGAGTCTAAGTCGTGGATGAGGTTTTGATCTATAGCCTGAGGTAAGGGGCTGACAGGTACGCTGTTTTCATTCTGATCAATCGGAGAAATGATTGGGGATGTCTGTAAGTCCTCTGGGACATCAATATCCGTTTCAAAGACGAAGAAAGCTTCACCAGCATCACCAACTTTCATAGAATACTCTATAGGTGTTTCTGAGTCATTCAGGTGCAGCGTAACCTGGAAAAAACTCAATAAACGCAATTCACTGATACGAAATCCAACCAACCTTCTTCTCAGCTGCTCTGAGTACACTGAGTTTACCGAATCTAACGTGAAAAGGAGTACACGCTAGCTCAATTCCATCTGGTTCCTCTGGATTATCCCTTTGTACAACGATAACGTCAATTGCACCAGTCAGCGTCGAGGGATTTATATCTTTGTAATAATTCAAAGCTGATGTTAGAGCTCTGGCGACGAAAGCCATAACTTGTGCGTTTTTGGGTATATTACAATGACGGTTGCTGTTGAAAGGTGCTTATCGCACGGGAAATTAACCGACAAGATTCATTTAAGAACGTGCAAATATATTTTGTATTATTTCCTTTGATGGCGTTTCAATACATTTTCAAATTCTCTAATTTCCCGCGTACCCGGTTTGACAGTTGATTCACCGGATATCCTGTCAAACCATGTCTCATACGTCATTTGGCAACTTGAACGACAGTATACGCAGTTCAGGCAGTGTTGACAGCATCCACACGCTATAAATATTTTATGCACGTCTTACCTAATTCGTATCTCTTTGCGCTGTCGTGTATTAATCAAAAATATTTTAGCTGTACAATGGAACCTTAAGTTGCTATAGAAATAAAAAACGTGGACAAGTAATTCTTTTTCTTCAATGTAATACTATTTTTGGCAGAGCATTGAACTGCTGTATTACGTGAAAATTTGCTGCGAATATTAAACGAGTTGATGTAATTACGCTTTTACTTATAAAGCGACGCTTAAGAAACGTGATGTTCAGCTGTTTGTCCTGTTAATAAACCCTCATACGACATCATCTACCCAACTCACTTTGATGTTGAACTTGAATCTTGACAGGATCGAATGGGTTAGATCCATTTCCGCCATTAGCTGGCTGCTCTGATCTATACAGCGACTCCTCGTCATCCTTGTCTTCTGTGTTGTACGAGTTCTGTCCATGATCGTTGAGTTGCTCTTCATTGACATCTGCAAGTGTCCCGACAAAGTCTGTTGAGAACTCATTCATTTTGTAAGATCCGAATGTCGTTGTTTGAGGCTGTGCTGCATTTCCGCGACGGTTAGTTCCACCAATGGTAACAACTGGACCTGGTCCGCGCGAATTGGATCTGTCCTTTGATGATGTCGATCCTGCACCAGTGGTATCGTCAAGAGCGCGTAATGAAAGAACCAATCTGCAACCCCTGTTGATTGTGTCAGTGTGCCGTTGTGTCTCGGCTGGGTGAGAGACACTCACATAATCGCTGTAAGGGCAATTGCTAGGGTTGAGTTGGCTGCCTTGATATTGTCTGGTGTGACCAAGTAGCTGTGAAATAATCAGTCTTAGCCCTTGCAAGCTCGATCCTTTTCCAACTTACAACTGTACGTGCCTTAGTTTCAAATGTCTTTTGGAAATTAAAGACGACTCACAATCATGTTTATCAGGTTAATTCCGAAAATAATAGAGAAATAGAGCAATCCGTCTCTCAAGAATACCTTTGCGATCTTGGACCTCGAATGGGCACGATTGAGCGCGAGTTTAGCAATCGTCATCAGAACGACAATTGCGTCAAAGATAAGTGGAACAATCCAATAGGCGGTTGTGAGCGGGTGTGTACCAGTTGAAATGCAACCCATCTCCAGCGTACCAAATCCTTGAGGGAATTGAACAGGTTCATAGAGGGCAGCCGCAGCGGCCATGATGGCTGCTTCGACTAATAAACAGAATAATAGCGGAATTAGAACGTATAATTTCTGTGATCGATGATAAGCTTTGTTCCTGCGGACGTTACTCATTGCGCACGAACCTTTCCCCAAAGTGCCCAAACACGGATAAGAAGAATGGCTTCAGTTGAAATGACAGTAATGAGCGCAATACCCTAAACATCGTGTTAGAGGCTTTTTGTGCTGCGGGATTTGGACCGACGGGTTCAATTTTAGCATAGGTTTCACACTGTGAATCAGATAGATACTGGTAGTGGAAACCGAAAGCTGTTTCTTGTCAATGCCGCTGTGTTGGTATATCTTTAACCCACTAATCAAAGTAACTGAGATGACTGCAGAGTATCGGGTCTTTTTGAATCAATTAGTTAGTTAATGCAGTTAATAAAACCACATACAATGAAATAAAGCACTTTGACAATAGACCAAGGTGCCTTCCATATTCTGCGGTACTAACCGAATATCAGCGAACGTTCTGGGACAATGCTATATAGTTGAGTCACCTCTAAATGGATGGTGGTGAGAATATCCCACAGAAGCACGGCCATAGCGGCCGCGTCGTACGCTCTGAGAGCGTTCATTTGAAAACGCCTGGCGAATCAAGTTAGATAGCGTCTTCTTTTCTTAAAAACGCAACGAACGCAAGATCGAGCGCTGGAGGCACAGTATCAGCCATCAGTTTACTTTTTCGGTGGTGAACGTCTTGAATGAACCTTGACTGGTATTTGGTTGTCAAAAGGATAGGGTACTAAATTTGGTGACAAGATCGCGGAGCTACGGCTGCGTGATTCAGAGGACGCTTTGGCCGCGACTGCAGTTAGTAGCTCATACGTCCTTTTCCAGCTTAAAACAACGCCCTTCCCGGCATCACATTCATTCGTTCATTTGACAGTTTCTGTTATCACATTCCTTTTGGAGGAAAATTTTCGGCCAATTCGAACGTACCTAGAAAATATAAAAGCGTAAACTTCTCTTTCAGGATAACCATATCATATACAATAACCAAGTTGTGAACAAGATGGCGTCAGATCCGCAAATCAAAAACTCAAACGTAGACGTACTAATCATCGTGGGTATCCGTGCATGATTGAGGGGTCCTTCTAACATATCTTAGGGAGCTGGTCCTGCTGGTGTCATTGCCGCTGACTGGCTCGCGAGATTCACCAAATACGGTGTTAAGACAAGGGTGGTGGACAAGCGCTCGCACAAAGTCTTCACCGGACAAGCAGACGGACTCAACCCGCGCTCTATTGAAATGTTCCAGTCTTTCAACATTGCAAACAAGATCGTCAGTGAAGGTGGGTTATGCATGCATAGTATGACAGCTCGGCTAAGACGTCTCAGCGAACCCGATGAATGAGGTTTGTTTCTGGGCCCCAAATGAGAGCCATGGTGGTATTGAGCGTGGTAGACGTATTCCAGATACCATCCCTGGTATATCAAGATACGTCCAGTCTGTCCTCCACCAAGGTAGAATCGAGAGACACATCCTCGACGACATGAACGAAAAGAGCAATGGTACAATGAAGATCGAGCGTGGTGTGCTTCCCGAGACGTTGGAAGTCAATGAAGAACTCTGCCAAGACGACAACGCGTACCCAGTCAAAGTCGGTATTCGCCAACTCTCAGAAGAGGAATCACGTCCAAAGCTAGGCTCAAAGAACGGTGAAGTAGAATCTGGTCTCTACAAGTCAAACCTCGTCAAGGATGAAGACGATGACGTCGAATTCAAACCAGATGTTCCGGTCGGCGACAGAGAAATTATCAACGCAAAGTATGTTATTGGTGCAGATGGTGCGCACTCGTGGGTGCGTCGTCAATTAGGATTCAAGATGCAAGGTGAAGGATCTGATTTCGTTTGGGGTGTTGTCGATGGTGTTCCAATCACAAACTTCCCTGATATCCGCTGCCGTGCTGCTATCCACTCAAACGCTGGTAGCATGATGATCATTCCACGCGAAGGTAGCCTCGTTCGTCTGTACATTCAGCTCAACTTGCAAGTGGACGAGGGTGGACATGTCGACCGTAGCTTGATCACACCAAAGATGCTGATGGACCAAGCTAAGGCTGTGTTCCATCCATACTCGATCGAGATTCCTGATATCATGTGGTACACCGGTTACCAAGTCGGACAACGTCTCACCTCGGAGTATGCAAAGAATGACCGTGTTTTCATCGCCGGTGACGCTTGCCACACGCACTCTCCTAAGGCCGGTCAGGGTATGAATGCATCCATGGCTGACACATACAACCTGTGTTGGAAAATTGGTCATGTCTTAGCTGGACACGCTCCACGCTCCATTCTCAAAACATACGAGAGCGAGAGACGTCCATTCGCGGAGCACTTGATTATGAACGATGCCCAACTCGCCAAGCTCTTTTCAGGAAAGCCATTGTCATCAGCTGAGCTTAATGAACTTGGTGTCGACATGAAGGACTTTGAAAACATTCTCGAGAGAGGAATTTCATTCTTTTTGGGTACTTCTATTGAGTACTTCAACTCCACTGCCACCGCCAACGGAAGAGACGGTAGACTTTCATCGAAGCAGGAGCTGGCGAAGAATATACCAGTCGGACAACGTTTCCCCTCTCACCAAGTCGTCTCGCAGTTCGACGGCAGACACTACCACTTAGTCGACACCATGTTTGCTGATGGACAGTTTACTATTGTGTTATTCGCAGGCAATATGGACAAACAAGTAAACCGTCAACGTTTGCAAACCATTGCTCAACGTCTCGACAGCGATGATGGCGTAGTGAGCAAGTATACACCTAAGGACAGACAAAGAGATGGCGTGATTGACGTCAAGACAGTCCACTGTGGAGGCAGAACGAACATTGAAGTGCATGAGTTCCCACAACCAACTATTTACCCACCAGGCACATACAACAAGCTCTACGTCGACGACGTTTCCTACCACGCAGGTCACGGAGAGGCTTACAAGAACTACGACATCAGCAAGGAAGATGGTGCTGTTGTTGTTGTGCGTCCAGACCACTTTGTCGGATTAGTTACCTCGCTCGACGGTGCTGGTATGGATGATGTCGACAAATACTTTAGCGGATTGCTCAAGACTGTTCCGGCAGAGCAACGCAACTCGGCAAAGGATATCAAGGTTATTCCACAACCTAAAGTTTAAAGATGGAATTCAAGGATTCATAGATTAGCTTATTTTCAGGCTTGGATTTACAGTGATTAAACAATCACTTTACTCTCTTTCATTCAAAAATTTTCATATCAATTATTTGTAATATAACATACCTTTTAGAAGATATCAACACACATAAGTGGTAGTTTTTATAAAAGAATAATTATGATGGTACACTGGTAGAAATTAATGGAGTACATCTCTTGCGTATTTGGCCTGCCAATAGCCGAAAGCAGTTGCTAATCTCAGTAAAACGGGAAGAGGGATGATTAGAATGATGGAGAGGGGAACAATAGTAGCTGAGACTATGAGTAGTAAGAGAGCGATAGGGGGTCTGAAGCAGAGGAAATATAAGACAGATCTGTAGCTGTATGAGTCTTGAAACATAGCCAAGCTGTTGGTATAAAAGGAAGATTCGTATTCGACGTGACCAAACGGTCTAACGCGGCGAATACGCTGGAATATTGGTCTTTTTCGGAGTAGCTGCGTAGTGGATGGATAAAAGTGATTCTGGATGACAAGTTCAAAACGAGCCATTGCGCGTGCACCGACGAGAACGACCCAGCCAAAACCCAAACCGATTGGGAGTGTGATGAGAAGGCTGGCAGTGATGACGCTCCCGACGAAGCAGAAAATCCACGCAAATAAAGCGAGCGGGAAGGAAATGAGAGAAAGATGTAGGAGGGCTTTCCACTGATAGGGATTTAAAGTACCAGACCAGTACCTCTTCCAAGTGGATCGATCGTCGTCCACGTCTGCGTCTAGAAGATGAGCGTTCTCGTCATAATCGTCGTAAGGATCGTAGTCGCGGTATAAATCCTCGGAAGCCCTTGGAGTGACTGATGTGGAGGCTTCTGCGGTGGTTTCCCTGGAGGCGTCTCTAGGGCCATCTGTGCCCCCATCGTATGGTGGTGGAGGCGTATCTAAAATACAAAAAGTTCTGTCATCGCCTGCGTTTAGATAGAGCAATTTGTTTTGGCTTTGAGGCTGAGCCATTGATTGAGCGACTTCAACCCCGTTTCGAATCCGGCATCGCACAGTTTCATGTGAAAAAATGTCCAGAAATTAAAGGATTTACGTTGTCATTGTCAATAATCACTTGCGAAAAGCCCACAATTTAAGCACACAAGTCAAGTAGTAGTCAAATCAGATTTATGTTAAAGCAATGGCTCTGTCAAATCTTCTGCTGCTTCTGATGTCTTCTTTAACAAATTATATTTTACTAAGAAAAGGCCTTATCGACGATGAAACGTTTAGACTGGTGTTATTTGTGAGAATGGGTGCAAGTGGCTGTATAAAATTCTCACCTGGATTTGGCACTACGAATTGCGTTTCAAGAGTCCTCAGCAGTTTCCTCGTTTTCAACTTGTCAATCTTCTGATCTAACACATTCGTTTGTTCTTAAACCCAAGCTTAATTCTTCGAAACTCTAAGATGAGTTCCGGGGCAGGTGATAAGTAAAATCGACCGAGGAAACAAGAAAGAAGTTGTACATCTTTTATAGCGGGAGGAAATAACGAAGCCTAAAAATTTTGATCGGAAGTGGAAAATAAGTATAAATGTAGGTTGTAAATAATACACAGATTTACACTGGTCTACGCCCCTGTTCGATTCCTGGGAAGAAAAGGGGCTACCGGTGACAAACGAGCCCCATGACGACGACATGCGCAGCCGTAAAAGTACTTGTTTGATATCATGGACTTGTGCGGGAGAACCTCTTTTTTGTCCAACATCACTAAAACAGTTAAATGGCAGGAGAAAGATTAATAAATTCATTAAGAATTCACAACAGAGTGTAGGATTTCTTCAGGCCTAAGCGCTCAATCGTCTTTACCGGCATACAGTATACTGGATCAACGCGTTCGATTTCGGGGTATCCGAGCATTGAAAGGCCTGGGGAGGAGTGAGCGGGTGTAAACAGTAAACATACCACACCAACCTGCTACACCGAATAGGGTATGGAACACGTCAGACACATCACCGGGTCTATCTGCTATACCACCGCAATCTGGATCCTGTGCGCTGAGTATGAATGAAATTAGCTTGTCTTTGTTTATCCAGTGAAGTCTGTGAAGGATACTGAGAGCAGAGAGCACCCACCACGAGTAGCAAACCTGTTTTTATCGTTAGATAAGAGTGAAAGGGAATTTCAAACGTCTCACATCTTCCTGCTTCTGTGGACGGCCATTGAGGCCACCATTCTGGACTTGTCTTTCCGACAGCCACCAGCTGAGGTTGTCTGTGTGTATGATATCAAGTCTGTCTATAATGGCTAGTGCGGCGACAGCGGTAAATACTGTGTGTGCTGTGTGTTAAGCTGGTTCACATAGAAACATCCCTCTCACCTTGGCCAGAGTGAGTTTCAGCGCCAATGTTGTTACCGAAACCGCCATCGAAGTTTATGCATTGAGTGAACCAACTAACTATCTTTTGTTTAATTGAAGTGCCCGATTCTACTTGATCTAGTCTGTCTAGTGCGCCCAACAAACTCAAAGTGCTGATAGCGCAGTATGTAAATCTAGTATCAGATTCACCCCACTCGTCTCCGGTGAAAAAGCCTTGATTGGATGGTCTTAACTGGAGTATGTAATCGACGACCTTGCTAGTGTCTATTTTAGCCTCCTCAACGGCATCCAAGGTAATTAAGATCTGTATCCCAGATAAAGTGGACAGTATATGTGTATCGTGGTTGGGATGGCTGCTAAAGCCGCCATTGCTTGAATTCCAGCAATTTCCAACGTATTCAATCACCGCGCTTCTATCCAACGCGTCTATTCTACCAAGTAAAGATAATGATGTTATAGCCCAGTAAATTCCATTCAAACGGAGGTGCTCTGTCAGGTGATACGATAGTGTATTCTCCGCTCTCCCCAGGTTCACGATATACTCCACGTGTTTATCTGCATTTAATTTCGCTGTACTCTCACTCATCCACGCTGATGTCAGAATTTAACAAGTCTTGTGATATTTCCAACAATTCCTCAAAATCCTCGAATAAATCTTCCCTTAACATACACGGCCTTCCTAAGAAGAAGTTCTATAGGCAAAGAGCTCATGCGAATCCTTTCAGCGATCATCACCTACAAGTCCCTCTCCACCCTTTGCACAAAGACTGGTCCACTCATTTCCCTGCTTTTTCTGATTCAAATGCACGCGTTGAAATGGCAGACGTTGGCTGTGGCTTTGGTGGTCTTATCATTTCACTCGCTCCAAAATTCCCCAACTCTCTCATCCTAGGTATGGAAATACGCCCACAAGTTACGCAGTATGTGTCCGATAGAATAGTTGGCTTGCGCAATTTGGCCAAGACGGGCCAGATTGATGTCCCCGATAAGCTCCCCGATCAGCAGCAAGGTAGAGGCGCATACGAGAATGCCTCCGTAATAAGGGCAAATGCGATGAAATTTCTTCCAAACTTTTTCCAAAAAGCTCAACTCAAAAAGATATTCTTTCTCTTCCCTGATCCTCACTTCAAAGCGCGCAAGCATAAGGCGAGAATTATAACGCAAACGCTGCTTTCCGAGTATGCCTACGTGTTAGCACCGAATGCCACGCTTTTCCAGATCACTGATGTACCCGACCTCTTCAGCTGGATGCAAATGCACCTGGAAAAACACCCTCTGTTTGAGCAAATTCCCGATGAGGAGCTCACCACAGAGGACCAAACCGCGCTCAGCTGCGTCAAGAGTGAGACTGAAGAAGGCAAGAAGGTCACGCGTAACGGCGGTGGCAGACAATGGGCGACTTGGCGTCGAATCCCTGATCCACCTCTCTAAACTTGTACCCTAGATTAGCGCCTTTAAATAGTGTCTTAGATTAGTAAATTAGATGATTCATTGATTATAGTTGTATGGCTTGGTACTTATATTCTGCTTCGCAACTGAATTTGCCCTAATGACGCCATTTGCATTCCTATCGTCTTAGCACGGAGGACCGACGAGTTGCCGAAGAATCATCACCACGACACGCACCACTCACATCGAAATGCTCATGTACACAGACAGCAGCCCAGACGACAAGATGCAATTCAGCAGTCGGCGATCGACAGTGCACTCCCGCCGGGGTCTAGTGAGTACATCGCAGCCACTAGCGAGTCAAGCGGGGGTGAAGGTGCTCGATCTGGGCGGAAATGCGGTAGATGCAGCTGTAGCCGTTGCAGCCGCCCTCAACGTGACTGAGCCAAGCTCGACAGGCATTGGCGGGGACATGTTCCTTCTCTACTACGCAGCGAGCGAGCGACGAGTGTACGGCTTGAATGGCTCTGGCCATTCTCCAGCCGCGCTCACCCGCGACAAGGTCCATTCTCTCCGTCTGCACAACGATGCAGGCACCCTCCCATTCGACTCGATTCACTCTGTCACAACGCCAGGCGCGGCTGCCGGGTGGTGCGACGCTGTGGAGGCGTTCGGGTCCCACACCCTCACTCTCCACCAGATACTCGATCCTGCGATCCGCCTTGCGCGTCATGGGTACCCCGTCCACGAGCTTACGGCGGCGCAGTGGCGCCAGGCCGAGGAGCAACTCCAGCGCGCTTCTCCAAATGCCCACGAGATGCTCCTCGACGGACGTGCGCCGCGTGAGGGCGAGATCATGTATATGGTGGGTGCACTTGCAAAAAATACTGGCATGTCTCACTTTCTCACAACTCAGCCCAACCTCGCGCGCACATTCGAAGAGCTCGCACAGCACGGCAAAGACGGTTTCTACAGGGGGAGAGTAGCGGACGAGATCGTGGGGCTCGTGGCGAGTCGCGGTGGGCTGCTCTCGCACTCCGATCTCGCCGCACACCGCAGCGAGTTCGTCGAGCCGCTGACATACACGTATGCGGGCGAGTATGTGGTGCACGAATGCCCACCTAATGGCCAAGGAGTAACTGCGTTGATAGCGCTGGGTATACTTGAGTCATGCGAGCGTCTCGGCCTCCTGTCAGCTCCGCTGCTTTCTCTCCCCCACAACGGCACAGAGTACCTCCATTTCCTCATCGAGAGTCTCCGGCTGGCGTTCGCAGACTCGAAGCGATACACGTGCGACCCCACCTTCTCCACTCACAACACCTCCACTCCCACTCCACCCTTCGATTACACCAAGCTACTCGCGCCCGACTATCTGGATGCTCGCGCCAGGTTGATTCACCCGCACAAAGTGAGCAGCGTGCAGCACGGGGCACCAGAGCACTCCTCAGACACTGTTTATTTCACCGTCGCTGATGAACACGGCAACGTCGCCTCCTTCATTAACTCCAACTACGCAGGTTTTGGCACGGGTGCTGTGCCCCGTGGATGCGGTTTCACCCTCCAGAACCGCGGCGCGGGTTTTGTGTTAGAGAAGGGACATCCAAACGAGCTCGATGGGGGGAAGCGTCCTTACCACACTATTATACCGGCTATATGCACGCTTAAGAGCACCAACGATATCTTTCTCAGCTGGTCCGTTATGGGTGGCTTCAATCAGCCACAAGGTCAATTGCAGACTTTCTTGAACATCCTTAGAGGCCTTTCGCCTCAGGAGGCTGTCGATAAGGAAAGGTTCTGCATCGGCGCTATCAAGCAGGCTAGAACTCCTAATCCCCCTGTCCCGCTCAAGCAATCCGCACTGCAGGGTCAGATGCACGATTCAGATATCAACACAGAAGTTAATATGGAGGAAGGCGTCGATGAGATAATCTTGGAAGAACTGAAAAGAATGGGTCACGATGTGACTATTGCGAGGAAAATGCAGAGACAGGTCTGTGGCCGTGGTCAGATCATTCAGAAGACTGCACACAATGTCTGGTCAGCTGGCAGCGATATGCGCGCAGATGGTTGCGCTATGCCGCAAGTCTGAGCTCGATTTAGAAAATGACCTATATATACTATTTAAAAAAGAAAACCCTGCCAATAATTTTATAATACTACTAATTACTGCGTATGTGTCCAGATAATGAGAATCAAATTGATGGCCCCCATCTACCACGTCTCAAAGTATGGATTACCTCCTTTGACAGTCTCCAAACGCTCGACAATTACCTTGCGAGTCTTGTATGGTGCTGGTGGCATCCTATGGCTGTTTGTGCGGTTGTAATGAGACGATGCGGCAGTATCTACCGAAAGTCTGCCAGGTCGCTGCTCCGATCTGTCATTACCAGATGCGTACGTTTTGAGCCATTCCTCGGCATTGCGTGCAGTACCGACATCTGCATCATCTCGCTCTACATTCACATTATTCACTTGCGTGTGATCCTGCTCGTTTGCGAGTTGGTGCATTGAGTGCTCCACTGCATCCAGTTGATCCATGTGTTGCAAAACGTCTACTCCAGATGCCGCTTCAAGACTCTTGGCATATATACTGGCTGACCTCTGTCTCGAAAATGGTACTGGACGGCTGTTTACACTCGATTGAGCTGGTGAATGTGGTGGTGTGATTGATGCTGAATGCGACTTGTCAAAGCTAGTCCGCACTCCACCATCCATTGACTTGGATTTTCTGCTGCTGTACTCATTGTGTCCAGGCAGTGACTTTATTTCATCATCATCATCGTCACCCTCCTCATCCTCCTCATGCTCATCCTCGGTATAGCTGTACCTCCTCTCAGTAATATCTTGCTCCTCCACTTCTTGATTGTCTGCGACGTCTATAATGTCATCCCATACTAGCACTTTCACTCTTCTGCATAACTCCAATGGACCTTCGTCGGCATGTCTGAGACTCTGCACAATGTTCCACCCTTGTCCTTTCACTATGGCCATCTGTCGGGCGAACATTCCTTCGTTGAAATCAGGATCCACTTCAAATACTTCCCTCAAAGCTTGCGTCGTCTCTGCCCACCACTTTGGATCACTCAACAGCGGTAAAAAGTGTCGCCTTGTTGATGCTGAGAATGGCTGTCCAATTAATGATACTGGAAGGAATAACCATCCATAGGTATAGGATCTCCATCCTTTCGGATGCTGATGTGGAAAACTCAACGAATTGTCGATAGCTGCTATACGAATACGTGGTCTGTTCTCCGGTATTGATTGCTTTGACTGTGAAAACGATGGTGTTGGTGCTCTTGGTATGTTTAATATCGATTGCTTGGCATCGAACTGATTATCGTCGTAAAATAATGATTCTTGAGGATTGCTCTGCTGATCCGGCACGTATGAAGTACTTTGTTGATTGCTTGTGAGAGGCGTTGATGGTCCTGACATCGAAGACACGTCGGGTACGAATGGTTCGGCGTTGCGTGTTGGTGGTCTATTAATAATTCCATTTATATTTGAATTGCGGTTGAGGGTTTGTCCTGGATCAAACTGTATCATCTAGAGTGCGTGTTAGTTGAAGAAGCGAGAGCATAGCCTAAACGCACAAAATTGTCAAGTCCTCTGTCAGTGTTGCGCATGAGGTAGTCTAAAATGACGAGTTTCTCTAATTCTTCTCTAAAGCTCTGTTGGAGTTCAGGCGTCCAGCTAAATGGTCTGTCAGTGTAGCTAGCACGTGGCTGTCTCGTTGAGAAGTAATCATCGTCATCATCGTCCAACTGAGCATGAACCTGCCATTCAGCATCAGCGTCTACGTCGTAGTCGAAAAGATCATCGTTATCGCCTTCTCTCCTACCACACATGACTTGTAGTGGCTGGCATCTCCAAAAATTGTGTGAACGCTTCTTCCTATTAGCTGCGAATGCGTCTGCGGAAGATCGACCGGGAAATGGATGTTCGGCGAGGAAGTTGGACGCGTCTCTAAATCCATGCATGAAAGTTTGTAGACTACCGATCTTGTCGGGTAGATGTCTGCCTTTCTTATGCCAAGCACGTCTGTCAGCCCACTCGTAGAAGAAGGAAGGGGAGGCAAGGTCGACTAATCCAGTGCGTGGTACGATGCCCAGTTCAAGTCTATCGTCCAGTACGGAAGCAGCAGCTTCGGATATATAAGATAAATTGGGAATCAAGCAACTTCTACCAAAACCGATCCACCAGAAGAAATTCCTATGAGCCCATTTCGTCCATTTTGGGTTTAGTTGACCGTATGGCTGAGACAATGTTAGTATTGTGTCATAATGAGTTGATATGAACGCACCTCTTCGTCTTTTGGTTTAAATACGCCTATAACTTCGACGTCATTGCTATTAAGCTTGCCTCTAACGAAATAACTTCCACTAGAGCCTTTGACGATCATTTTTGGGTGTAGCCCATCGTCAATGGCGTTTCTGACGCGCTTGACGAGCTTGTCGTATTCAGAGCGCGGAGGGAGAGTAGGAGGAACGTAGCTGCTATCGGAGGGGATTGGGGTGAATACGCTGGATAAGATTGGGATTGGAGGACTGTGCTGTCTCCTCGACTTCCTTGGCCGGCTTCTGAGATTGACCTTGTCGGAAATAGAAGAAGACCACGATTTGAGTGCAGTGTCCAAGCCATTGAGATCTATATTGAAGTTCTATTGGCCGTTAGACGTGCTTGCATTTCAGAAACCACCAACCTTGGTCGATCGCTGTGGCCTCGTTGACGATCCAGGCTCATCGATTGATTGCCGTAAAGGAGCATAGCTCATTTCTGATTAGATTTATTTATCGCCTTGAACACGGTGGTAATTGACAACAGCCGCCACGCAATCAATTGAGAAGGTAAACAAATTTCAGTAATCGCAACAATATCCATAATAATCTGTATCATTGACTCATTCTCATTCCCGGTTATTTACGCATTCCCACTCGTCTGGAGCTCATTTCTCACAAATTCGTCCTTTTGGACTTGAACAAAGCTTCTGTTTATGGCAAAAATCCCATCCTAATTCTAATATCGTGTTTTAAAGATATCTTTTCGACTTAATATCAGGGCTTTTCTTTTACCCAATGCACAACATGCTATCCCAAGCCAAATAAGAGAGCAACTAGTCACAGTAGATGTTTTGCTTGTGCATGAATCTCTTTCTCTGACTCGCATTATATCGATACTTCTGGGAAGTAGTGAAAATTTTCAAATTTTACCCTATCGAGGCGTGGTCATCGAAGCGTCATTCTTAGATGATTTTATAGATAGCCTTTAGTTTTGGTGCTCTTTCTCCATTTCCTAATCGAGGTTTCTTACATCGTTACGGACCAATAGTGGACAATACAAAAGCAAAAATAAGCAGTCACCACTTGACATACGAAATATGTCATATCTTAACTAGTTATGGTTTGATCTACCACCACAGTTCAATGCTTGGAATGTCACATAATCTTCTTTGGTGTCACATCAATCAGGATCTGGCATGCGGAAAGAAATAAGTGGTGTTGGGCGGCACAATGTATTAATTAGTGAGCGCAACATCCATCTGCGAGCGTAAATTGCTGCAAGAAGTAATCAAATTCGCGCATGATGCGCCTACTCTACCTATACACAATTACTACGCGGCGCTCATCCTCCCTCTTCAAGCACTCTCTTGGTAGCGCCGCCGTCGAGCTTAAACACCACTTTAAGAGCTGTCTTGCTTTGTATAGCTATCGGCGTGGCTTTCTTTGGAGAGACATTCGACACATACGACAGCTTTTCCGCAGGAGTGAACTACAATCTTTTCATTGCCGGTAGCTGCATGCATGCAGTACATCTCACTTTCACCAAACGCAGCCAGATCGACGCACCCAAAGGAAAATCTTCTTCCAAACACTCCTACGGTGATTTGGGATGGAGTGGCGCGTTCGAGATGCTCATCAAGTGAGTTAGTTTGCCCATTCATATCCATCTTCATCTGAACACTCCATAGCTTACGTGGAATGGGGATGAAGTGGGGAATGCCATCTTCGAAATTGCCCGCAGTATATAAACACTTCATTTCGGAAACGCTGCTTGAAATGCTCAAACATCACGTCATATATCTCACTGCAATGGCCGCTCTGACTCGCTTGAGTCAATACAATGCCAGTGATGTGATTGGGCGCGATGTTGCGATGACTTTCTCTTTGTGGTGCATTGCATGGTCTAGTCTCACTTTGATGTATAGCATGATCACCCTATGCGTCTACATCACCACTAAGCTTTGCGGAAAGCCCTTCGACAAAAACAGGTGGCCGCCCATGTTTGGAAATCCTATCGCCGCTGACAGTGTACGTACGTTCTGGAACAATAAGTGGCAGTGCATGTATAGGCGTCACTTCATGATTTGTGGATACGAACCAGTTTTCAATTTGATTAAGGCTTTGCGCATACCTGGAGACATACCACACTATTGCGGCCTCATAGGGGCCTTCACCGTTAGCGGTATCCTTCATGAGTACTGTGCAAGATCAACTTCGCGTACATTATTCATAGAAGAATTCCCTGCTTTCAAAGTATTTATAATGTAAGTATGTGTCTGTTTTACAGTCCTGACTAAAGTCTTAATGCAGCCACGCGTTGGTCATCATTCTCGAAAACGAGTTATACAAATTCACTGGTCGCAAAGTCAGCGGCATCTTTGGCAGCTTATGGACCTTTGCGATAGTTATATTCATCTCAAACCCTATGTGCAGATTTAATCTCCAGGGACTTGGCCCAATGCCGGACTTTGCGGAGTGGGACACATGGAGGTGGTTTGTACCTCTATCAGTATAAGCGGAGAATACCGGTTTAATTATTTCGGAAACACTTAAAATGCCGAAAATAATGTAATTGAAAAGGCAAGATCTACAGAATCTTTAGCACATAAACAAATTTCCAGGAAATCTATCAGCTCACAAATTTTCTGATATAATTCGGATATTCACAAAATTAAGATTTACTTAAGGCTGCTACAAGTTGCAAAAGCACATGTCGCACATTGAAGTGATAAGAAATTCATTTCTAAGATATCAGTAATTCTGTTTGTGTCAATGCAAAACGCTCTATTGCAAGCCAAAGAAGCATTCAATAACTTCAGGCAGCACCAATCGTTGTTATCTAATCATTTCTTCTAACTCACTGTATGTCTTTCGTACCTGAAATGTGAATCACGTCAAGAGCAACCTAAAAAGCAATAATCGAGCAAATTCACTGATTTAGGTTGCTAATCATGATATGAAATCCCAGCCGCCATCGCTTGATAGTCAGTTCGCTTTGTGCTAAGATTGAAAGACTGGAACACGTTATGAGGTGTGCTAGATTTTACATTCTAAATTACTTGAAACGCTTTGGAATTTATCCTAATTCCATTTGCAGTCACATTAATTAAGATCTGGTGTGCGCATCGAAGAAAATCAGCAAAACCGATCAAAATGCTGCAAGAACTTTTTCAGAGTTGCGCATAATGCACCTTCTTTCCCAATTTAAAGCTTTAACTCGGCACTCGTCTTGCCTCTTCAAGCCCATCTCCTGGTAGCTCCGCCATCGAGCTTCCACACAACGTTGAGAGGTGTCTTGCTTTGTATAGCGATCGTTTTTGCTGTTATTGGAAAGATTGTAGAATCAAGTGAAAACTTTGGCACAGAAATGAGCTTAAGCTCTACATTGGCGTCAGTTTCGTGCACTTAGTGCATCTCAATTTCACCACGCGCAGCCGCATCGATACACCCAAATGAGACTATTCCTCCCAACACTTCTATGGTGACTTGGGATCGAATGAGGTGTCCCTTTCGAGAAACTACCTCCAATCTATAAAAACTTCGTGTCGGACAATCTGCTTGAGATTGTGAGACATCATTTCCTATCCCTCGCCGTAATGGGAACATTCGCGCGCTTCGGTCAAGGTATGAACTATGGGTTATCTGCACGCAATATTGCAGTCGCTATCGCGATGGCTGGCCTCGCATGGTCAGATCTCGCTCTGGTATATAGTATATTCTACCTCTGAATTTACACATTCACTAAGCTTCGTGGTAAACTCTTCGATAAGAGAATATGACCGCCGATGCTTGGTGGTCCTCTCGCTGCTGATAATGTACGCACGTTCGGGAATAGCAAATGGTAATGCATGTTTAGGCGCCACTTTATGATGTGCGGTTACATATTAGTCTTACATTCAATTGATAGCATTGGTTTTCCTGGAGATATTCCACATTATTGCGGCATCATGGGCAACTTTACTGTTAGCGGTATTTTTCATGAATACTGTATGAGATGCACGTATCTTGCTATGTCCATGGGAAAATTTCCTTCTATCAACTTGTTCATCATGTGGGTGTATGTTTGATTTATCAGCCTCAATAATGCTGCACTACAGCCATGGCTTAGCCATCATACTTGAAAATGAAGTATACAAACTCACTGGTCGCAAATTCAGCGGCTTTTGGGGCAGCGTGTGGACCTTGATCATTATCACAATCCCTGCATTTCCCATTGCTGGGCATATGCTCTTGGGACAAGGCCGCTTGCTGGACTATACGGAGTGGGGCATATGGAGGTAGCTTGTATCTCTCTCATTCACCGTTGAAGCTTAGAGCTGAGTTTCATTTATTTCTGAGACAGCTCATAATTCACGGGATAATTTTGTTTGAAGAGGCAAGATTTTCATAGCCCTTATGATAGTTTGACTTCCTAAATAGACATTAGTACACTAGAGACGATTCGCTGAATTGATTTTCGGGTATCTGCAACGCATTTGTCTTGGGCGACATTTAAACATTCATAAGGCTACTAAAAGCAGTACGAGATGTAGAAAATTATATGGCATGAATTTTTTACCAACTCAACAATTTTGATTTCCTCAATTAAAAGTACGCTATTGCAAGCCAAAAAGGCGCTCTAGATCGAGCTATTGGCAGCTCCACATCTTTGTTAGGTAGCTGTTCATTACAACTCGCTGTATGTTTCTACCACAGAAAATAAGGTATTTTCGAGCTATAAATATGAAAAACTATAGAAAAATGAAATCAAAGCGTAATTTCTCCATTTCTTAATCAAAATATCTCAACTATATAGGGGCTTAAGAGCGAATGATGCAATGGTTGACACGAACGACAACTTTGTTTCAGGAGCGAACTACAAGCTTTTGATAAGCGCGTGTTGCATGCATTCAGTGCATCTCGCTTTCACCGCACGCAGCCAGATAAACCCACCCAAAGCCGATCGTTCCTCCAAACACTACCATCGCGACTTAGGATGGAGTGGCGCGTTGGAGGTGCTGACTAGGTGAATCCCGCTTTCGTCGCCTAATATCCATCTAACAGCTCCACAGTTTCCGTGGGATTAGTATGAATTGGGGCGTACCATCTGAGAAACTACCTCCAGTCTATGAGAACTTCCTGTCGGACACCCTGCTCGATATTGTAAGACAACATTTCATATCGCGCACCGCAAAGGTCACTCTTGCGCGCTTTGTTCAAGACAGCAGCGCTGGTATTTCTGGGGAGTTTGTGCGCCATATCACAATCTCTATCACGATGATAATTCTCTCTTGGTCAGATGTCACTATGGTCTACGGGGTAGTAAGATTGTTTGTCTACACTTTCACTAAGCTGTGCGGCCAGCATTTTGATAAAAGCAAATGGCCACCTCTGTATAGTGACATATTCGCAGCTGATAGTGTACGCACATTTTGGAACAACAAGTGGCACTGTTTGTTTAAGCGCCACATGACGTTGTGTGGATATAAACCTGCTTTCAACTTGATCAACGCTTTACTCGTACCTGGAGATATACCACACTATTCAGGAATTATTGGCGCTTTCGCTTTTAGCGGTTTGTTTCACGAGTACTGTTTTAGATGCACGTCTCGGACCATGTTCATGGAACAGTTTCCTTCTTTAACGTTTTTCCTCATGTAAGCAGTTAGCTGATTTAGTTCTCCCCGCTCACACTACTACAGTAACGCGTTGGCCATAATCTTCGAAAACGAAGTAAAGAAATATACTGGTCGCACTGTCGGCGGTATCTACGGCCGCTTATGGGCCTATGCCATTATCATATTTTCCTCGATTCCAATGAACTCACAAATATTGTTGGGAATTGGCCCAATGCCGGGCTTTAAAGGCTGGGACACTTGGAAGTGGTATGTGCCTCTCTCACTCGCCATGAAAGCAGAAGATTAATCAATTTCGTTGTAATCACTCGGATTATAAAGATAGGTAAAATGCATGAGAAATAATATACTTAGAGAGGCATGATCTATGGAATTTCAAGAGTGGTTTTCAGTCTCTTAATTAGATGCAGGTCTTCTTTGGTGAGATCTGCCGCAAAGTTTTGTTTGAGGACATCGATGCTATTTCTCGAGATATGCGAGAGGAGTAGATCAGTTTCCTGGAAATGTCTTCCAACCATCTTAGGAGCCTGGTTGTGGAAGTTATCGATCTTGACTGCGATACCGGCACCTGTCTGGTTCTTCTTCACAATATCCAATGGTTTGTGGTTGATCTCTATACTACCGACTCTACCGAGTGGAACAATCTCCTTCTTGCCCTCACCATTGACTGTCACGACACAGATAGGCGTACCTACTCTCAAAGTACCGTCGACAATATCACATCCGACGATAATAGGATCTCTGCGCACGAACGCCTGTAGTATCTTCAATCTACAAGGCCATACTGCGGATGGAGCAGCCTCCTTCTTTTTGTCTTCCACAATCGATTTGTTGTATGCAGTGAATTGATCGAAAAGGTGGTAAATGATATCCGCTTTGAATATTTTCACTCCCACTTCATCAGCATACTTGTCGGCTTCTTTATCGACCGGCACATCGAATGCTAAAATGGTAGCGAATTCCTTGGCCTTTTCTAACATGACACCAGCTCTAAGGACGTCCTTCCTGAACACAGGTCCGATGTTAATGCCAGATACTGGGATTTTAGAAGAACGCAGGAAATCCAACAAGGCTTCCAACGAACCAAGAGTAGAAGCTTGTACGCAGACACCTTTACCTGACTTATCGATTGAGGATAACAGCGTCTGCAGATCACCCATAACTTCCTCCATGAGATCCTCTTCATCGTCATCTTCTCCGACAACCAACAGACGTGAACCGGCAATAGCTTTGTCGAGGTCTGGTGCGGTAATCTTGACACCCATAGAAGCTTTAATTTCCTTGTGGTGGACATAAGCGCCCTTGATTCTCATCTCTTTCATTGGCTGTGGAGTGAGTAGGGCTCTTACTTGAGTGACAATGGGTCCGTTCAATCCACACACAACTATTTTATCGCCTTCTCTCAAGATACCATTGCTGAGTACGACATCTATAGTTGTACCCAATCCTTCTATCACCTTAACTTCCAAAACTGTACACTCAAGTTCTGACAAGTACATAAGTGCACCGCTCATACGCTCTTGAGTAAGGTTGATCAAGAGTTGAAGGAGATCTGGTACACCTTCACCGGTGTGCGCTGAGGTTGGAACGAGCGAGACGACTTTACCCATTTTCTTGTTGTCGTAGTAGACGCACGAGTTGAGACCTTGCTCGGCGAACTCGAGATTCACTCTGTCAAGTCTCATGTGGAACTCGCGTCTGACAGCTTCAGATTGCTTGGAGAACGAATCGACGAAGGAATTGTTGGCCATGGTTTCCCATCCGTAAAGACGATCGATCTGGTGGGGTTTGAGTGGGCTAAATTTGTGATAGCTGTTTACTCACCTTGTTAAGTGCGACAATGAATGGCGTCTTCTTGTCACGAAGAAGTCTGAGAGACTCGAGTGTTTGTGGTTCAAGACCATGCTTGGGTGGCTGTCAGTGCTGGTATATCAAACGGGACATTACCTACCATAATATCAACGACAAGTACTGCAATGTTACACAGCGAACTACCTCTAGAACGCAAGTTAGTGAAAGACTCGTGACCAGGAGTATCAATGACAAGTAAACCAGGCAGCTTGTATTCCTGTTTACCCTCTTTGTCGAGCACCGAGACCTTCTTAATGATATTTTCAATTGGGAAGTACGTAGCACCAATCTGTTGAGTAATACCACCGGCTTCACCTTCTTGAACGTTGGTTTGACGGATCTTATCGAGGAGCTTAGTTTTACCAGTGTCGACGTGACCGAGAATACAGCAGATAGGTGAGCGAAGGTTGTCTTTGCTACGTGCTGCGAGGGCGTCTTCGTGGCGCTTGATGCGACGTTCGTGGGCTTCTTCTTTGCGTTTGAGAGCTTCTTTCTGTGCGTTGGATAGCTCTTCTTCGGAGGATTCGTCGTCTGAGTCTGAGTCTTCGGAGTCTTCTTCAGATGAGCTGTCATCATGTTGGTCATTTGCTGGTTTAGCAGGTGCAGGTGGTGCTGCTGGTTCAGCCTTCTTGTCTTGATCCTTCTCTTCGTCAGACGATGCATCCCAGTCATCGAGTCCAGGATCACCAGCAGTTTGAGATTCAGCCTTCTTCTCACCCTTGCCCTCATCTTCAGAGGAGGTTGCATCCCACCTGTCTTCCTTCTCTTCAGCGGGCTCAGGAACAGGAGCAGGCTCGGCTTCCTTCTTTGGCTCATGAGCTTTCTCGTTTGATTGAGATGGTTGTTGTTGCTGCTTGCCTTTAGCTGGCTTCTTACCGTAAGTTGGCTTCTTAGGCTTGCTTTCACCGTCCTCTAAACCAGCAACGCGGACACCAGATGCTAAGAGAGCTTGACGACGAGCTTCACCAGCAGCCTTCTCTTTCTTTTGCTTATCGGTGAGGTACTTTCCTTCCTTTTTAAGCTGCTCACGCTTGGCCTTGTCTTTTTCCTTCTTAAGTAGCTTCTGCTCTTCGTCATAGAGCTCAGCTTCAACAGCAAGACGCTCTTCTTCTTGGATACGCTGCATCTCCTCCTCCTTAATACGCTTTTCTTCTTCTTCCTTTTTCTTGTTTGCATCAAGTTGAGCTCTAAGAGCAGCTAAACCTGCAGGAGGTTTCTTAGCGGATTTCTTTTTATCTGCAGGTTTTGGATCTTCTGCGGGTTTATCGGAGGCTTTCTTTTTCTTTTTCTTTTTCTTATCTGCGGCAGAGGCGGATGTATCTTCTGGTTCGTTTGCGGGAGTAGAATCATCAGGGAGCTGTGTAGAAACCTCAGGCTGTTCAGACTGTTCAGGTTGTGGAGTTGAAGGTTTCTTGTTAGCAGCTTGAGCTTTCTTCTTTGCCTTGTCTTTCTCCTTTTTGAGTTTCTCTTTCTCTTTTTTACTGAGGAGTCTAGGAGCATCAGTCTCAGGCTCATGATTAGTCTCAGGCTTTGCTTCATTTGAAACTTTTGCCTTGTTTTCCATAGCAGCAGTCAAAACAGCGTCTTCATCTTGATCAGATTGCTTCTTATTCTTTTTATTCTTATTCTTTGACTTGTTTATAGCGCTCATTAAATCACCGTTGTCGTCGTCATCGGAGATTGCTGCCGAGGGTTCTATACTGTCTTCTTCCTCGTCATCGTCGACATCCTCAACATCCATCGCAGCAAATGCAGATTTCTTTTGTGGCTGTGGGTTTGTGTTTGCATCGTCTGAATCGGCGTCTACGTCTGCGTCGTTGGATACTGGGATGGATTCACCAGCTGTTGCCCTGCAATCAAGCTTAATTGATAATCACAGCATTCCCAATCCACTCACCAGAAATCATCTTCATCTTGATTCTTTTTAGATTTTTTATTTCCCTTCTTTGGTGGCATCGTGCAAGGCGTTGTTGGCTGTTTAAGCACAAGATGGATTTACTTGAAAGTCTAAATCGCGGAAATTATAATTTAAATTCAAAGGATATAAATCTGATAATTTTCACAGATGATAAAATATTCAGATTTCTCATTTTACATAAGCTGAATGAGCTAGATCAATTACACTTACTCAAATCCCACATACACTCCCTTGATGATGCTAAATACGCTGATTTCTTATCCACTCTACTCCAAATCAACCCTGGTTTTTCTATTTCTTTGTTTGACAGGGATTTACTTTCCTTTCACCCCATTGACTCTCTCTCCCTCCTCAACTCAGCTGCTTCTAACAAATCTGGCTTGAATTTGTTTGACGAAAAGGTTCTTGAATTCCTGCACTCAAACTCCATCCATTCTCAATCTCACTCCCTCCTACTATCTACACTCACCCTCATTAAACTTGATAAACACCACAATAAGAGTGAAAATTTTCAATCTTACTTGGATGCTCTCACAAATATCTCCAACGTACACTCGTCACTCCCTCACTCTCAGTTATCCCTATATCTTGAAGCTTTATCCCACTTATCTTCATCTTCGAAGATTGCACACAAGCTGTCTCAGCTGTCCACGGTCATCCGTCTAGCGCTTTCTTCCGTCCAAACTCCATCCACTAAAATATCCACACAGCTCTATTCACAAGAGAATTTACCATCAACCATCCCAGACACATCCACTCAATTCACTCTGTCCACCACTCTCGCCAACATCTGCCAATACGCTCCACCACTCACTGAAGAAGCGGAGACGATGAAGAAGCTGCAAAAATCTACGAAGCAGGTAGATGCAGAGGAGGAGGAATACATGTCATTCGACAAGGTGCGCCAACGCAACAGCAATATGCTAGAGATGGGTATTACAGGGGTGTTACCGGTGCTGTCCAAATCCAACTCACTCTTAACGCGCCGCAACACCTCCACCGTCTATCTCGGCTTGACGAATGACAACACCAACCGCCCACAGCTACTGCGCGACGGAGCGATCAAGGCGCTCCTCAATATGACAACGCACCAACCCGACTCACCAACAAGTGAAGATCTACACGCCAACCAAGCTCTCGCCAAGATGACTATAACAACCCCACCCAGTGCTTTATACACGCCGCCCATCGCCACCAGTGCCCTGAGCTTCCTCTCACCTCTAGACGCCTTACTATTTAGAGGATCGCAGCAACTACAGCAATTCGAGGCGATGATGGCGCTTACAAATGTAGCTTCACTGGGAGCGGATGTTTCCGAGAGGGTGGTATCACGACGTTCTGGGGCTATTCTCGACGCCGCGCAGACACACCTACTCAGCACGCATACGCAGCTACAGCGAGCTGCAGCGGAGCTCATATGCAATCTCGTCGGAATGTCTGAAGGTGCATTTAGACGATACACAACAGATGCGCGTGCGGGTGTTCATTGCGCTTTGCTTCTCGCGCTTTCGGACGCTGAATCTTTGTATACTCGTCAAGCTGCGGCGGGTGCGCTGGCACAGTTGTGCGGTATGTCGCCTTTGCCGTGTAAACATATCCTCAGTGAACCGCAACGGTTCTTGCGCGTACTTATTGCTTTGCTGGGCGATGAAGTCGGATGCGTTCATCGCGCTCTTTGTATCCTCTTAGCTACCCTCGAAGCTTGTCAGGAGGTGCTCAGGACAGATGAAACCGCGAAAAATGCTATCAATCAGTCAAGGCTTGTACCCACTCTCAAACACCTCATTCCTCGCTTGGCTAGTGAAGAAGGCACGCAACTCCTTCCGCTGCTCAAAGACACTATCGTCAAGTTGAAGGAATGTGGGGTGAGTGTGAGCTGATTGATGGTGTACGTGGTGCATTTAATCACATAGCCATTTGTACACGTCCGAACTATTAAATGTTATACCTCTTTATTCCTACTCTACCCTAAAAACGAGACAAAAGTCGTTGGAAGACAGAAGTCTCAAAGCGCGTCTAGCCATTAGACCATCAAATCCACTTTAGAATATCGCGGGAAACGAACCGCCCATGTGCAGTTGCCTGACTGTGGGTGTACACGATTCGCCTTTACTCAAGTGAACGAGGACAGATATTACTACCTGGTCGCAACTCGAACCCGCGACTTCAATGGAGATGGTCGTACCAGCGCTCATTGCTAATCCCTCTTAAGTTTTATCTCACCAACTTCCTGTTGAGCCATTACAGCTGAAGAAATCTTTGTGCAAGCTCTAACTCATTGTAAAGTTGTTGTGAGGGTGAAATTTGAATATTCCACACAATCATCATCATTCAGCACCTCGCTGCAAATTTCATTGTTAAAAGTATGCATAAACTAATAACTACTCATATAGCGGTGATATACGCTCGGAATCCTCGTTGGCCCCCTCGATCCAGATATCGAGGTTATGAGGGAGGGAGGCTAGATGACCGCGTATGCATTTCCAAGGTGGTGGAGGACTGCTGTAAGTGCCTTTGTTTGTCAACATATGACGTCTATCGGAAGCAAAGGATTGGAGGAAGGAGTGTGCGGGAGTGAGATTGATGAAGGCTCTGTATTGATGGGGAGTGTGAGGGCTGAAAGTGAGATTGAGGTAGTCGCGGGCGTTAGAAACTCTATCGAGTTTTGTGTCTAAATCGATGATGTATTCACTGTCATGAGCTTCAACCACGGCAATAACATGATAATCCCAGAGAACCGGGAATGGGTGGGAGTACTGGCTGGCTTGTTGATGGAATAAGAGTACAGATTTGTTTGAATTGCTGATGAAACCAACGCGCACTCTAACACCACCAACACAACTCAACGCGTCTATTAAATGATAAGCATTCTCCTCGCAGTAGCAGCTCATGTACTTCGATTGATTTGAAATTTCAATTAATTCTCGGTATTTTTCACTTTCCATTGCGATGGCTGTTACACTGAACCATGACTATCAAATCGAAATCCCCGTCGATCGGTTTAGACAACCGCAACGAGAGCGGGATCAATAACGGCATCAATAACGGTTCCAATACCCCAATCTCGGAATCTAATCAAAAGTCTATCCTAGCAAATTCAGGTAAACCACAAGATCAATCTCATCTTCCGCTGGCTAGTGACCACGCTAGCACTTTTGAACCAATCGATGAATGCCAATACGCTAATCGCTCTCTTGGTCGCTCACATCAGCACGTTGAAGAGAGCTACTGTGATTGCTATCTCAGCAATTCAGCGTGTGCCCACTCCAGTGACTGTATAAACCGTCTTACCCAAGTCGAGTGTCTTCTCGACGACTGCAAGAGTGGTCCTCACTGCCGCAATCAGCGTTTCCAACGACGTCAATGGGCTGGTCTTGACGTTGTTGCGACTGAGAAGAAAGGCTATGGATTACGCGCTCAACACGACATGGACAGAGATACTTTCCTCATTGAATACATAGGCGAAGTCGTAACTCAAACTCAATTCCTACGTAGAATGACCTCCTACGCCAAAGAAGGCATAAAACACTTCTACTTCATGATGCTCCAGAATGAGCAGTTTATTGACGCCACACGTAAGGGAAACGTTGGTCGTTTCGTAAACCACTCCTGCGCACCTAACTGCTTTGTCAGCAAGTGGGTCGTCGGACGTTACGTCAAAATGGGCATCTTCACTAAACGTCGCATACATAAAGGTGAAGAACTCACTTTCAATTACAACGTAGATCGTTATGGTCATGATGCACAGGTTTGTCATTGCGGCGAACCTAACTGCGTTGGTTTCATCGGTGGTAAAACCCAGACTGATATCGGGGGCATGGACGACCAAATCTTAGACGCGCTCGGTATCACCCAAGAGGAAGTCATGCGATTAACACTCAAGGGTAGCCGGAAGAAGAAGAGTAAGACTTTAGATGAGGATTATGAGTTGGAACTCAAACCGATGGTGCTCGAAGATGTACCCAAGGTTATTACAGCTGTCAGACAGTCTTCATCAAACAAAAAAATACTTTTGAAATTGTTGAAACGAATGAGGGTGAGTGTTTTCTGTGGAGTTTAGATGGTAACTCAACTCAACACAACCATAGATGACGGAAAGTCATGATATCCAGCGGCAACTGATGCGTATGCATGGGTTCGCCATCCAGGCTTCACTCCTCTCGGAATACCCACATGACGAGGATTTGAGCAGACTCGTTATCGAAATTTTAGCTCAGTGGTCACAGCATCTCAAAGCAAAGAACAAGATAGAGACGTCGAAAATAGATGAACCTGTGCAATTAATTGAGAAGAGTAGTGAGAATGACGAGATAAAGACAGGTGCTCATACGTTGCTTCAATTATGGGACACGCTCGAGTCAGCGTACAGGATACCCAAGCGTGGAATAAACCAGACGGATGATGATATATTGCTGTCAGAGCACCAAAATGAGCAATTATTTAGTCAATTACCGGAAGCTAAACGGGTCAAACTTCATGAGGATTCACTGTTCAAGTCGCAAAAGGAATTCGTCAAGCCTGAGGCAACACAGAGCGGCACTCCATTTGAGGCGCCCACTTTACTCGATTTGCAGAAAGAGAAATGGAAGGAACTTCAGAAGCAGTCACCGCAAGATAGTCAACGCGCTGAGCAGGAGAATATAAAAAAGGTTATCGAGAATGCCCGTCTAGTGGAGCAGTCGAAGCAAGAAGAGGCTGCTAAGCAGAAGGCAGAGGAAGAAGCAGAAAAACAGAGGAAGAAAGAGGAGAGTGAGAGCAGGAAAGCGGCCAAGAAGAAAGAAGACAATCGGAAGCGCTCAAAAAGTAAAGAAAAGGAAAAGGAAAAAGACACACAACAGAAGACAGAAAAGGATAAAAATACACCAGATCCTCATAAAAAACTACATAAGCAGATAGGCGAATTGGTCGTACATGTCATGTCCAAATCCAAAGACAGCTTCAGTCACGATAGCTTCAAGAAGCACGCCAAAGAACTCACCTCTACGTTGCTTGAAAAGGAGAAAAAGAAAGGCGGTGTGGAGATGAGTGAGGATATGCGCAATAAGATGAAAAAGTTTATCAAGGAGTATGTGAGCAAAATACTCGCGAGGAAGCAGAGCAAGGGGGGAGGTGAGAGAAAGAATGATGCAAACAAAGAAGAGAAGGGTGAAAATGATGAAAATGATGACAAGGATGAAAACGAGAGAAGCGATACCTCGCAACAAACAACTGCAAAACATCCAACACCAACATTCTCCGACCAGGTGCAGTGGTGAAAGCATTAGACCGTAAATTATTCATGTAAACAACGTAAGAGCTGATACAAAAACTAGATTTGAAAATGATATTACTTGGAAGTGTGGAGTGTAATATTAGGTATATGTAAGGGTATACAAACACACACTGCACTTTTACGCATTGCCCAACCTAAAACCGACAGATGAAGCGATTCTGATAGGCAACTCTCTTCTCAAATCACCACCTCTCTTACCGTAGTCGATCCACGCAGCACGCAAGACGGAGGTGTGAGCAGAAGACAGAGCCAAGAGATCATTCTCAGGCATCCTCTTGAGCGCAGATACAGTTGGTGGGAGTGCTGGGTAATCAGGATCTGGAGTGCGAAGAGGTGATGGCCATTGAATGCGAGCGTGGTCATCAGTTTCGACTGAGAAGGCTGAATTAGCGGAGCGAATCATATCGCGTTGTTCAATTTCTCTAAGAGTATCACCCAATCTTCTCAATTCAGATCTGTGTACTTCAAAGTCATCTCTAATGTCGTCAACGCGTGAACCAACAGCTCTGTTGACGTTATCGATATCTTTCAAAGCTTGAGTGGATTGCTGCATCAATCTCGATTGATGTTCGAGAGCTTCAAGGGTATCGGAGTGAAGCTTCTTATCGTTGTGAAGTTGCTCTCTTTGGAAATCTACTTGCTCAAGGTGTGAAGTACGAAGGAAAGACATGATGTCATTGTGATTGCGATCTTGACGTGTGGCGTCTTCGATGGCTAACAATCTTTGCTGATCAAGCATTTGATTGTGGTGTCTTTCATTTTGAGCAATCAACTCGACGTTATTTTTCTCGAAATTTGAGACAAGTTGTTCAAGTGTAGTGGAGAAAGAGGTGGCGAGGAGCTGCTGGGACTGCTCAGACTGTCTGGTCAACAAAGAAACGTTCTCCTTTTGAGATTCTTGGCTCTCATTGTACTGAGTGGAGAGGTTCGCGGAGAGGTCTCTGATTGCGTTGGCGAGTGAGAGCAAGTCAGAGGATTCCAAACCCAAAGCGATGTTCAAGTTGGATAGAGCTTGAGCAGCTGCAGAAGGATCAGGATTTGTAGGCATTTTTGAATGTTTGGTTGAAATATTAAGAATTTCAGTAGTAGTTTCGGTTGAAGAGACTCGAAATTCTCAAGTAAATATTCAAATGCCAAAGACTAAATTGAATTCCAGTGAGTGATAATAGAATATTTTAAATTCCCTGTTAATTTAATAGACCTGGCTGCTTACAATATAAATTATAAAATTCAAATTTCTAATTTACTGCCAGAGGCTCTCTCTAGTCAACACTCAAAGGATATACGTCAATTACAGCTGAAAGGGCAACAGAAGCTGTCAAAGGAAGTAAAGAAAGATGTTCAACAGCTTAACAAGATTAAATAACTTATCGGCTTTGATTTCCAGTGCATTGTTCACTCTTATTGGCTTGATTACACTATCCAGCTTGAGTTACAATGAAAACAACAATAGCAATATAAACATCACCCAACTTAACGTAGTAAACAGCTACAACAACTTGAACCAATTTGCTTTCATTAGATTTGAAGGTGTCGTTGATACTACATCTCTTTTTGACAACTGGAACACGAAACAAGTATTTGTACAACTTTCTACTGATTACAATACTCAAAACACCCACTCAAGCACCGTGATTTGGGATGCTATCATCACTAACGGCGATATTCTCAACCTAGACAATGTCAAACAGAAATATTCACTCAAATCTAAATCGTTTGAACAATATCAAAACACTACTCTCTCTCTCACTTACCACATACAACCATACGTCGGTCTCAACAAACACGGCTTATTGCACACTCAACAAATACAATTCCCAAAAGCTAAATCTAACATTTGATGTTACCTGGTTGTATTCAACTTATTCATACCACTTGATTTATTATTATCTTTGTCTCTTTTTCACTCTTCCTTGACTTACTTCCATCAAAATGACCCTGTTCAGTACGGCTAATCTCCCAATTGAGACCAAATACAAGGTTTTAGATGCTTTAACAGAAGAGTAAAAGATACTGTAAACCCTTTTTAGGTGGGTTTGATAGAATCATAGAACAGCACAATTTCTTTAGGGTGATGTAAATCAACAAACATTGGAACAAAGCATTCATACTTCAAAGGCGTGTGTATTCAATCTAAAGGGACTATTTAACGCGTGCTAGGTTATACAACTGCTGTCTTTGACGACGATTTTGCTGCTATCTTCTGCAACGAAATAAACACAGTCAAAGTCTGATATTGGCTATCAAGCCCTCACCGTAGATTTGTTAGATTCAAAGAGCTAGCCGTAAAGTCCAAATTTAACGAGACTCGTTAACATAAACTCTGTAACATGCTCGGTCTTCGTTTCAATGACGTCATATTCAACTCATTTCAAGTATCTTTAAATTTAAACAGAGAGTTGTCCTCAAAATATCCCATTGCCAACATCGATAAAAGCAGCCAATCTGACATTTGCTGGGAGAAAGGCTGACTACATCGATTTTAAATAAATGAATCATTATCTAAAGAACATCTGAACCTTCCCGGAAAATAATATTGAGCTAACTAGCTCGTCAGGATAGCGCTCTTTAAATACTACGATTAAACTCAGACTTGGTCTTACATTTTACGCAAATTTTGATTTAGTCGATGAAAGTTTAGCTTATCACCCAAAAAAATAAACATTTGTAGCTAAATAATACTGATGACTATAATTACATTTTAAAAAGAGGCACGCCACTACCCAAGAAGCATCTGCACTGTACAGACAACATCGAGACATTGTCAATTGATAATTAGTTGCCTGCAAAGATACGATTCGGCAGAGGAGCGTTCCTCAAGACCTTTCCATGGCAAAATATCAAGAAAAAGCAAATCTCGAGCTTTGAATGACTCTTTAACAATTTAGAGCGACTCTACTTTGAAGACCTTACAGAATACATCTCGAGCGAGAGCTTTGATATGTTTCCTGAGGACTATGTCTTTTTGGATATAATCTCGCTCGAAATGAAACCTGAACCGCCTTGGCGTAACCCGATGATTATCGCCATCATTTGTTCACAAGTTCAATCGAGGGTTTTATGATTCAAATTTCTCATTGTTGGAGGAAATACATCCAGCAGTCGTTGCATTTATGGCATCGTTTTTTGTTATGAGATATCTGACGAGGCTATCAAACTTCTCGTGTCTAAGCATCCACACATCAAGTCTGCTCAAGTTATACCTTTTTATATTATGTCACATACCGCATCTGATTACAGCTTTTGAAATTTTTCGTGCCGAAAGTATTTGCATATCATCTATTTTTGCTTTCAAACTGTTGAGGCTAATGATGGCACTCTGCATACCAAAGCCAAACTGCAAACCGTACAATGTGATGCGCTAAACTTTCTTATTTTTCTTGTTTTTCTCAACTGCTCTGGTATGTTGCAATGTCAGCCATTCACAGCTCTCCTCAAACTCACATTTACTGCATTTGAAATAGCCATCTTCAATATCGACACCTTTATAATCCCCCCGATGCCAAAATTTGAACGCTTCGTTTATGTATCGTTTAAACTCCCTCTCATCAAACTCAATCTCTACTTTGCCGATATATGTACCTCCATCTGCGCAGTGGTATCTGAGTTCAACAACGTTGTCAATATTCTCCAGGATAATTTGGGTGGCAGCCTTAAATCTATCAAGTATAGCGCAAAGTCTGAGATCAGTTTCGCCATTCTGAAGCATATGTTGTCTGACAATCGGTGTTGATACATGCTCGTTCATGTTAATTCCGCAACTTTCGAGCCACGCCTGCCAATCGAATGAAGGGAAGTGAGTCAACATTTTCCTGTATACCATAAGCTGGGCTTTATTATTGGAATTTTGATAGCGGGGCATTTTACCATCAACGCGCGTCTTATCATCGACAACCCTGACCATACCAGTCTTCCTATCCAGACATAGCTCATCAATGTCACCCTGTAATATTTGACCATCGATCAGCCCACGCACGCCAAATTCTCTGCAGCGGCCTTGATGTGCGAGTGTGGTTAGTTGCACGATGCAATTGTGCAGCCATAGGGCATAGTAATCTGAGCGTTTATCGAAGTAAATCTCCATCTCCATTTCCCTGTCGTCTGCGATATCGTACATTTCACGCTCCATTTTGGTATGATGGGCTGAGCCTTTGTCCATTATCTTCTCCTTGGCTAGCGCTTTGTTTGTATCGACGTTGATTTGAGCTCCAGTATCTCCGACGATGGATTGCACTCTTTCAGAAGCTCGGATCCAACCACCGCCTTGAATTTCTTTATATAACTTCTTATAAGCGCACCACTGTATGTCGGAGACGTCAGTCGCGGAGAGAAAACCAGATTTCTTTCTGAAACGGTCATAGGGAGTGAGATATTTAGTTGGGTTTGTGGATTCAATTATTTCAACTGAGTTGCTTCTGCTTCTGCTTCTTGCTCGCTTCTTATCGTCCATTTCAACCGTTATAGCTGGATTTGCGGAGTTAATGGTGCCTGTCTCGACGGCAGATGCTACGGCAAGGACTTCGGCAGAGTTGAGCCAATCATCTTCAAATTCTCCGTCGCTGGCCATTTCTACGTGATGATCGTCATCTCCCAAGGAACAACGGCCAACAGCGAGGCAATTTAAGGGGAAATGCACGAGATTGTTCATATAAGTTTTGGGCACAGTAGCGCGTATTCTACGACACATTATTTCAATCAGCAAGTGAGAAAGTACTTGGGAGTTGGTGACGCACACTGACGGCGATTAAAGGAGCATTACTTCAATCAGGCTGACTGTGATACACACAACATTGATCACGATTCTAGCTATAGAATTGGTGAGGGCTACGACGGCTCACAAACATATACTCCCCGTCTTCTTCTTTACGATTTGAAGTGTGAGCGGTGCAGACGGCGCATTCTACACAGCTCAGTATGCTACAGCAAACTTTGGCAGTATAAAGAAGATAAACGAGCTTTATCAAAAACCTACAAGTTATGACGACAGCAAGATAGATACTCTTTCTGGGTGAGTTGGGTAGCGCAGTGAGGCAGTCTACACCAACTAACACTCTTCAGCTTGAATATCGAATATCAGACACAACAGCCTCAGCGTACACGCTACCAGGCTGAGCTGGAAAGCGGTAAAGAGCCTTCACCGCCTACTTCAGACGAGGTAGCTTCTTGGACAGATTTTAATCGCTCGTACTTCCATCCACGCTCTATTCATCAGATAAGCGGTTATGTTCAGTGCGGTACTGGTACTGATGGTGTTGCTGGGTTCGATGGCTGGGAACTGGGACAAGATGTATACAAGGAATATGAAAAAGTTGGTTTTAGCGTGGTTTAAGCTTCAACACACTCATACTCATCACAGGAGTTCAACTCTCTCGATGAAGATCTCAGACACTTTGCAGAAGAATGTGATTTGCTGCAGGGATTTCATGTCAATGCCGATGTCAGCGATGCTTGGAGTGGTTTCTCTGTCGCTTACCTCGAGGATGTCAGAGAGACTTATACCAAGACACCAATCGTCGTCAACGCACACGAAAGAGATCATCTCTTTAGCTGGAAGCAGTCGCTTAAGAATAAGGTTGAGAGTGAAAACAAGGATGTGGAGAAAGACACCCGGCACCCACTTTCCAATACAATCCTTATGAATGAGCTCTTGTCTCTTTCAAAGTTGGAGAGCGTTTCTGATTTGGTCGTGCCTTTGTCCTGTCCAACTAAATGGAACGAGAATAATACTGATGTGGGTGTTTTACTGTTCAACTCGAAACAAAGCTGATCAAGAGTAGTCTAAGATGAACTCACTTTTCATTTCGTCATCTATACTCAGCCCCCACTTAGACGCAATTTGCCTGCCTTTCAAGCTTTATAATGGTGGTGCAAACATGCAGCAGCTAACCTCACAGCTGAACTGGAGAAACGGGACAAAGATCGCCACTCTTACCGGTGGTGTGGGTGATGTCGTCAACCAGTTCGATTATAGTGGGATGGAAAGCAGTATCAAGGAGAGAGATGTTTTCGCTGAGGTGCAGGTGGTCAGACCACCTTACAAGCCAAGTCGGGATGGACTTGAAGATGCGCTTGACAGCAGGACAAAGCTCAAGTATCCCCTCTTATCAAGGTGAGCTACACGAACAAGTTGGACAACAGGCTGACGCGTAAAAGGCACTGGATAGACAGCCCAGCGTACAAGCCACACCCCTCTCATCCTGCTGGAATGTATGAGGATGATGAAATCAGCACACTCAGCAGTCTGACAACATCTGATGCTGTAAGGTCCAAGTTGGAAGAATTTGGTAAGGTTTCAGAGAGTTTTCCCTTTAAGTACGGTGGGATGGGTAGTGGATACAGCAGGGATGAAATGGTAGAAATTGGAGAATCTTACTGGAAGATGCACTCGGCGTATAATTCGGACCCACAGTTCGGTGACATAGATATTAATGATTCTGAGGGCTCTGAAGGTGGATATGATATGGACTAAACAATTTATCGGGATAAAGTGGCTGTTATCGGCTAACAAGACATGTAAAAAGCACCAATACATGATATCGCTATTCAGATGCCGCGCATGCCAATTTTCGTTTAACTCCAACTGAAATCATCTTAAACCTCGAGAAAGATTCGGCGGTTGATCGCATCATCTTCGCTTCAATTTGATCAATTAAAACTAAAAAAACCCAAGAATGCTCAGCCGTGTATTTTCTAGAAGGACAGTAGCCCCAGCACGCATTTTTAGCGCTAAAGCTTCTGTGCGCGCAACAACACCAATAGCAACAGCAGTGAGCATTTAGTTTTTACCCTACAACGACCATCTCACGTGAAGAAACAGAGATCAATTTCAATGTCAAACGTTATCAAATCAGAATTCAGAGAGGAGAAGGATACATTTGGTCCATTGCGTGTACCTTGTGATCGCTACTGGGGTGCACAAACCCAGCGTTCGCTCCAAAACTTTGAAATTGGTGGCGAGCAAGCTAAAATGCCTGTTCCACTGACCAGAGCATTTGGTATCTTAAAGAAAGCTGCTGCAGCTGTAAACATTACCTACGGTCTGGATGAAAAGATCGGCAAAGCTATAATGGAAGCAGCCGATGAAGTTGCCACTGGAAAGCTTGATGGTCATTTCCCACTTGTCGTTTTCCAGACTGGATCAGGTACACAGACTAATATGAACTCAAACGAAGTTATTAGCAACCGTGCAATTGAAATTTTAGGTGGAAAGCTCGGATCTAAGAACCCAGTTCATCCTAATGATCACGTCAACATGTCTCAATCATCTAACGACACTTTCCCAACCGCTATGCACGTAGCAGCAGTACTCGAACTTAACAACTCATTACTTCCAAATCTCACCACTTTGAGAAACGCATTGGCTGATAAGGCGGAGAGCTGGTCTAATATCATCAAAATTGGTAGAACTCACCTTCAAGATGCCACCCCACTCACCCTTGGCCAAGAATTCGGCGGCTATGCTCAGCAGCTCACTTACGGTATCGATCGTGTAGAAGCTGTCATCCCTAGACTCAGCTTGCTCGCTCAAGGTGGTACTGCTGTTGGTACTGGTTTAAACACCCGCAAAGGCTTCGATGTTAAGATCGCTGAGGAGATTACTAAAATTACCGGAGTGCAATTCAAGACTGCACCAAACAAGGTGAGTATTGCGTGTTCCGAACCATTTTTACAAGCTAATTTGATGTAGTTCGAAGCTTTGGCAGCTCACGATGCAGTCGTTGAGGCATCTGGTGCGCTCAACACTCTGGCAGCATCTCTCTTCAAGATTGCACAAGACATCAGATTCTTAGGCTCAGGCCCAAGATGTGGTTTGGCCGAGTTGGCTCTCCCAGAGAACGAGCCAGGCTCTTCAATCATGCCTGGAAAGGTTAACCCAACACAATGTGAATCACTCACTATGCTCTGTGCTCAAGTATTCGGTAACAACACAGCTATTTCATTTGCTGGCTCACAGGGTAACTTTGAATTGAATGTATTCAAGCCAGTTCTCATCTCCAACTTACTCACATCGATAAGATTGTTGGCGGATGGCTGCAGATCGTTCACTAACAACTGCGTCGTTGGGATTGAACCAAATGAAACAAAGATCAAGGCTATCATGAACGAGAGTCTTATGTTGGCAACATGTCTTAACGCTGACCTTGGTTACGACAACGTTGCGAAAGCAGCCAAGAAAGCACACAGTGAAGGATTGACACTGAAGGAATCAGTTCTTCAACTTGGGTTGCTCACCGCTGAACGCTTTGACGAACTCGTCAGACCAGAGTTGATGATTTCACCAAAGGAATAAACCAGTATAACCATTTTATAAATTTTGATACAAATCTTCTATCTAGTACAGATTTTGATGTAAAGAACACTACCACCGCCTTGTTTCAGCGGCAGAACCGACGTTTGTGAATCCAGAGGAAGGACCGTTAACGCTCTTGACTCTACCTTGAATTAAATCATCACCATAAATGTTATCGACCTTGACCAACTCTTTAACTCTGAGTAATTGACCAGCCGTATCTTGAGAGTGAGGATGAAGAACGACAGCCATTCTTTTATTCAAACCGAGTGCTTCAAGTGTGCGCTGAGAACCTTTTGGTAATCCAATGGCTGATCTAGTCAAAACTATCCTGTAAAAGCCCTTTCCACCATTTGGTGAAGTCGAAGCGTGGAGAACATTCTTTGGTAAATAAGGCAAAGCCCTCTGAAGCCAATTTGCAGGCATTTTAAACTTTTATATATGGGATCGTGGTGGATTCTCGTTAAGAGTCGTCTTCTCCACAACAACACCGATGGACGCTAGAAGTCTGCTTAGGGCAAAAAAAGCTGAAAGAGGCACAGCTGCATCTGCGAAAGGCAGGAAAAGGCAAGCGGAGACTGTAGAGATTGGCTCAGAGAAGAAGCGTAGATCTGAAGTTGGTGTGGAAGAAACTCAATCTCAACGAGACTTGCCTGGTGATTTCTTCGATGGTGGTGTAGATTCTACAACGCATAGCGATGCGAAAGATTCTCCTGAAGAGCGCACTCAACAAGATACCAACGACAATGCACCAACTGAGCAGCCACAACAACCACAACAACCACAACAACCACAACAACCACAACGATCAATAGAAGACGAGCTAATGGCATTCGATAATGAAATATCCCAACTGGACACTCAACCACAGCAACCCGCATACAACCCCCAAGTATACGCAAATGCAACTATATCTGCAGATCCCATCCTCAATACACAAACTAACGCTTTGAACGATGGTCTCCCCGATTCTACTGTACCCTCTCACAGCGAACGCGCGAAAGTCGTCAGCGAGGAGCAGAAACGAATGGATGAGGAGGAGAAATTGCGCAGGATACAGGCCTACGAGAATGAAGACTATGCTTTGCGATTGGAAGAAGAAGCTCGAGCGCAAGAGGAGGCTGATGCTAGAGTCTCAGCTCTCAAATCACGCATGGAGGAGATTAAAGCTCGTAGGCGTAAGTGAAATAATTTTTGTTAGATATTCACAATATTGTTGTATTATGTATTGTACATTCTATTGCTTCCCGTGTGTACTTGTTTGCGGGGATTGAGTCTTAAGGAGACTTTATGAGGTTAGCTTACATCAGAACAATGTCCTCAAATAAACATAGCTGAGCAGAATTCAACACAGCCTGAGACAATAGACCTATACCCCTGATGTAAAGACTCTTTGGCAAGTATAAAACTTAAAAAGGACCTTTGCCAGCTTTAAGTGCTAGTAAGCCCTTGTCAAAAGAGATTCAAAGATTTATCTGAAATCAAATATTTAAAAACAGAGAAGTCGCAAAAAATATTCGGTTACCGGGAATCGAACCCGGGTCTCCAGAATGAGAATCTGGGAGGATAGCCCCTACCACATAACCGATTTTTAGGCTCAACTGCTGATAACCATTGAACTGATCGTTCGTTAAAAGTTCTTTACGAATAACAATATAATATTGGAAAAAGATTATCCAAACACATTATCTAAAAAGTTTCTTTAATAGAGAACCACAAACAATTTAGAAATTACGGCGCTAGTCAAGA